TGCACAAATGGGATCAGTATCAATAACTCATTACCCAGAATTTTTTTTTTCGGTGATAAAAATTTAGTGGTGTATAAATAAATAAATAGCATAAACCCAGTAGTTTCAAGTTAGCCTCAGAAAGAGAACACCTGATTTGCATGCGAACGCCTTCAAATGCTACCCAGACAAACCGTGGCACACCTAAGTCTTTCTAGTCGCTTCTGACAATACAACCTGCGCATTTTGTCACATAATGTCGGCTTCTGCCGCAAGAGGGCTAGGAAACTCTTGAGCCTCCACAATATCATATTCATATAAGTATGAATAGATGCTGTATATTCGCAGAGCCGCCAGTAAAAACGCAAAAGGTAGATTCATTGTATAATATTCTTTTTTTTAGTTGTGACTACCTCAAAAAATAAGGGAAATTTCGTGGTCTGGGTATTCCCGTACTTAGACATTTAAAAACAAAATGTAATTGGATGTAAAATGTTGAAATTAAATTAAAAAAATAGCCGAGTGCGTGTCGTGTCACGCGCAGTGTAGGGTTGTCCGTCGTTAACCCAATATATTTCAGAAGCAAGACATTTATAAGTAACGAAATAAACACTATTGCAGAGCATGTACAATAATATTATTTTTTAAATAACTTGAAAACTATTTAGATCGAAAGGCGACTCTTAACGCCAGAGTAAATTAAATAACAAATATTATACAATATCATGATATACATAATTCAGCCTTTTATACTTTTGTTTTACTGTGGCAGAAGAACTTTAAAGCCGGCAGAGCTAGCTGAAATAAGAAGCTCATTAAAACATGTTTATATTGACTTAAAACAAAACGTAAACTTCTAGAAAGTGTCGCATGAGACAAGAGGAGGCGTTTGTTTCAAACGACAGCTGAAGAGTTTTAAATTCTTTAACACGTTCCGGGACAGTACGTCGAAGGACGGTCCTTAAATTGGAATTTAAAATGTATATGATCTTGTTTATATTGGTCCAGTATAATGACAAAACCAAGTTCAAAATTCAAACGGATCGGTTTTTTGCAGGGTACTATAAACGTGTGTAATGTGTAAAATTTAGTATTAAAACACGACGTATACGATTAATACGATATGGGATTCTGAAAAATACAGTATTTGCAAAAAACAGGATATCGCCGTGGGAAAGAGCCCATCTTTTCACTTGTCCCACAGACGCCCAACCCGTTAAAAATTAACAGTCCCATAAAAACTTTGTAACTGTGCAAATTAAACTTAGGGGAGTACTTCTTTGGTATTATGTTGAATATTTGTTTTGGATCGTGTCTTGAAAATATTATACCATATTTATATCGACTGGGGAGAAGAAGCTCAGTAAGTTACAATTTAAAAGCACGAGGGACTTAGCAAAAACAAATCGTAAAAATATTTTTATTCCCTTTATTATCGACTGCTTTATTGTATAACTAGTTTTCCGCCCGCGGCTTTGCCCGCGTGGAATTTTGTCTGTCACAGAAAAACTTTACCGCGCGCGTCCCTGTTTCAAAAACCGGGATAAAAACTATTTAATGTCCTTTCTCGGGACTCAAACTACACACACCGGCAGATTTAGCGGAACGCAAAAAAAAGTATGAAAATAAGGAAAATTACTACTGATCTATGAAATATTTATTATACAAAATAAAGAGATAATTAAAATAAAATAAAATAACACATATTTTTTAAATATTTAGTCGTTTTTATTTAATAAAAAATCATCGAAACGAAATTTCAATTTTTCAGTTTTGAACAAAAATTAGAAATTGTGGCCAGATTAAAAATTAGGGTAGCTTATCACTATNGCAGGTTGGCTTCCGTCCGTGGCGAGGGTCGATTTTAAGGTTGGTGAAGCTCAGATTACCTGTCTCTGTGTTGCGAGGACTGATCTACCTTTCATCAATTTTCTATTATAAAAAACCTATACAGTCCACTTTCAAATCAAATTCCCTGAACCAGCGTAATAAACGCAATTTTCAGTGCGACATACGCACAGAGTGAAAAGTGCTATATCACTCAATTTTTTTAATCTGCAAAACGCCGTTCAAATTCGACGATTATTTCGTCCATGTATTTGAGGTGCTCCAAAAAATTACAGAAGATAAAAAAGATTCTATGGGCCGCAATAATCCAAACCGGGGGCCGTCGTACGCAGCCCGCGGGCCATGGTTTGGACAGCCCTGCTCTAATACAAGACTACATGGTGTACCAAACCAACTAGTTTTAATGCTGAGAGGGCTTTTTCGGTCGCAGGGTATATCTGCAGAAGTTGCGAATCAGGTTAGGTGTTAAACTACACACACCGGCAGATTTAGCGGAACGGAAAAAAAGTATGAAAATAAGTAAAATTACTACTGATCTATGAAACATTTTTTATACAAAATAAGGAGATAATTAAAATAAAATAACAGATTTTTTAAATATTAAGTCGTTTATTGATTATAACATCAAAACGAAATTTCATGGCTTTCAGTTTTGAACAAAAATTAGAAATTGTGGTCAAAATTAAAAATCAGGGTAGCTTATCACTAACCAAATGAATTTATTAATGACGGATATTTCCCCCTCTTGCTCTGATGATGGTTTCCATTCATCTGAGCATGCTGCAGTTAATGTTATGAAGGGTATTTTGGGGCAATGTCTGCCATTCCTCTAGTAACGCGTTTCTCAATACCCCCGGTGGTATTCTGGATTTCACACATCTTTTAAGAAAGTCCAAGACATGCTCTATAGGATTCTTGTCTAGGTATCTTGCCAGCCACTGCGTCATGGGTATATCCAAATGGTTTAGATGTGCCTGTACTGAGCGAGCACTGTGAGAACGATCATTATCGTGAATTAAACTAAAAGAGCCCACAATAAATGGAGTAAATGGCACATCATGTTCTTCTAAAATGATCCTAGTGTACCATTCAGAAGTCGTATTTCCTCCATCGACCACCACTAACTCCGTGCGAGCTCCCAAACATATCCCTCCCCACACCAGAATTAAGCTGCCGCCATATACCACAATATTTTCAAAATTAAGACTAAAAGTTACGTTCTCTTTGTGTCTCCATATTCGCAAACTTCCATCGATCTGGTTTAAGAGAACTCTGCACTCATAAGTGAAGAGATCATGTCTCCAGTCCAGTCGTTCAAGACCCAATCACGATATTCACGTGTAAAGTTCAATTTCTTTTTTCGGTGCTGTGTCACAATCACAAGTTGGAGCTTTCTCGGGTATGTAGGTACGACCCTATACCAACTTCAGTAAATCTCCTGTGAACTATGGGCTCAGTCACTCTTACTCCTCGAGTGTCTATAAGGTTATTTCAGCTCGCCACCTTCCATCTGAGCATCGCTAATTTTGTTGTTTTAATTTTATTAGGAAGCGAAGTAGAATCTTCGGTGGAGGACGAGGACGCTCTGCCGTTGCCGATTCCGCGCTCGGTACGGGCGTTATTTGAGGATGAGGTCCGTGGAGAAGAGGGGGCTGCACCAGCGGCTCTTGACTTTTCATGGCCTCCTCCACACTTCACTCCCTCCGTCGAGCCGGCTTCTTTGCCATCAGTCCAGGTGTTGCCAGTGGTCCCGGTCCTGGAGCTGGCGGTGCCGTCGGCGCCGTCTACAGCATTAGATAAGTTTGACTTCCAGTCGAGAGCTTTCACGCAACCTTAAAAATCGCACCAGAGTTGAGCAGGGAAACCTTCTCTGATATTAATTGTGGACCCACTACTCCATATGACGCTTTGACGAGTGGGTGTCTCCATTTCCAAGACAACGCGACTTGCAATCCTATCGAGCTAACGAGAGCTCAAGCTAAATTATTTAAAATTTATTTATTTATTTATACTTTTGCACATAAAACTGTACAGTGGCGGACTTAATGCCAAGTGGCATTCTCTGCCAAAATTCAGCCCATCGTAGACCATTTAAATCATAAATTATCCCATTTTTATACAATGGATCGAAATGTGGCACTGGATGAGAGTGACGATTTTGGAAGGGGTGGTTGGACATCAACCAGTTTATTAAAAACAAAGCAGCAGCAGCCGGCATCAAGACTTATGAGGTGTGCGAGGCCAAGACCTGTGGCGTTTTGAGGTCTATTCAGGAAGAGGCCTCAAACGCTCAAGCGTCCCCGGTCTCTGGGATCATACCCTCAATAGTCTTGAGGCTACTGAATGGTCTTTCGACGACTGGGATCTAGTCACGTTTTTAAGTCGCTCCGCGTACGAAAATAATGAAAAATGTGGGGTTTTAACTTATTGGACTCAAGCAGTCACCACGAAACTCGTGCCTGTGTCAGCTGACTTCAAGTTCACATTTACGGAGATACTCAGTATTTTTCACAATTCACATTAAAATCTTCGCCTCTATACCGTAAAATGGGGGGAATAGGGACACATTCGAGATTGACTTAAGGTTTGTTGACACGATTTTTCTTGATCAAAAGTTATCTAGACATGTTAGGGGTTAAGCACAGGAGGTTTAAAGATAACTTGCCAGGAAGAGATTTTGTGTACAATTTTTTGAAGCGACATAAGAATGACATATCGCTGAGGCTTTGCCAGAACATAAAACGTTCCAGGGCAGTTGTATCACCTTCTACAATTAATATGTATTTTTCCGAATTACAAAACTCTGTTGAACGTTCCTCTTAATAATATACTAAATTATGACGAGACGATCTAAATCTAAATATATAAAAGGAGAAACTGACTGACTGACTGACTGACATATCAACGCACAGCCTAAACGGCTAAACGTAGTCACTTGAAATTTGGAAGGGACGTAGCTTAGGTACCGTAGAGGTGCACTAAGAAAGGAATTCCCGAAATTCCCACGGGAACGGGAAATCAGGATATAGAAACTTTCAAATGCAGTGCAACAGGCTTTGACGTGGTCTGAGTACAAGCATAGTAATACTATAAAGTATTTGATTTCCATTACACCAGATGGACTGATGACTGATCAACTTTATATCTGAAGGCTATGGCAACTCCCCCCCCTGATGAACGGCAGAGCTAAAACCAGGCCCCCAGTCTCCGGCAGCCCCGTTGTTCCTGACTACGGTAGCGGTTGGGGTGACGACGGGGCGGGGGGTGCTAAGAATCCCCGGAGGAGGAATAGCTACCACCACAAACGACAACTGGCCCTCGTAACACACAACATCCGCACCCTGAGGTCCGACGAAAAGATTATAGAGCTGGAAGATGAATTAAGTAGGTTGCGATGGAGTATTATAGGGCTATCGGAAGTCCGACGAGAGGGCGAGGACACGATAGCCCTGAAATCCGGCAACCTGCTTTACTACCGGGAGGGCGAACAACTGTCCCAAGGTGGTGTCGGGTTTCTCGTCCACAAGTCCCTCATTAACAACATCATTACCATCGGAAGTGTGTCGAGCAGGGTTGCATACCTGATACTCAGAGTATCCAAAAGGTACTCGTTGAAGGTAATCCAGGTATACGCACCGACCTCTACACACCCAGATGAAGAAGTGGAAGCTATGTATGAGGACATAAGTAGGGCCATACATGCAACTGAAACCCACTTCAATGTCGTTATGGGGGACTTCAACGCTAAACTGGGCATGCGAGGTGATGATGAGCAGAGAGTGGGGANCATAAGTAGAGCCATACATGCAACTAAAACCCACTTCAATGTCGTTATGGGGGACTTCAACGCTAAACTGGGCATGCGAGGTGATGATGAGCTGAGAGTTGGAAACAAAGCGACGAATATTTAGCGATGTCTCCGTGATCAACAGGGTGAAAACCGGTAGTGATCACCGGATAGTCAGAGGCATACTAAACATTAACGTCAAGCTGGAGAGGTCCCGTTTGATGAAGTCTACGCTCCGCCCCTCTAATGCTCATATTCACTGCCCCGAGAGCTTTCAGCTCGAGTTGTCAAATCGCTTTGCATGCCTGGAAAATTGCGAGTCAGTGGACGAGATAAATAATAGGTTCGTAGAAACTGTCCAAGCGGTCGGGTTGAAATTTTTAGACCACGACGTAAAAATAAACCGCAAAAGCTAACCGACCGGACCCTCAAACTCATGGCTGAAAGACGTTCAATGACACTGCAGACCTCCGTTGACGCTAAGGCATATTGGCAGCTCAATAGACAGTTGCCATATGTTAAATAGTAATTTCTACTACTCTATTATGTAAATTATAACAAAAAATGTCACCGTTCAGTTTTAAATTAAAACAAATTAATTTCATTTCAAAAATGTTTTCACATTGTAATTAACAATATTTTCAAATATTTTAATTAAGAAAAAAATGAAAATATGAAGGAAACAGGAGCAGCGACATCTAGAGCGTTTTAGGGTAGTTAAAAAGTATTTGAATTTATCCACCGATGTCGCTGTTTGGAAGCAAGTTTCACTTCGATGACCGTTGTATGGAAGTTTCCGCACCCTGAGCCCCGATTACAGTAACTTTTAACGTTTCCAATCCAGACGCGCTTCATCGATTCTGCGATACGATTGGTCAAAACAGCTGACGTACGCTGTTGAACGACCAATCGTATCGCAGAATCGAGAAGCGTGTCTGGATTGGAGACGTTAAAAATTACCGTAATCGGGGCTCTGGTTATCACACCATACATATACAGGGTGTTAGGTAAATGGGTATCTGAGCCGACAATAGCCCATGTTAACATGGTCATATAAATGGTATGGTGAAGTCAGAAAATTGATATCTTCATTTTAATTATTTTAATTTTCATACAAGTCGGATTTTATAAAAATTATTTTGTATGAAAATAAAAAAAATAATTAATTATGATGTCAAATTTCTGACTTCACCATACCATTTATATGACCATGTTAACATGGGCTAGTGTCGGCTCATATACCCATTTACCTAACACCCTGTATAGTGATCTGTGTATCACACTGCGCCGCGCTCCGCCGCGGAGCGCGTGATTTTCATATAAAAAATCACGCGCGCGGACGCATTGTCAGTGTGAAGTGCCGCGCGTGTTTTCTATACAAACTGAGGTACTTGCATACAATGATTAAATCTGTCGCCCCGCGCTCCGCGGCGGAGCGCGGCGCAGTGTGATAACCGCCTAAGTGCCTTATACGGGAATCTATTCTCAAGTTATTTATAAATTTAGTTTGAGAAGCGACTGTAATTAATAACTAAAAAAATAGTNAGGAGCCATCGATTTATAATATTATAGTTGGGATTAGTTGGGATAATACTGTAAAGTTTCATCATAATCCGTTCTGTGGTTTTTGCGTGAAAGAGTAACAAACATCCAGACATTCAGACATCCAAACTTTTACATTTATAATATTAGTAGTAGGATATCTATAAAACCGAAATGTCACTAACTGTCTCACTCACTCATCACGAAATCTCAGAAACTACAAGTGCTAGCCTAGGAGTACATTTTGCATGGGGGTTTCCTTTTAGAACGTGGGTGTTCACTAAGATGGGATTTTCCAAAATTCCACGCGTACGAAGTCGCGGGCGGTCGCTAGTAAACAAATAGATTATATCATCATCATCAAAATAGTAAGTCACGGGTCTTAATTCGACGTTTATTAATGAGTTACATTATGTACTCACGGCTTGATGTTTCGGCTGCGATGCTGTAGCCGTGGTCACAAGCAAACTGTTGTTTAGTTTAATTGAAACGCGAAAATTTAAAATCTTATATCATCACCATCATTTCACAGGACGTCCAAAACTTATTGACGTTTATTTTTGTGTTTTCAGAGGATTCCTTCCCGCCGCTGTGAACTTCCTAAGAATGGTTCCTATATTAGGGACCATCCTCAATCTGCCATTTATTGGTTCGGTAAGTATACCATCTAATCATCATCATTAATTTCAGCCATAGGACGTCCACTGCTGAACATAGGCCTCCCCAAATGATTTCCATAGTGACGGCTTGGTAGCGGCCTGCGTCCAGCGCCTTCCTGCTACCTTTATGAGGTCGTCGGTCTACCTTGTGGGTGGACGTATCTAATACTATAATCCGGCCCCTGAGCACGTAGAATTTTGTCCAATGACCCCAAGCGACCTATCCTTATCGCTCGCGCGTAATTATATTGCTGTCGCGACTGTGCGACGGGCGCCCGCAGTGAGTGTGCGAGCGCAACAGCAATATAATTACGCGCGAGCGATAAGGATGGATGGGTAGCATGGGGTTATTGGACAAAATTCTACGTGCTCCGCGACCAGACTTTACACCATAAAATATAGGTACAGTCAGCTATACTTCGTGCGTGACCCCAAAGTATCCAAAAAGTTTGCAACACGTCTTGGAATAAGGAGTTGTTAAGCTTTATGAGGTCGTCGGTCCACCTTCTCCTACGCTATCGAATTGCTATAAACTATAAACACATGTTTTTTTTACAGATGGTGAACAAAATAGCCGGCGACAACGGCAGAAACATGGTATGATAGTGCGTGACGTACACTCAGTGCTAGTGATGTGACGGGCGTTATTTAAAATACACACGTTCCGATTTCTGTGGCCGAATGTGTAGCGGGCCCTTTGAATTGTTGCATTTGAATTTTCGACCTTATGTGACAGGAAATACGGTTCAAAGTGGCTTGGATGTTCTGACTGTTTAAAGAAGGCTGAATTTGAACAGTTTTAGACTTCAAGGGAAGGTGATAGGCTATAAATGTGTTTGTATATTTCGATTTCGACATATTAATAAAGTTGGATATCAGACAGAAAATTGAATTTTTACAGTTTTCGATCATAACTCGTGGAACCTAAGTGGTTTCATGAATCTGCGGTATTCGCTTAATAATTCAATGAGTTCTCTGAGTAAAACGAAAACCACATCAAAATCGGTTCAGCCAACGCGAGATAATCGCGGACAAACAGGTAAACCTTTTTTATGTCATTTAAAAACTCATGCTAAGTAATAAACCAGCTTTATTTGGTTTGGCTGTTTTTAATTCCGCAAACTACAGGCCAAATTGCACCTTATTTCCTCCACATAGAGTTCTTATTTATTTGTCAATAAACAAAATACATAATATTATGAAAAATTCGGTTTTACATAAATTGGAACGTGTATTATCTGTGTCGAACTTGCGGCTTCTCAAAAAAGTATTTTAAACTAATGTACAGATCGTTTCATCCACGAAGACGCGCCCCACCATTCTTCCTCTAATGTTTGAGTGTTATCGGTACACGCTGAATGATCCATGAGTGCACACGCACACTACAATAATGCCTTACGGATTGCTCGGATCAAACTCCCCGCACCCCGCGCGACCGAGACCAAACATTGGTGGGGCGTGTCTTCGTGGATGTTTCGTTTTCAAAACCTTTCTACAGTCAACCATATTAAAGGCGAAACTTTAGAAACTAGAAACTGTTTAATTATTACAATATAATGTACAAAACTGGATTTTGGGGTGAAATAGTGTTATTTATTTATTTTATAATACATAGTATTATACCAGCTTGGGTTGCAGTGTTATGTTTTATTTGTTTACAGTATACATTTTTGGGCTTGACTGTACAATATTTATTTGTATTCCATTTCTGCATAATTCATTTATTTACATTGTTTCACAATCAACCTCACACTTTTTCTGTAAAGCCATTAAGCGAAGCGATGTCGAAATCGAATCGAAAGCGAACACCATCTTGTCTACTAGTTCGATAAATACTATTTTGACGCAGCCGCGTGTTGTAGCAATATTAGCCATTTGTAAATATTTCCTATAAGACTGTACTTATTGTTGTACATAGCTACATTTGTCGATATATTTTTAATATATTATAGGTCTAGCAATTAACTGGGTCAGTGCCTGAGGTATGGGAGCGGAACGGGAGGGTGTTATTGTGACGTCAAACGTCAGCGAGACTTCAGATGTGCTAAAGTCTGGTCGACGAGCACATAGAATTTCGTCCAATGACCCCAAGCTACCCATCCTTATCGCTCGCGCGTAATTATATTGCTGTCGCGACTGTGCGACGGGCGACCGCAGTGAGTGTGCGAGCGCGACAGCAACATAATTACTCGCGAGCGATAAGGATGGGTAGCTTGGGGTCATTGGACAAAATTCTACGTGCTCACAGACCGGGCTTTACTACCCATTCGCGCTAAGTTTGCTTTACTACCCAACCGCGATTAAACGCAATTAGTTAGTGATCAAACGCAATTAATGTGTCTTATTTTACGCAAATACACTATTTTTATCAATATTAATAAATAAAAAATATTTTAAATGTAGTTTGTCATAGTTAAAGACGCTTTCCTTCGAGTGACGTCATATCACCAGCGGCAAAGTTATCGCCAACGGATAGTATATACTTATTTTATGCAGAACAAGGCAGGTATTTGACCGCCATCGCACCTGGTGTTAAGTGAGATGCAGTCTAGGATGGTACATATCTGCCCTGTAAGTGCCTATTCACTCTCGCCTTGAAAAGGCCCGGATTATAGTGTTCGGGAAAGTTCTTGTATGCTCTGTCACGTCATAATATGTCAATGTCACACTCCCATACCTCAGACACTCAGTTAAACGCTAGATCTATAGTCGGATTTCCTCCATAAAATAGTTTTGGTATAAAATGTACGTGAATGAGTGTAATTTAATTAATATTGTACTGTATCGTGAGTACTTTAATCTGGCTCTAAAATTCGTGTTTTCCAATTGCTGTATAATCAATTTTTTAATACAGCTAACGTCAAGTAGTTCGTGATACCCAAAGTGGCCAAAAAGTTCGCAACACGTCTTTGTTACAATGAGGGCTATCGTTTTTATACTTAACAGTTGGCACCCCTGGCGATTGACAGGACCTTATTCTACAGTGGCGCCATCTTGATGAGTGCAAATGTGATAGTCCTCCTACCACTTTAGCGCTCACCAGTTGGTGCCACTGTCTTCGCTACTATCAAGTGACAGGACCTTACTCTACAGTGGCGCTAACTGGTGAGCGCTAAAATGATAGTCCTCATTGGAATAAGGTTGTGTTGTCAACTTTTTGGCCACTTTGGGTGTCACGAACTATTTGACGGTGACTGTACCTTCGAAATAATGTCAATTGAGTTGTCAGAAATGTGACGCCATAACAAAATTACTGTATAAAATTAGGGATTGGTGCGTTTTGACAGCTCGAAAACAGGAGATCAATTGACTGTGGTGTCAGTCAAGTATAGGTCGCTCGATCAATATTGAGGCTATAACCAGAGTAAATACAAATGAGTAGGTCATCTTCATAGAAACGCACCGAACGCGGTTTGTATGTGAGCGCGCCAACACGTATGCGGCGCGCACGCACACACTGACAAAATTTAGCGGTGATTAGCGGGGAGGTGCGCCATATTTTGTCAGTGTGTGCGTGCGTGCAAGCGTGCCGTGCGTTCCTATGAAGATGACCTACTCATTTGTATTTACTCTGCTAAAACATACTCACATTGATGTAATTAAATACAGAACACAAACAACAACACATTAAAATTCAAATATCGAAACATTAGCTTTCTCGCTTTTGTTAAATGACCACAAGATTAGAGCGGAATAGAGCAACAAATGACTGAACGAGCGAGATGTCACTAGCAGCAACACTGTGAGATAAAAAGAGATGCGTGATGCTACTTGACAGAACCATAACAGAACCGTTTTTTGCAACTATTTGACAGTTCGTTAGCAAATTTTACGAGAACGAAATCGTGGATGTTTATGAGAAATAGTGCTTCAGAAACGTGGTGACTGGTTCAGTGATTGATTTATTTTACAAAACAGTGAAATAATCCTGACACACAGGTGACATCAGTGCCTTCCTAAAATCGGTTTCGTTTGACAGCTCGTGGTTCGTTGCTCTATTCCGAAGTAATATTAACTTTATAGTCCGACTACGCAAGATTTCAGCGCTGACAGAGCGTATACAGATACAAATCTTTGCTTGTGTTGATGGCCTCAACTCTCGTTGAGCGAAGTATAGTACCCAATTATGAATTTTATTTATATTTTTCCTATTGGATGTTTGGATCGAACATTTTAAAATCGTAATCGTGAAATATGTAGGCTGTGTGAGACTTGTATATTCCAAAACCTGTCCATGGGTGTACCTAGTTTCTTCCCGAAGGGTAGTGGGGTAGTCTAATCCAGGGGGTATTTCTGATTCAAGGGACGTAGGACTCCCTGAACCAAGGGGGGTAAATTGATCCCTGAATCAATTTAATTACCTTTTTCTTCGATCCAATTATCTTTTTATGTCAGTGTCAGATTTTAGGGGAGTTACAGTCTGATACAAGGGGGGATGAGCAAGTCTGATTAGTGATTTTGTCCCCAGTTCTTACGTCCGTATTCACAAATATTATTATGAGGTCTCACAGTGCGCGTGGACGCACAGGGTGACACACAAACCAATCACAAAGCTCATACAACGCTGTGCGCTCGATTTGCTGCTTCTCTTAAGCAGGGATTGTTTGTGAATACGGGCGTTAGAAATATAAAGACAAGGTCTCAAAATTCCAGTGAGGGGATGCCTTCGACTGTTCCTTCTCGGTACGCCCATGGAACTTTCTCAATAACTGGGACAAGTCAAAATTTTACTGTTGAATGTAACTTAGCAATATGTATGTGAATTTTAACGGAACCTCTTGTACAATTTGTATGCCTAAATGTAGAAATTCGGTATGTTGTACCTACTTTGAAGATAATATATTTACTTATAAACTATGAGGAGTTTTATTTTTACTACTATTAAGAGCGTTNGCTGTGTACACTGTCATTTTGTGTAGTTTATTTTGGCTTGACTTGTTTCAGGATGGAACAGACGGTCCATCGTTTGAACCATGACGAGGTTCAAAAGGTTGAAACGATTGACTGACCGTTCGTAATATTTTATTCTTTGATTAATTCGTAGGCTGGAGTTATCATTTCCTAGTCTTTTCTGCCATTTTGCACTTAAAATAAAAAGTAGAGTGTAAAAGTTTTTGTATGACAACTAGGGACATGTAGCCTCACAGGCTACTATCGATTTTCTAATTCGTATAAACAACCGATAACACGTCTGCCTTCTTCTATGGTCGTTTTAGCACTAAAACAAAAGCTACTAAGACGCTGGGTCGCTGCAAGCGAGGGGAAGTGGTCAATTCTAAGAATTTGAAAAACATGAGACGCCTGTAAGACTACGTGTCACTGGTTAAAGGTTAAAGGTTCTTACCGAGGATATTGATGGCGAAGTTAGTCAGCCCAGCGCTCAAGCCAGCCATGAGACTAGGCGGCGGTTTCCTCCTGGCCGCGGCGGCTCTCCTGGCGTGCTCCTCGTCGCCAGCCAGCAGGTCCAGGTTCCTGGCGAGCGAGCCGGCCCAGGCGCTGAGCGAGCGCACCAGCGCCGCCGCCGCCGCTGAGGCCACGCCCCTAACGCCGCCTGAAGCCCCGCCCACGCGAGCCGCTAAGGCTCCCGGGGCGCCTAACAGCTCTAGACCGCCTACTACCCAACCTACACCCAACAATTATCATCATCATCATCATCATCATCTCAGCCATAGGACGTCCACTGCTGAACATAGGCCTCTCCCAATGCTACATCATCACATCATAAAGGTAACAGGAAAGCGCTGGACGCAGGCCGCTACCAACCGGGTAACATGGAAAGCATTTAAGGACAATGCTAATGCTAAAATATCATCTCCCAATGATACATCATCATCATAAAGGTAACAGGAAAGCGCTGGACGCAGGCCGCTACCAACCGGGTAACATGGAAAGCATTTAAGGACAATGCTAATGCTAAAATATCCTCTCCCAATGATACATCATCATCATCATAAAGGTAGCAAGAAAGCGCTGGACGCAGGCCGCTACCAACCGGATAACATGGAAAGCATTTAAGGACAATGCTTATGCTAAAATATATGCGGAATTTCTATATTTCGTTACTTTATTAGTTGTAATCATTGTATTTTAAATAATCTTTTTGATACATTTAAGTGGGTACACGTCTTTGTGGGTAATTTTTTAAGATGTGTCAAAGAGGTAATTTGAGTTTGAGAATTCTGGGCTGGGCTTCAGCATGATTACTTTACATCAGATGAAAAGAGAATCAGGCATACGTTGAATAGTAATAAGACTCGCTCATTATGACGTTAAGAAATTCTGAACGTTTGTGGTCTCCAAATTCATTGGTTCTGTCAAGTTCCTATCCTATAATTGATTTAAAGAAAGAAAAAATATTTATTTGACAACATAATATTAAAAAATAAAAACATTCATATCATTTGGATCACAAACATCAAAAGGAGAAAGAAAAAAGGAAAAATAATAATAAATTTGTCAAAAAGGCCACCCACTCAATAACGTCTTGGCCCGTCTGCCAATACACTGATTTTCAGTGATTTAGGAAAAGGAGTGTAAACTTACCGGCACCCAAAATGGCGGCAGACAAGTAGTGCACGGTCAGCGCATGCGTGAGCCGCTCCGCTGACGTCATCACGCGCTGCAGCCGGAATGCGCCCAGACGCAGCGGGCTTTGGTCTAGCGCAATATACATGCGCACCTACAACATAATTCGTTGTTGAGCGTGACTTTTAAAAAGCTGATGTTCTGAAAATGCATTTTTTTAAAGCACACACTAATATGTTGTACTCATGAATGAACACGCTGTGCAGGACGAGCGTTTGCATTTTTATGCAGTGTGTGAAGAGTTGGATACTTTGGTTGCTGTAGATAGAGCTTCTTCGTAGGAGATACGTAGATAAAACACCAGACAATAGTTGATTAATATATTTGATGTTGTTCGTGCAACAGTGGTACAAAAAGTGAAGTAATAATTAATTGAATATAAAACGAAGACTAGTTATTATGACAGAATATTACAAATTAGGGATTGGTGCCGAGTGCAAAAGACAAAGAAAAGTTATTAGGTACATGATTAATCTGTCCTCAATATTTGGTACGTACATGGTGTGATGAGTGCATAAAGTATGATGCAATCATATTTTATAATTAACTGAGTACAAAGTAGGCACAAGTGTTTCGAGTACTACAGGAGTGGTGTGTGTGCAAAGACTTCTATGTTATTATCTTATCTATCTATCTTGTGTGTTAATAGATAGACAATTTCATCTGTATAGCTTGTGGAAATCGAAGATTGTGAAGATATGTGTGAGCGTGAGTCGCCAACCCGTCTGGCCTTTTTTATTTGCTTCTGGTAAATGGCAATGCTAGATTTTGTATGGAAGGTGGCGTCTATTTTTTTTCGCGCGGCCATCGACCAACCTTTGTTTTTTGATTACAAAATAGTGTAATAAACCAAATTTACTATGACAAGTATACCTCTAAACTCAGTCTGAACTGAGTTACAAGCATTAGAAGTTTGATGATTTACATACTAGATTTGCTTTTTGCGCGCAAGTTTTGTAAGAAATTGCAACAAAATATTGCGCTATTTTTTTTATTGCGCTGATTCTGCTCCATACTGATGTCTGGAGCCTTTAATGGATGGTATTGTTTGTTTACACATACAATGTCACTATTTTGTTGCAATTTCTTACAAAAAGCAAATCTAGTATGTAAATAATCAAACTTCTAACGCTCGTAACTCAGTTCAGAACTTCAGACTGAGTTTAGAAGTATACATGTCATAGTAAGTTTCGTTTATTACACTATTTTGTAATCAAAAAACAAGGTTTGGTCGATGGCCGAGCGAAAAAAAAAGACGCCAATTTCCGGCATTTTCTTTTGAGAGAATCGTACTCATGCAGTGGATATCAAATGACCTGATGTTGATAATAATGATGACGTGTACTCACAGCGGTGTGGAGCGTAAGCGTGAGATCCAGCGGGCGCAGATGCAGCGCCTGCAGCCTTAGCGGCGCCTGCAGCGTGTGTAGCTCGGCCAGCGCGGCGCCGGCGTCCCCCAGCGGCGCCGGCGCCGCCGCCAGCCGCGCCAGCGCCACCAGCGCGCTCACGTACGCATCCTCCACGTACAACGCCAGCGGGCCCAGAGATATCTCCACCTCGGTTAGCTCTGTTCACGTAATTTTTAGCTATTCAAATGTCCGCCTCGGTTATTTCGATCACATACAATTTTGCTATTCAAATGCGGTAACTGGTAAGTATATTAATAGTAATTAAGCATAGAGGACGCGAGTGAAACACAGGACGCATTGATTTATCATCAAAGTATGAGCAGAGTAAATACAAATGAGTAGGTCATCTTCATAGAAACGCACCGAGCGCGGTTTGTACATATGTGAGCGCGCGCCAATACGTATGCGGCGCGCACGCACACACTGACAAAATTTAGCGTGGATTAGCGGTGAGGTGCAAACCGCGCTCGGGCATTTCTATGAAGATGACCTACTCATTTGTATTTACTCTGGTATGAGCGTGGTGCGTCCACGCATCCTGTATCTATAGCTACGTAACAATGTAGGTATGTAGACGACGGCCGGACAAGTAACAAAATAAAATTTAACACCAGTGATTACCCTTAAAATAGGACTCGGAGGTGAACTGTGATATACCGGCGATCACAATAGATCGATACCGAACGCATTGATACTGAAACTCCATTGAAGTCGAACATACGTCCAACAAGTAAAACTTCACCTTGAAAAAAAAAACTGACTTTTTCAAAGGTATTTTTACTTGTTGAGCAGCTGAGGACAGGAGGGAGTTGCTACTTGATAATTAGCACCAATAATTCCAAGATACAACTTCTATAAGAAAAATAATTGTCTATTGTATAGGATTTCTGTAAAAATAGGCTTAAGCTTGGAAATAAAAATAAATAAATAAATAAAAAAACTTCAATCTACCCTTAAAGTTGGCTATAATTAAATATGTAACTTTGAAGTCATAAAAAGTGTACTTAAAATCTTAAATACTGGCTGAAATGTTGCTCATTTTGGATTCTCACACGTTTTGACAGATCATAAAAAGTATGTCAATTGACTATGATGTCAAGACAGACAGTTCTTTCTGATTCATATGGTGTTCTTTTTTACTCGTCTTTACCCACATATAATAAGAGATTTATTTGCTACCATGGTCTGTAGATGTTCGCTGCGTTTTCCATCCCTCACTCCCGGCTCTGCTAATTCGGTGTAGTCAACTAACACAAAGTAGAAGAGATGGGAACGAGAAATGGGAGTAGATCCGGTCGTAGTCTTCTGGCTGAAATTGGACCGTAGAGATCTGGCCTACACTCAAACTGATCCACATAAGCAGAATATTAAAGACTACACACCAAGCTGGCCGATAGCTTTATTTCAAAAGAATCATGTCGACGTCTTGTACTTTCAATGACTTTTGACAACATGTCAAAAGTCGATGACACATGTCGGCGGGTGCGGTGTGTAGACTGCATTAAAAAGAAAGCAATGCTTTGGGCGAGGTTTATTTTTAACTTACCCGTGCACTGGGTGTCCATAACAGGCCACGTATCTTGCTTTACATTCTATGATTTTTGACAAAATGTCAAGTCGACGACTCATGTCGGCGGGTTCGGTGTGTAGACTGCATTAAGAAGAAAGCAATGCTTTGGGCGAGGTTTATTTTTAACTTAACCGTGCACTGGGTGTCCATAACAGGCCACGTATCTTGCTTTACTTTCTATGACTTTTGACAAAATGTCAAATCGACGACTCATGTCGGCGGGTTCGGTGTGTAGACTGCATTAAGAAGAAAGCAATGCTTTGGGCGAGGTTTATTTTTAACTTACCCGTGCACTGGGTGTCCATAACAGGCCACGTATCTTGCTTTACTTTCTATGACTTTTGACAAAATGTCAAGTCGACGACTCATGTCGGCGGGTTCGGTGTGTAGACTGCATTAAGAAGAAAGCAATGCTTTGGGCGAGGTTTTAACTTACCCGTGCACTGGGTGTCCATAACGGGCCACGTGTCTTGCTGCAGCCGGACTAGGACCCTCGCCGTGTCTTCCCTGACGTCGAAGGCGTTTCGTTCCACCAGCATGCTCCACAGCGGCGGCCAGCGTTCGTCGTCGTTCTCTTTGGTTTCTGTGGGCGTCGACGCCACCACGCCGAAGTCAAACTGTCCGCTCTCGTATTGGAGGTTGTCGACTTGGAAGCCTGCTACGGATAGCGTCGTTTTTGTCCTCTGTGAAACAAGTTAAGTATTCTATGAAACTTTACAGTATTATTGTTTATAACCCAGAATAACATACATATAGGGTATTATTTATGACGATCTGTGATAAACTAAAATCCACGCGGGTGAAGCCGCGGGCAAAAGCTAGTTTTTTCATAATAAGATAAGTCAAACGAAGAAGGTCTTAATGCAGTTTCTAAAAATGTTACACACCACGCCACGCAATTAATTTGTATTAGAACTATAAAAAAATATTGTCTTGTTGTCTCTATCTTAGTCGTCTACGTTCTGCTCTAAGTAACCACAAAAATTGCTAGAATTTTCTTCATCAGCTTCCGGGGAAGGGGAGGTCAGCTACTCCCCCTGGAACTTATAAACCTCTACATACCTTCCCTATGTTTCTTTATTAAATGTGTAAGTCTGCGGGCACGAAATTGGCGACGGCCGAGCGATGGGCGGGACAACGCGACGCGAAGCGGCGGCGATGAGGAATAGTACTGCGATCGCCTCGCTTGTTTCGTGCGCGTCACCATATACTGTCATGTTGTTGTATGCCGCGCCGCCCCACTGTTGCAACCGCTCGGCCCGTTGCCAGTTTCGTGCGGACTACCTGCAAGCTCCCTGGCATCCAGGAACCGCCCGCTCGCTGGTCGTTCACTGGGCCTCGATCAACGTCGACTCACCCGGTGGGCTAGTACCACGCCGAGGGCGGGACAGTGGTGCCACAGGTACTACAAGTCAGACCGTCGCCAAAACTTCGTCCCAACCACCGACTGGTAGCCAGTCGAGAAGACGCACGGGCCATGAGCAGCAGCTCGACACCCGAACCGGCTCAAGGAGTCGACGTACCAGGATAAAAAGTTTCGTGCCCGCAGAAGGCCTCAGCCTCGAATTTAGCGGGCAGCGGCGCGGGAGCGGGGCGGGCAACGCAGACCCGTTCTCGAAACAAGCGGGCAGCTCGCGCGGCGCTTTAGCGGCGAAGTGTTGTGTTGGGGGTTGTGTTATCGAGATATTTGTTTTTATTCGCAAACGAAATGTCTGAACAACAGCGACAATTTTATTTCGATTCAAATTTATTCCTAACGCTCGATTTATTGTGGGCAAAAGAAGGAGTGCGCTGCCCGCTCGTTGCCCGCTCCCGCGCCGCTGTTTTCGAGAACCGGCCTATTTGATTTTATGCATAAGATCCTGCCGCTCCCACGCTGCTACCGCCGCCGCCCCGCTGCTCGCTAAATTCGAGGCTGAGGCCTTAGAGCGGGGAGTCTTTCTAACAATCTGTTTCCACCAGGCCCAAAAGCTGGGTACACCTATGGGTCCGCCGTACCTTGGGCTCGCTGAGCACCAGCAGCGCCGCACGGCACACGTGTAATGCCAGCAGCGGGCGCGCCTCCGCGCTGCTCGCCAGCTCCACGCCCAGCGACGACACCACGATGCGCGCGCGCTCGCACGCCGCCCACGGCGCGTCCTCCGACCAGCCTGTGCGGAACAATGTTTAAAACACACGCACAGCGTGATATACGACCACATCAAAATCTTACATTTGCTGTTTGGTGTAGTGGTTCGAAACGGACTACTATTCCGGAGGTTGCGGGTTCGATTCCCGCACAGTACAAACATTTGTGTGCATGAACATATTTGTTTGTATTGGACTGGGTGTTTTCTATGTATAATATGTATGTATTTACAAAAAAAAAAGTATTTAAGTATGTTTATATCCGTTGGCTAGTATCCATAGTACAAGCTTTGCTTAGTTTGGGACTAGAAGCGTAGTGTAAAATATCCAAGGATATTTATTTATTATTTATTACAGGGTGTGGTTTTGTAAAACAACGCCTATCTCGGGTGTGGTAGTATACACGAAACTGATGCCAAACATTTTTCATGGAAAATCCATGAAATCAGGAAAATGGTAAGTATTGCAAACGTTGTGATAGGGATAAAGACATGCGATTTTTGGTTTTACGAAGGTAATACGATAGAGAATAATACAAAGTAATAAAAACCACCGGTTATAGGGGTATGTTTTGGAGTTTATCAAATAACCAAAAAACACGAATTTAAAAGCAGATTTTTTCAAAAAGTATTATTTTTTATTATTTGTTGGTCTTTTTTGTGTATTTTATGTTTTTTTTAGTATCGTCTGTTATTTAGCATTATAACTGTTTTATTTGATCAGGATATACCGCTTAGTTTAAAAGTTATTACGTTTTATTTACAATAAGTAATTGGAAGAAAAAAAATCTATAAATTTAAAAAAAAAATCTCAAAAATTTTTTGACCTCTTTTTTGTCGATAAAAATAGGTCTAGTTTCATCTATTTTCATATGTACACTTTAACGTGACTCACACTATATTTTTCTTGTCAATACTTTCATGTGTACCTACCCCTCCTGAGATGGGCGTTGTTTTACAAGACCACATCCTGTATTTACGTAACGTATACCAATATATTATGGAAGTTTTTCATTCTTACTTGATTATTCGTGTAACATTACATACTTAGGGACCTCCTGCGTTAGCCTACGCAGCGCTGGCGTCGCATCTGCGGTGTGAATACCTTATACAATAACTAATTTGATAATATTGAAAACTACATTATTATTTACACTAAAATCTAACCACAATGTACCAAATATTCGGTACACAACCTGCACTAGTTTATCGATGCCCAAGTAAACCTACAGCATTTTGATGCGTACGCGCAGACTGCTATTATTTATACTTCATTGTGCTATATCTTCGTTTTCCTTGGTCATCTTCTTGGACATCTTTATTGAGGTACTACTTTAACTTACTTATCGTTGATATATTAATGTCTGCTTATTTGCTACTAACTACACGTTTACAAAACTTTTTACGGGTAAAAACTATCTAATTGCCTGTGTGTGCCAAAATACTTTTTTATAACTAAGATTAACTACTTTAAATAAAATCATACCCTACATAATGAGGTACAGCCGGTCGTATACTCATTACCCTGCATTTCAATGTCTGGTTATGATACCAAGTCAACGAACCTGGCGCACCCACTTCAGGGAATACGAAGGACATTTCCGAGGCAAGTAGCTCTCCCGAAGGAGCTATCAGGCGAACCGGCAGACTGTCAGTATCTGAAGCGAATTTCAAGTTTAACAACTTGTCCTGAAGTATTACCTACCTGTACAGTATTTAGGTGCATTATGTTTTTTGTCTTTAAACTACCTATTTTCTCGTTCATTAAACATTTTAGATACCAATCAACCGTCAGTATGACATCCTATTTATTTATACTACATACATTTTCATTTCATCAAACTACCTAACGTCTATCACTCGTACAGTAACCATTTAAGCAATTATCAACCGTCAATCACAGTTAGCACAAGTCTCATAGGCAGTTTTTTCTCAGCAGCTAGGCTGTTCCAAACACATACACATATTTAGCGCCATCTATAGAATGTTTGTAAAGCGCCATGTATGATTCTTCTCACGTTTACCGAACTAACAGGAGTACCGAACTAATTCATTTAATGAATCATAGATGGCGCTGAACTACGTCCGTTTCGTGCTGTTTGCACGACCATTTTTTTTTCTCGAACGTAACAATACAAACTACCAAAAATGTCTCCTGAGTTTCTCTTCAACATAGGCTGAATAGATATTCCAATGTAGCGTTAGGAGTTAAAGTTCGTTGATTGGGCTTTTATGCTTTGCCAGCTTCCAAACTACAATCATCGTCAAACTTCAAATTCGGTAAAACCGAATTATAGATGACCCACGCTGAACTGTCCCACCAAACTCAATGACAGAGGGGCGCTACTATCGTTCAACTTTAAGGTTTCCAACATGGCAAAAATCGGAACCAGCGATCCGGTATTGACAGTGGCGCCCCGCTGTCGATGTCATGGATAGGACAGTTCAGTATTTTGGAACTATACGTTACGTCTAACGCTTACGTTATGTCAAAAACCTTGTCATGTGCTTTCAGGGACACTGACATATTAGTCAGGCAGGCACATACAAACAAACAAAAGCAATGATTACTTACCTATATCGCCTTTATCTTCCGACAGCTTCGCATCCTTGACGACTTCCAGGTTGTCTGCCGACGTGCCCGCTACCGGCTCTTGTTCTAAAGGCAGTATCGGCACAGACACTTGCGTGCCGGACGCCTGTTTGGCCAGCTCGGTGGCTTCAACTAGCGTCGCCGTGTCTGCTTCTATCACGTCCAGAGCTGACTCGGCCGTTTCGTCGGGGGCTATTGCGGTGTCCAGTACTGTAAAGATGATTAATAATTAGTTTCAAAAGTTTTAGAGGATTTAAATAATAGAATAATGATTAACGACAGTACTCACGCTTTTCATCTGCCCCTGTTCGTGTCAATTTATGTGAACTTGTCTTTTCTATTTCTTTGGTTTCCTTTCTCTGAAAGTATTGCATTTTAATAATGAAAATATAAAACAAATACCAAAATATTTATTTAATTTCATTATATTTTTCTCACCTGTATAGATACAGTTTCTGTCGATAAATATGGTTCAAGTAGTCGTTTTCTGATGTCACTCGCTGATATGTCATTCTGAAAGATATAATCACAAAATTGCAATGGAGGATAATTTTATAGTTTATTAAGGTTTACATAATATAATGGTTGATTTGGAGTGTGGCGATTACACTCAATAAAAAGCAGGTTTTGCCAGTCTTAACCAAACATCAGGCATTCTGAACTCATCTGGAAAGCGAAGGTAGTGTGTATCCTCCATTCTCTTGGTAAATAAAGACGGCGGTGCTGCAGTGGAACCAAATGACCTGATGATAATGATGAGAGACGTGTGATATGACGTCACACCCTTCATTTACACACAGTCTTACAAGTACGTCAATGAGGACTATCAAATTTGCGCTCACTGTTGGTGAAGGCATACTTTTTAATCCACCACTTATTATTGTATTCTTTCCCACTCCTGAAATTCCTAGAAGTACCTGGGTGCTGGCAGTGCAGGACCTATTATTGTGGAAATTCGAATCCTCCTCTAACGACGTCCAGCAGTGGACGTCGTTTGGCTGAAACCAACAAACGAACCAACTGACACTTCTGTAAACCAGGATCTACAGTTTGGCCTCCAACGAAGCACAACCAGTGAAGGTTGATTAGAAGACCAGTGGAATAGCTTACTGTTATGGAACTCAACGAAATTAATCTGAAGAATATTATGAGGAGTTCGAAATATAGTATCGACTTTTCTCCATTGTTATTAAGGATGTTATCAATGCCTTAAGCTGATTTAGGCCTGGTTCAGACATAGTGTTCAGGAAGTTCTCGTAAATTATCATCAAACCTACCGCCACCGCCTTAGTGTCTCGCCAATGAGAACTAACCAGAATCCGCGCGGTTATCGCGCGTATCTTCTGAACCAGGCCTTAAAACTTAAAACAGTTGTGGGTCCAAATTCAAAACTTATGCGGATCGATATAAAGTTGAAAATAGCTTGATCACCTGTTGCACGTCGTGAAGTTCGAGTAGAGTAGAGTGCGGATGCGATCGCACGCGCGCCTTGACCGTGAGTCCGGCGCTCAGCTGGACTAGTTGCTCGCCGTCTATCGGCGCAAGCGCTAGCGACGCACTCCAAGCGTGTACGCCTGACTCTGCACACGCGAAAATGAACCTTAAGTACTTGGTCCACTGTCGACTTACTATTGGCTGTTTTTTCGCTCAATAAACGCAAAAAAGATGTAGTAATGTGCCAATAAAACAAAGTAATTACAGTTCCAGCAGAAAACATTAAGACCACTCCCAGTATTTTTCTGGATGACGTAAGAAACAACTAAAAGACAAGTAAAAAGTCTGTAGTCACTCTCTTCTCATAAAGAACATAAAGTTTAAATCAAGTTTTTGCAACCCATCTATCTAGGGTGGTGAGTATACACCAAATCTGTTCTTCTGACAAATAGGAGAGAGTTCTAGTCTTGAAAATAGACTCAAGTCTCGAAATCTAATTCCAGATACAAAGGTAACTGACTGACTGACTGACTGACATAGTGATGTATCAACGCACAGTCCAAACCACTGGACGGATCGGGCTGTTATTTGGCATGCAGGTAGATGTTATATGACGTAGGCATCCGCTAGAAAGGATTTTACGAAACTCCACTCCTAAGGTGGTAAAACGGGATCCGACGACGAAGTCGCGGGCGGCCGCTCGTAAAGACTAAAAGACTCGAGTTTCTTCCAACTCTGTCCTATGCAGTGATACACCCGTATAGATGACCCACGCTGAACTGTCCCACCACTCAATGACGGGGGGGCGCTATCATCGTTCAACTATATGGTTTCCAACATGGTAAAAATCGGAACCAGCGATCCGGTATTGACGGTGGCGCCCCGCTGTCGATGTCATGGATAGGACAGTTCAGTATTTTGGAACTATATTCACAAACGATGCTTTTTTTATATCCACAACGAGGAAGGTCTTGGCCTGTATCTCACCTGATGGTAAGTAATGATCAGGCCAAAGGTGCTTGCTTAAGTGAAGCAGTAAATTGAACGCACAGTAATTGGTTCGTGTGTCACCCTGTGCGTCCACACGCACTGTGAGACCTCATAGGGTGCGAGTGTCCCACCTGTGTCCCGCGCCAGCACCAGCAGCGGCAGCGAGGCGGGCGGCTCGGCGCCGGGCGGCGGCGGGTAGCGCGCGCAGTGCGCCGGGCTGGAGTAGTGCGTCACGCCGCCCGCCGGCACGCTGCACCACCAGCGCGCGCCCGCGCACTCCGGGACCACCTGCGGACCGGGCTTATGTTAATCGGGATAAAGGCTATTGTTGCTTGTGTAGGGGCCAGGGGACGCGATGTCAAATAAAACCGTACTTTTTAAATAATAAATAAATGAACAATTTGAATTTGAATTTTCAAAACTACACTGTTTATTGGCACACAAATCACATACATTGAGTGCCAGGCAAAAAAGGACTGAAAAATTCCTATGGCGATGAGGGTTTTCGCGAATGAAAGATTCGCTAGATGGCGGGACGTGGATGTGGGGTCTGGCTGCTGCGTGATTGGTGGATTTTGACATATCTGTCAATGTCATGTCAAAAATAACCAATCATGCAGCATTTGGACCTTGCGTCTACGTATTGCCATTTGGCGGATTTTTCATTCGCGAAAACCCTCATTCGTTCGCTCATTCTCCTCCCTGCTGCCGTGCCCGCCCCCTCGCGCTTGGCGCCACAGGGCGGCGGATAGCGGAACCAATTCAAATTTCAATTTTGGGCACGTCGCTAACAGCTATTTTGAAACCGCACACCATATCCATCTATGGTTTATTCTTTTGCAGTTTAAGACCGCGCATTCCATGAACAGTTGTAGATGTAGGTATAATAAGTTATTTTATTTTGAAACCGCGCACTCCGGGACTACCTGTGGGCCGACTGGCTTTGTTTTATGTGCTTCGAACAAATGTTATTTTGAAGCCGCGTACTACAGTGATACCTTCAGTATGCTGTTTTGAATAGGCGCACTATGGGGCCACCTGCGAGGCCGTCATGCAGTGGAATAATCTACCTAAAATCATTATTTCGATAGGAGACCAGAGCATTGGCAACAGACAGAATACTAGCGCCGCACTATGTCCCAACCTTTCATGAAACGAGCTAGAAATGCGTGTATATTCTCTTATTCTCTTCTATCGTTACTGATTGGTCATTTATGTGCCGGTACATGTTATGTCTTTCTTTTCGCCTCTCCTTTTGTCATAGCTGCAGCAATACGTCATTTTTTAGACTTGATTTCCTTTTAGGCTGACATCGGTGACCGACGTCAGCGGCGCGCACGATTACACACTAGTTCTATGTAATCATCTGCCGCTGACGACGCCGTTGCAGTACGGTGCTTCATAGAACATTGTGTTTATTCGTACGCTCGACCGATGTACGCGACCGACGTCAGCGTAGGAGGAGATCAAGCCTTAGGCCCTTTTCACACGTCCCGGTTGCCGGCTAACAGGCGCCGGCTACCCGGCGTCAAATGAGCTTTCACACGCCCCGGTTGATGACGGCAGTATCGACTAGAGAGCCAACAAGAGTACAGTCTCGTTCATTTCATACTTTCAAAGATGGACCGTGAACAAATAATTGCAATGTGGCTTTTATATCGAAGACGAAAATATCTGCACTGGAAAGAAATATCAAGAAAATATTGGGTTCATCTAATTAATATGAAAAGAGATGCATTAGGTGCATTCTATACATTATACCCAGATCTACGAGCACATGAAGACAGGTTTTTCCAGTACTTTAGAATGTCTATAACTACTTTTGACGAATTACATAACCGTTTGAAGAACTCTTTGCAACGTCAGGATACAAAACTCTCGCAGACTGTACCTGGACGACTGACCGGCCGGCGCGTGTGAAAGCTAGTTGCGTGTTCCATACACCACTGTCAGTTCGGCCGCCGGCTAACCGATGCTCGGCGACCGGACGTACAGTGGTGGATCCGGCGCGCACCCGGCGACCGCCTGCCGAATTAATTACGCCGGAACGTGTGAAAGCTACGTACCATGCCCATACACTTCACCACCGGGTACCCGGCGCCGGATAGCCGGCAACCGGAACGTGTGAAAAGGCACTTAGGGTTCCGTAGTCCTGACGTGTGTGTGGTGTGTGTTGTGGTAACGACGGAACACCACGGAACCCTACACTGCGCGTGACACGACACGCACTTGGCCAATTTTTATTACAGTTCTAAAAAGGTTATCTTTCGTACTGACCCCCGGGCCTCCCTCGACGGGCTGCGCGACTGCGAGCGGCGCGTGCGAGCGGTTGTGCACGAGCAGCTGCGGGCACGGGTCGCGCGCCACCGCCACCAGCCAGCGGCCCTCGTGCTGCATTTGCGTCACCACCACCGCCACCTGGGGAGACATACTGGTTGAACTCTAGTTTGCTGTTGTTGTTGTTTCAGCCGAAAGACGTCCACTGCTTGACAAAGGCCTCTCCCAAGGATTTCCACAAAGACCGGGCCTGCGCCGCTCGCATCAAGGCACCTCCCGCGACCTTACTATGTGGTCGCTTACTATGGGCCTCATAAGAAGGCTCAAGGTCACCCAAAGGGCGATGGAGCGCGCTATGCTCGGAGTCTCCCTGCGTGACCGACTCAGATATGAGGAGATCCGTAGGAGAACCAGAATGACTGCCATAGCCCGCAGAATCGCTATAATCAAGTGGCAGTAGGCGGGGCACATAGCTCGAAGAGCTGTTTGCTGAGGTGCATTCAAATTGAGTAAGGTATTATGATTGTTGCCACCTGGGTCATACGTCATAACTTCAACATTTCTCCACCGGGCGACCGCGCGCGGCCGCCGTTCGTGCCAGTCAATTCGGGCGTGCGGTGCGTGGTATACTAAAGGATCATCCACCTCTCATTTCTACTTCTGCAACTCCAACTCCAAAATAGAACACGAAGCTCTTTTGAGAGTTCATTATTTGTTCGTATCCGTGGGTAGGCCTTTGTCCAACAGTGGACGACGGAATTCGGTTGAGAACTCTCATCATCATCATCATTTCAGCCACAGGACATCCACTGCTGAACATAGGCCTCCCCCAATGACTTCCACATTGCACGGTTGGTAGCGGCCTGCATCCAGCGCCTTCCTGCTACCTTTATCAGGTCGTCGGTCCACCTTGTGGGTGGATAAATAGCAATGTAGAACGCCGCCAGCGCAGACGTCACGAAACTTGTGTGTTCCACCCACTTACAATTCTTATCGTTGTTATTTGATACACACCGGCACGTTTTCCACGTCTGTGAGCGACCAGGACCCGTCTAAGCGGCGTCTCACCCAATCTGAAGAGCACAATCGCTGCCGCCATCCGGTAGCGCCACGCAAAGCATCGCCGCCAATTCACGTGTCATGAAACTTGTGTTGTCTCACTCACGTACCTTCTCTATGGTTTTTATTTTTCAAGTCCTGGTACATACCGGCTTATTTTCCACGTCTGTAAGCGACAGGGCCCGCCTCAGCGGCGGCTCGCCGAGTCTCACGGGCACGGGCGCGGCCGCCGGGTAGCCGCCATCGGGTAGCGCCACGCAAAGGAACGCCGCAAGCTCAGAGGGCGCGCCGCCGCCGTGCCAGCGCCCGCGCAGCCAGAAGCGACATAGCGGCATGCCGTGGATGCTGATACAAACGTCTCCTGATTTTATTTCGCAACACGCATAGAATACAGATATTCACAAATGCAAAAATTCTTAAAGATGCTTTCGGTCTACTACTGTCTTCTGCAGCACTAGTGTATGGCTGTGACCTTACTACCCCATAAATCCACTTGCTTTCAGCATAGCTGAGAGCGGCGAGACGGCAGTTCCAGACTCAAGCTTGCAAGAACAATATGTCTTCAGCAGTTCCAGTGTGTCCAGTTGTAACCCTTATCCTTTTTGGGATTACTCTTGTTAAATATCTAATCGGAGAGATGCAGTTTAATTATTTATTTATTTATTTATTCATGTTGTGTGACATAACAAATACATTTATTTAATTCACGTACTTTTTAAAACTATCAAAACGAGACTCATAGATTTTGTATGGCAATACAAGCAAGTGACGTCACTATTTTGTCAACTCAATGAAACTACTATTTTCAATACAAAAGCAATCAAAAATTGTAATTCACAGGTAATTTCAAATTAATTAAGTTTTTAAGACCAGAATGAAGTGTCTTTTTAAAAAAAATATTGGCAAATGGTGTCAAATAGTCTATTGTTTGATAAGTAGATTGACATTTCCAACAAAAAAAAGAGTTTATATGAAGAGCTTATGGGAACCAAGAAATGTACTTAGAAGAAAGACATTACACAAGGGAAAAGCACAAAGGTCCTTACCTCCCCTCTTTGGTCGGTTCAACCACTTTGAACGTCTTCGGGCGCAGATCCACATTCATACCTGGTTCTATTGGCACCGCCACTGCTGACACCTAAAACAAAGCAGTCGTTCAGGAAAATTCATCATCACAGCAATCTAAATAACTCAAACTAAAGGTGACCGACTGACTGACATAGTGATCGATCAACGCACAGCCCAAACCACTGGACGGATCGGGCTGAAAGGCATGCAGGTAGATGTTATGACGTAGGCATCCGCTAAGAAAGGATTTTACGAAACTTCACCCTTAAGAGAGTAAAACGGGATCCACGCGTTCGAAGGCGCGGATGGCCGTTAATATTAACATAATAGTAGACTCAAACTCACCAGTATGTCAGTGTTTAGACTGTTGATAAGCACGTACGTAGGACTGATGCCGAGCACGTTAATTTCGTGTTTGATTTCGTAGTACATTGTTAGCAGCGCCACCTGTAAAGTAATAAGAGTATAAAACATGGGTATATTTGACTTGAATGAATGATCTCATCATACACATTGTCCATGGCGCCGTTTTGACAGTTCATAAAGATTTCATAACTTGTACTGGTAAAATAAATGATGCATAATCGACTGTGATTCCACGTGTATCTTTCATGGTAACACCAGCATAAACGGGAGGTCTTCTCAACTAGTCTGACCAAAGTGATAGGTTTGGAAACGTCTTGGAGCTTGGTGATTACTTTCGGTTGATCGCTAGCTGAAGGCTGTTTCATTGAGTTTTTTACAAATGTGACGTATTTGCAGAGGGGTGGAGTACGTTACTAGCAGAATGTTTGGGTTACTGTGAAAATAATCGCATCTGATTTATGTACTTTTCCTAAATTAAGTTCAATTGTTTATAAGTACTTTAATATTATTCTGAGCTTTGTTACGTCTTGTTTGAATAGTGTAATTGGTACTACCGTTCTATTTATGAATAAATAAATATTTCTAAATATTGAGGGTTTTCAGCGACCTTGTGGTTACAGTGAATGGCGAAGGGACAGGCGCGGTCGAGGGTCACGTGACCGGGAGGCGGCGAGGTGTAGCGGCCGGGCGGCGCATCGCTGACTAGCAGCTGTCCGCTGACAAACGTCTCGCGGCCAATCTCCACTGACATGAAGAACGGTTTCTGTAAACAGAATGTCATGTGAACGAATGAACGCATTGTTCCAAACCCATATTTAACGCCATCTATAAAATGTTTGTAAAGTCCCATCTATGGTTATTCTTACTTTTTTACCGAACTAAAACGAGTACTGAACAAATTCATATAAAGAGCCATAGATGGCGCTACACATTACGTCCTTGCTGCTTCTGTAAAAGTAGGCGTGACAATACAAACATTTTACCAAACGTCTCCTGATTTTATTTCGCAACACGCATAGAATACAGATATTCACAAAAATATCGTACTCGAGCGTGAACCATGAGGATGCCTTCGGTCTACTACTTGTCTTCTGCAGCACTGGTATATAGGATGTTAGGTAAATGGGTATATGAGCCGACACTAGCCCATGTTAACATGGTCATATAAATGGTATGGTGAAGTCAGAAAATTGATATCTTCATTTTAATTAATTTAATTTTCATACAAGTCGGATTTTATAAAATTTATTTTGTATGAAAATTTAAAAAATTAAAATGATGATATCAAATCTCTGACTTCACCATACCATTTATATGACCATGTTAACATGGGCTAGTGTCTGCTCATATACCCATTTACCTAACACCCTGTATATCTGTGACCTTACTACCCCATAAATCTACTTACTTTCAGCATAGCTGAGAGCGGCGGAACCACTGTGTCCAGTTGTAACCCTTATCCTTTTTGGGATTACTCTTGCTAAATATCTAATCGGAGAGATGCAGTTGCGATCTCATGACGTCATTGGTCATGTTAGAGCAATGGTTCTTAACCTTTAAGTCACGAGGGACCATTTTATTAAATTTTTGTCTTGTCAGGAACTATCTATTTTTTTCAAAATCCTAGGAAAGGGGAGGTTGATTTCTCGCCCACTGTGCACGCCGTTTGCGTGCTCATCACGTCACGTCACTTGTTTATAACGATGTCTTCGCGGACCACTTGGAATGCCTCCAGGGACTACCAGTGGTCCGCCGGTTAAGAACCACTGTGTTAGAGCGACACGTAGAGTCCCAAACAAGTTACTATGGGCAGGTGACATTTGACGTCACTTTTTTGTTGCCAGTCCGATTTCAATACTAGTTTTTCAGAAATTCTATGATTTAACTAAAGTGTTTATTTATACATAATTAATTGACTTTTAAAATCGATGCATATTCCCTATTCCACTTGCCTTAAGCACGGCCGAGGGCGGCGAGATTGCCGTCCCTGATTCGAGCTTGCAGAGCGGCGCGGCGTCGTGCGCGCGCAACGTCAGCGCGATGGGTGCCGCGTTACACAGCAGCACCAATGGACACAGTTGCAGTTCCAGGCAGCAGCCGCCGCCGGCGCGCACGGCTTGGTAACGAACCTAAAAAGTTACAAAACAATAGGAATACGACAAAATAAAGGTGCTATTCGTAAGCGAGCTATTTCATGACTTTTATGGTCAGAAACGAGTATGTGAATGATGACGGAGATCCTGACGAAAGAAAGAGGGAAAGAAACATTTATTACGATGAACATCACTTAGTTAAGGACAGAGAACGTATACGGAAAAAAAGACAGAAATAGCACATAAATATTACAAGGAAATACAAAGTGAACTGAGCAGTGCTATCCTGTCGCAACAGCGATACCCACCGTAATGGGACTCATTCATTCGATTTGCGGCTATTATCGTACACGCTTTTTCATGTACAAATTTTCTTGTTTCCAATAAATAAATTTTGAATTTTGAATTTGAATATGAATTCAGCATATGCCGTGGTCCGCGGTGGGGAAGGCCACGACGCTGGTTTTCAGTGGGCCCCATGCCGAGTGGAAGTCACGTACAACTTTTATAATGTCGTTTACAATAAAGAGAGATGACAAAGACCGATGAATTAACAGTATGTATTCTCAGGTCGACGGATTATCTCAAGTCCCCGCCTCATCGCTGAACTTTGCGTCGTAGACTCTATTTGTACTAGGTAGTCACTAGATGGCGCTATACCAATATTTTGTTGAAGGTGAATTCACTACCATTTTCGACAGATGGCGCTAGCGTACCGCCATCTTGTTGAAGGCTGTGATTTCACTACCATTTCCGACAGATGGCGCTAGCGTACCGCCATCTTGTTAAAGGTCGTTATTTCACTACCATCTTCGATAGATGGCGCTAGCATTCTACCATCTTGTTGAAGGCCGTGATTTCACTACCATTTTCGACAGATGGCGTTGACATGCCTCCATCTTGTTGAAGATGTTTCCGTGTGACCTTAAGCTTTTGAACTGAAAGGAACAGTGGACTCACCGTGACGTCACAGCGCGGCTGCATGAGCGCCGGCTGCCAGGCGGCCGGCCAGTGCTTTGACACCAGCGAGTATGGCCACTGGGACGTCGCATCTCGTCCCGAACGCTCCAGCCTAAAAACAACGACTATCTATTACACTCAACGCATTCGCGGCAGATGGTGCCGTAAATCACTTTTGTGTGACGACTTGTGTGAGTGAAACAGAGATGCGCGAATCTGTCTTGAGCACTGCAAGGCTGCGTCAAATTTTTGAAGAGCAAAATATTGGTCAACATGCAAGGACGTGGAAGATTGATCATTCTTACCATTGCAGTATTTCATCCGTAACCTCATCGATGGTGGTGACGGGCGCGCGTTTGTCGAACACCGACGCGTCTGTCACGCCATAGTGCATCGGGACTGCTTCGCGAGTCACTGGGCAGTCGATGTTTCTAGAACAAAAGAATATAAAACAAATGAAGCAAATGAAATAATCCGGCTCGAAGGACCATGATCAATCATCTCTCGATAGTCGAATGTAAAGCTGTTGCAAATCTGCTACTAGCCACACCCATGAGAAGATCATTCAGAAGACTTTCTATTTACTTGCCAGCCTATAGCACGTAGATTCTTCACGTCACCGGCGGTGACGCACTCGGCGCCGTCTACACCAGCGGCGCCGAGTTCGTCTCGTCGGCGATGTCTTGGTACGATACTGTTGCATCTGTCACTATCAGGTCGCTAGTGTACCGACCTGTACTGGAAGGACAGCTCGTGGCGCGCGGCCGTGGTGCCAGGCGCAACGAGGTGCGTGCTAGCGCCGCGCCCCGGCGCCGTCTGCACCAGCGGCGCCGAGTTCGTCTCGTCCGCTATGTCTTGGTACGACACTGTGGCTTCTGTCACTATCAGGTCGCTAGTGTACCGACCTGTACTGGAAGGACAGCTCGTGGCGCGCGGCCGTGGTGCCGGGCGCGACGAGGTGCGTGCTAGCGCCGCGCCCCGGCGCCGTCTGCACCAGCGGCGCCGAGTTCGTCTCGTCCGCTGTCTTGGTACGACACTGTGGCTTCTGTCACTATCAGGTCGCTAGTGTACCGACCTGTACTGGAAGGACAGCTCGTGGCGCGCGGCCGTGGTGCCGGGCGCAACGAGGTGCGTGCTAGCGCCGCGCCCCGGCGCCGTCTGCACCAGCGGCGCCGAGTTCGTCTCGTCGGCGATGTCTTGGTACGACACTGTTGCTTCTGTCACTATCAGGACCTGGTGAATTAGATACTAAAATGAACCGCAGATGCACTTGATTTGGATTGAAATATACATTATTACAGAAGTGAAGAAAATATCGAAATCATATTGAACTTAAGATACTGTCTTATTCGTCAGAAGAAAGAGATGCATATTTGGTATCTCTTTTTATTTTTAATTTTTAGGGTAATATAGATATGATTAGCGATATTACATTATTTTATAGACGTAGGTGCTACCATCAAAATATAATATTGCAGAAGAATCTTCTTCTTGGGAGACTTTAAAGTACATTTCTCGTAAAAATCAATCATCACTAGCTCATTTTCACAACTTAGAACGCTCTATGCTTTGTCTCAGATCTGTGCAACCTCTGTCAACTGCTTTGTCTCAGATCTAAGACAAGACTACTTTGGTCATCTTTTGCGCTGATATAACTCTTATTACAAACAAAAAACGCATTTTCAGCAGTGAGCTACTTACATCAGTGTCGAGCGTCAGATGCGAATGCAGCACGTACAGCGGCCAGATGGTGGCTAGGATACGGCCATCGCTGCGCGCGCGCACCACGCGGCACCATACCGACACGTACGGGACTTCGCCCTGGCTCGGCACTGGGAAACACCAGAGTTATTATACAGGGTGTCCCAGAATGGATGAATCAAACTGATAGGGGAGGTAGCTCTACTAATGTACTGTCCCTAAAAATATGAAAAAAAAAAATAAAGCGCATAAGGAAACAAAAAAAATGTTTTTGAAAAAGTGAAAATAAATTAGCTTTGCCTAAGTATCTGGCTATAATTGCTGCGTTTGGAGTTTATTTGTACTTTTTTCTTACTAATATTAATTGTACATGATCGCTTCGTTCATCTGTAAACAAACTTTTAAAAATAATGACTAGATTTCGAGTTTAGGGCACTTTATTTAAAAAAAAAACCGAGCTCAAACATTTTTTTCATATTTTTTTGGGATAGTACATTAGTAGAGCTACCTCCCCTATCAGTTTGATTCACCCATTCTGGGACACCCTGTACATCGTTTCATCCACGAAGACACGTCCTACCACATTTTGGTCGAGAGAAGCGCGCGAGTTTGAACCGAGTAATCCGAGCGTCATTATTGTACCTAGTGTGCGTGTGCACTCATGGATACTGTCACGTCTCCATAGAAACACATTGTATAGTAATAAAAAATGATGGATTAGCGGAATGCTGTATTATTTCATAATTGGCGACGTTGGACATGGAAATAAATAAATTAAAACGAATAAGAGCAGCCCTGAAGGGCAACCTTACATTAACACAAAATATTGTACAGTGACTGAAATCTCCGAAGAGATTACATTACGAAACTCTCCGCACCGCGCACCCTGTAAAACCCTTGCTAAGTATAACGACTGTTTTTTTATTTCAAGATTTATTTATGATTTTAAAAGACTACTCATTAAAATGTTACATTTACAAGAATCCACTCACCTTTGACTAACCAGGGAACATTTTCTTTAGGGCACTCCTTCAGGGGTATGTCCCCTGACCATCCAATATCATGGGTAGTAAACTTGATCCTGTGGTATAAAACATAACGGTAAACCACAGAGTAACGACCCACATATCCAAATACAATGTTGCAAATGTTCAGTAAAGGTTTTGCATCATAGAATATATTGGTGCAAGATGGATACATATTCAATTCAAATGTCATTCATCATGGTCGATTCAGAAGATTGAATGGAGGCCTGGATTGATAACTGTTCTGTCACATCACTAACTATATGGTGATAATGATAATGATATACATTAACATTTCTTCCTCTTCACCGAATTCCCCACCCATTCCCCAGTAGCACGAGAAGAAATTATATGTGATAAATTAAATAATCATCATCATCTGGACTAGGGGGAGGACGATCTAATTTACCAGTGGAAAAAGGGATGATTTGTACAAAACTCTCCACGCTCGAGTGGTCCTATCCCACTTATTTTACTCACCTACTACACACTGTATCTACTTTGCCGAAACCACATGGCCAACTCTAATCAAAACTTTATGAAAAGCCAAACCTGTCATTATGTTTTAACAGAAAGTTAAAACTGATCACCATCTCACTATTAATTATGATGTTGAGGATATTCAGTTAAACAATAGACATCAATCAACACCGACCAGGCCTCCACCACCCACAAGTGTAAACCAGCAGACGTCACCAGACTTACTTGAGCGCCATCTCGCAGTCGGCGCCGGCGATGACGCTGCGGCCGACGCTCTCGGGCTCAAGCTCGCCCGAGCACACCGTGCCCCAGTGCACTTCTTCGGGGCAGCGGGCCCTCACCTGTGTTACGAGACAAAGTTATAGCCTGACCAGGAACATAAAAACCCTCGCCATGTTGCGGAAAACTAATGGTACTAATTTCTTTTAATGGCAACAGTAACTGAAAACTTCATTGACATGTCACCTTGCATGTCAGTCTATTGCTGTCAAAGTGTTAACAAACTTTATTTTAAATGTGCGCAATTGATTTTGTGAATTAAATTGCTAAAATCTTTTTATAGTCGTGAAAGAAAAGTGGTTCACAATGTGTTTAAGTATTTGTCGAAGAGAAATACTAAGGGTTCGGACAATATTTTCATTGAATAATTTTTCCGACAAGGGTGTCAAATTGACTGACATGTTTATCGCATAGTACAGTCCGCTATGAAAATTAGCTGTGGTTTGTTTCAACTACCTATTTTAAAGTTTTTTGTCACTTTCTAAGTGTTGAATTTTATGGAATTGGAAAGAAGTACCGAGTTTGAAGCGTTCATGAGCAGACATTGCAGTTGAATATTCAAGTTCTGAATTTGATTATTGATGAATAATAAAATAAATCATACTAGCTCGATTGATGTTTTCATTTAATTTATTTAAACCAGGTTACCAATAATAATATTTTTTCGTTAATTCATGAAAATATTATAAATTAGCCCGTAATCCTGAATCCTGATACATAAAGTTAGCCTATTAATTTAACACAGGTACGACTGTACTCAGTGTTGCACTATCAAATGCAATTGACGCGCCTCTATGCCAGGGTTTTTATGTTCCTGGTCAGGCTATAATATTCAAAATCAAAATTTTCTTTATTTGTTTAGACTAATTAAATTAGTTCTTGCAAATCGTTAAATGCTCTTAAGGAACCTATACATGTCTCATTCTTTTTTTGCCCTAGCAGCGCTTCGAGACAAACATTTGGCAAGTGCTGAGAAGAAGCGCCGCAACAAACTCAGTCACCACTGTCTGCCGGTTTAAAAATATAAAAAAGTAGGAAGTTACAATACATTCAGAAGCAAGTTACTTACCACGCGCTCCCGTTGATAGAAGGTGGCCTTTAAGACGCCCATCTAGCACGAGACCGCGTGGCAGTTTTGAATATATTTATTTAGTGCCGTGCTAATTTCTAGGTTAATTGTTGCGTTTTGATACATATATATTTTCTATCTATATATATAAAAGAAAGTCGTGTTAGTTACTCCACTTATAACTCAAGAACGGCTGAACCGATTTAGTTGAAAATTGTCAGGGAGGTAGTTTAGAGCCAGGAGAAGGACATAGGATACTTTTTATCCCGTTATTTATTGCCATTAAGGCGGAACAAAGTTCGCCGGGTCAGCTAGTTTTTTTATATTAGCAGAATGTCCGGACTTCTCACAAAGATGATCAATATTCCTCCTGTTATAATAAAGTGCTCAGTAGCTTTGAAGTTAAGCCATCTTACCTAAGTCTGTCGCCATAACAAAAATGTTAACAGCATTGTTGTGTTCCGGCAGTTAGAGGTAAGATAGCCAGTTCATCCGTGGTTGAGGATTCCGGGTGAAGCTCGCTTCCACCTTCGGCCCGATCATCACTTACCATCAGGTGAGATACAGACCAAGAGCTTCCTCGTTGTGGATAAAAAAGAAGTTCCAGAGATCTTTTGTTGATTGCGTTAAATTGCGTAGATAGATCTAGATTCAGAATTAGACCCCATTCATGCTTGTTGTTTCGATGAAGGCAGGCCCCGTCCCTCTCGGTCAGTCCAGGACTCAAGATCTAGTGAAGGTCGCGGGAATCGGGATGGTCTATGTGGAGGCAGCGCAGGAGTAGTGGTTGTGGAAATCCTTGGAGAAAGCTTTTTGTCCGGAAGTAGGCGTCCTTTGGTTGAAACAACGACTTTGCACAACTGACTGTATCGCTGCATATTCATCAGTCAGTCGTACATCTAACTCCAAGTTCCTTCTTCTTGACGATATTACGGAACCACCTGCGTATGCGCTGCTTCGGCGAATTGACTTGCTTTGAGGCTAGGTGTACACAGCTATGTATACCTAAAAGTATAGTTAAGCACACTACAAACCTTGATTTCTTGTTAACTGTACCGCAGCGTTTATCATTGATTCGTCACCGCCCGCCCTACTATTCAAGAAAGAAAGAAAGAAAGAAAGAAAAAATGTTTATTCAGTATCATCGACAATACACTTACAATACTTAACATTATTTAATGAGTAGGTAATTAGAATGATACTGAAAAGGTATCCACTCAGCACGGTGTCGTAGCATCTCAGTAGATAATGCCACGACGCTGGTCTTCCGTGGACACCCAATTCAGTAGCCACACCACTTGCCTTGTACAACAAGCTATACCGCAGCATATTGGCCAGGGTAAGCCGTCCAGCGAGCTGCATGTTCCTCCTCGCGCCGCATTCCTCCACTTTGACGTGGGCGTACACGCCACCACCAGGACTGGACTTGCCGCCGAGCGCTTCGGCGTCTTCCAAACGAACGCGGTGCGTGCCCGCCGTGAATGGAACACCTGGGAAATATTATGGCATCGTCAAATAAAATTTAGCATACATTTGGTGAAAATATTTAGAGATGGCAAGGGCCAGAAAGCCTCTGATCATCACAAATGAATTTATCTGAAAATTATAATGGTCTTGGTTAAGTCATGTCAGAATCCTGTGACGGTTAATTTTGTCAAACACCGCGGCGATGGAGGACAATGATGATTGAAAGATATGGAAAAAAAAATATACTCACTGCTAGACCAATGCCAATCAGCCGTTGGGCCAGCTAGTGCTAGGCGTATTCTTTTCGGTGCAGTCGGGCTTCGCCATCTGCATCAAAATAATTAAATGATACTTAAAATTCTCGAACATCTAAAAAGTCTAATCAATAATGTGCGGTGATGCTACATGAACTGACAGTGGTAGCCTTAGTGAGGGGAAGGGATAGCCTTAATGTTGGGAGGAGGATAGCCTTAACTTAGGGAGGGGGATAGTCTTAGTAGGGGAGGGGATAGCCTGAATGGGGAGAGGATAGCCTTAACGTGGGGAGGGGAATAGTCTTAATGGGGGGGGGGGGATAGCCTTAATGTGGGGAGGGGGATAGCCATAATGTGTGGAGTGGGATAGCCTTAATGTGGGGAGAGGGATAGCCTTAATGTGTGGAGGGGGATAGCCTTAATGTGGGGAGGGGGATAGCCTTAATGTGGGGAGGGGGATAGCCTTAATGTGGGGAGGGGGATAGCCTTAATGTGTGGAGTGGGATAGCCTTAATGTGGGGAGAGGGATAGCCTTAATGTGTGGAGGGGGATAGCCTTAATGTGGGGAGGGGGATAGCCTTAATGTAAGGAGGGGGATAGCCTTAACGTGGGGAGGGGGATAGCCTTAACGTGGGGAGGGGGATAGCCTTAATGTGGGGAGGGGGATAGCCTTAATGTGGGGTAGCCTTAATGGGGGAAGGGATAGCCTTAATGTGGGGAGGGGATAGCCTTAGCGAGGGGAGGGGATAGCTTTAGTGGAGGGAGGGGATAACCTTAATGTGGGAGGGGATAGCCTTAATGGGGGAGGGGATAGCTATGATCTGTACATACTTCTACAGCCGCTACGAACAGGGCCAGAAAGAAAATGCTGGAGAGTCTGGACAATGATCTGTGGGGGAGACCGTTCAGGGTTGCTGCACCCCATCAGCCCCCTGCTGAGACAAACCCTCCAGCTTCTCCAGGCAGCTCCAGGATCTGAAGTGGTGTGGGTCCTGTTCCCGGAAGACCAACCATCTTTCAACCCTCCAACAATGTATCGTCTCTATTATAAGCTGGTAGGTGATGTGCTGTCATTACGCATCTGTAGGGTTGCAGCGGCACAATCTCGTAGGAGCCCTCCTACTCCAATCGCAGCACAGCTTTTATGGATCCATAGCTCCACGCGGCCATTCAGGGCTGCTGCCTCACCGCCGCCAGCTCACAATTTGTGTAAATGCTGCCAGGAGGCTCATCTAGCGACTTCATCGACGCGGAAACGCGGATGTAGCAGTGATCAGCTCCCAGGTGATGTGCTATGTCAGTAATCACCTGTAGGCCAGTCGTGCGCCGGGTTGCAGCGGCATAATATCGTCGGAGCCCTCATACTCCAATTGCAGCACAGCTTTTATGGATCCATAGCGCCACGCGGTCATCCAGGGCTGCTGCCGTCACCGCCGCCAGCTCACAATTTGTGTAAATGCTGCCAGAAGACTCATCTAGCGTCTCCCAGGTGATGTGCTGTGTCAATACGCACCTGTAGGCCAGTCGTGCGCCGGGTTGCAGCGGCATAATCTCGTCGGAGCCCTCCTACTCCAATCGCAGCACAGCCTTTATGGATCCATAGCGCCACGCGGCCATTCAGGGCTGCTGCCGTCACCGGCGCCAGCTCGCGATTTGTGTAAATGCTGCCAGAAGACTCATCTAGTGACACCATCGACGCGGAAACGCAGAGATTAACTCCCAGGTGATGTGCTATGTCAGTAATTACCTGTAGGCCAGTCGTGCGCCGGGTTGCAGCGGCACAATCTCGTCGGAGCCCTCCTGGCCCAAACGCAGCGCGGCCGCGCAGCTGTTGTGGATCCACAGCGCCACGCGGCCGTCCAGGGCTGCTGCCGTCACCGCCGCCAGCTCGCGATTGTTAACTACGCTGTCTGTCTCCTCGTCTAACATCTCCGTGGAAGCAGACTCGCAGACGTACTGCAAAAGAAAGAATAACATCGAAAAATTGTTTATAAATGACTAGATTTTGCTCGCGGCTTTTTCCACAGCCGTTACACACGCACCACTATGAGGCTAGCACCACCGTTCATTTAAGAAAGAAAGAAAGAAAAGAAAGAAACATTTATTGCCATGGACATCACAAAAGACAAAAGTTGTAAATAAAAAAGCAAATAAGACAAGAGGTGACATAAAACATACAATGGAAGAGAAAGTAAACTGAGCAGTGCCACCCTGTCGCACAGCGATGTCCATCGCAATGGAACCCCACTCAGCATATGCCATGGCCCCCTGTGAGGAAGGCCACGACGCTGGTTTTCAGTATGCCCCATTTAGTTAACATTACATTTGGGTAGCTAGCTGTAACATAAGTCGTGCCAAGGCATCATAGTGATTGTAGTATCCATACCGCGCCAGCCGTCTGGAATGCACGACAAATATCTGTACATAGGCCGATGGGGCAGCAAGGTTCTGAAATGGAGGCCGCGTACCGGAAAATGCAGACTTCCACCCACAAGGTGGACAGACGACATTATAAAGGTAGCAGGGAAGCGCTGGACGCAGGCCGCTACCAATCGATCAACATGGAAAGCGTTGGGTGAGGCCTATGTTCAGCAGCGGACGGCCTATGGCTGAAATGATGATGATGATCTGCAAGAGTATGGCAAGTAGCGTAAGAGTATTTTGTTTTGTTCAATATTGACTGAGTTTCTTGCGCTGCTTCTTCTCAGCACTGGCCCATTTATTGTCCCGAAGCAGTGGTAGGGTTAATATTGGGAAGTGTAAAAGCGCTTTTTAAAAGCCTATTTGCAAAAATAAATAGTACCTGATCCATGGCAGTGCGCCAATCAGTGGCCAGCGAGTGTAGAGTTCTCAGCCGGGGCACGTGTAGTGACACATGCACGGCAGTGGCACAGCTTCGGAACCGCGCGCGCTCGAGCTGTCCCAGCGGAACCGATACGGCCCCTTGGAAGCGGAACTCGTCTACGAGTTGTTCCATCGTCCCGGTCGCACAATCTAGAATGTCGGACCTGATGAAAAAAGTTAAGGTAGTTCTTGAGAAATGTTGCAGATTCACGTATTCCTATCAATTATTTAAGTAGCCTATATGCCTAGGTGGTTTCATAAGATTTTTTATGCTTTTTGGATGCTAATAAATCGAGCGATGATTTATGTATTCGTATTAACTTTTGACAGCGACTTCATCTGCTGTTCTTTCTAAAACTCTTGCTATGTGTCAGCCTTTCTTTCGTCTTCTGTAGTCCGATATGTCACTCATATATTTTTTGAAAGTGCTAACTCTATACGTATGTACACAGAGTGAATGATAGTGTGTAAGCTTACACGTCACTATCTGCGATCAACAAGATGAACTGTAGAATATATGGCAAACATACCTACCCTACTGCACACACTAAACGCTATGCTACATCGCATTGGTAAGTACTGGAATACCCCGACAGCCTCTGTGATCCTTTTTGTTTGATCACCTACAAAACGTCGTCGGTCCACCTTGTGGGTGGACGACATCATAAAGGTAGCAGGAAAGCGCTGGACGCAGGCCGCTACCAACCGGGTAACATGGAAAGCATTGGAGGAGGCTTATGTTCAGCAGTGGACGTCCTATGGCTGAGATGATGATGACTGCCTTCAGTAAACGCTATTCTACATCTTTTATAATACGCATTGGTAAGTACTGGAGTACTGACAGCCTCTGTGGTCCTTTTTGCTTCATCACCTAAAAAAAAGCACCCCGTATAAAGCCTGGTCCGTGAGCACGTAGAATCCCGTCCAATGACCCCAAGCTACCCATCCTTATCGCTCGCGCGTAATTATATTGCTGTCGCGACTGTGCGACGGGCGCCCGCAGTGAGTGTGCGAGCGCGACAGGAACATATTTACGTGCGAGCGACAAGTATGGGCAGCTTGGGGTCATCGGACGGGATTCTACGTGCTCACAGACCAGGCTTTAAAAGAAAAACTCACGAGATGCCGGCGGCCAATAGCGCGGTGTACCCGGCGGGCGAGCCGAAGTGCGCGTGCGCCGCCGCGTCGCGCGCCAGCAGCGTCAGCACGCGGTGGCCGCGCATCAGCGGCCGCGACACGTAGTAGCCCTCCAGCGACGTCACCTGGCTGCGGACACATCACGGTTCAGCCGTGGAACGAGTAGCAACAGCCCAGTAGCCTTATTCACGTAACAAAACTTCAACGACAAAATATGCTGAGTTGCGATCCTATCGAGTAATCGTTCTGTCAAAATGACCCTTGTGAGTACGGATTTAGAACTGTTTTTCAATGGGATGACTTCTGTCAGTCAGCGAGATCTTGACCATCTTGACTGTCAAAATACGTGAATTAGGCCACTGTTCATCTCCCCGAGCAGGCAACGAAAACAAAACACGTACGGCGTACCCGCCCTCGGGATAATCCACAAGGGATTCAAGAGCTAGTAGCGAGTGACGTACGCGCACGTATTCTTCATCAATTGTAAAAACATTATTCGCTATGGAAAGAAGAAAAAATACGCGTGTGGTGTGCTAGATGGCGACACAGTAACTTCTTGTAGCAGTCAGCCTTATCGCATTGGTACAGTACCGTTGGTACCGTTCACTGACGCATGTAAACGAAATGGTCCTTGACTTACAGACAAGCTAGATCACATCATATTGTGGTATTATTTATTGTGTAAATCACACCACATAAATGTCGTCAACAATATGGTGTGAATGCCGCCGTTTCGTTGGAGTTCCTATGGCCACCTTCCAGTCCCATCATCAGACCAGCTCTATGGTATCATAATATTGTATTGTCATCTAATCTACACATAATTGCCAAGTTTCATGATGATACAAGAATGCGTGTAATTCAGATTCTAAGATTCCATTACATAGTTACATACACGACGACCTAATAAAAGCGTGTTAAAAACATACGATGCCAAATATCCGAAGACTGCACTTAATCTGGGTACATAAAATTATTTTAATTTTATAAAAACGGGAAATATTATTCAAAATTTTTTCATGCATACGAAATCGCGGGCACAGCTAGTCAAAGATGCAAAGTTTATTTGAATATAAATAAAATTAAATCAAACCTAAAATCACAATTACATTTTGAGTTAATGTTATGCTGATGGCTAAATTTACTATTTCCAATTATCTTTATCCAAATGACGTCTAAAATGTTAATTATTTCCCTACTTTGTATCTTTTCTATACGATTGTGGACAAAACTGGATAAACTGGACAAAGATATAATAAGTAATAATAACAAACAAGACAATTTCTTAGTCCTACTACAATCTGCGTATTGTAGGACTTTCAAAAATTCTATGATACAGAAATTCTAACTACGGTTCTCCAGAAACTCCAGATAGCCCGCTGGGTAACCTGAAAACCTGAAAAAGATTAATAGCTAAAGACGACAAAGCAATACTTAAGGAACTGAAAAAAAATTTTGATATCGCGGTCTACAAATCAACCTACAGAACAGACAGCGCCATCTATTGGCAAGGGTAGCTTGGTGGCGCCAGTGAAACTTGTCGGAAACTACGTCACATCGGACGCCAGCGCTCCCTGTCGGCGCTCCACAGTTTTGACGTAGTAGTCGACGGAACGCGGAGCTAAGTTTTGTGGCAGCTCAAACAGTCAACACATGCACGGTAATACTATCTATACAGTATTCCAACTCGGCCATATTTTTGAAATAAATGTCAACAGCCCCGCGGTACGTCACGGTATGACAAATGCGATAGGGCTGCTCACCTACAGTACCCATTCTAATTACATCTGTCTACTTAGAATTTGTATCTAGTTTTGTGATTGTATTTTTTTTTATTTAGACGAACAAAATACTTGGTGAATGGAACAGGATAAAAATGCGTGTTGTTTTGTGATTAGTAGATTTAATTAAAAAAAAAATAAACTAAAATAATTTTGAATCTACTAATCATAATGAGTACTTAATGACCTGTTACTTTAATTTCAGGCGGGCGAAATCGTTGGCAAAAGCTGGTTTTATACAATATATAATTTTCATTTCAAATCAAACTGACCGAAAATGACCATTTCTGACAGTTAATGACTAGTTTTTGACAAATTTGACCGTAAATGACGGTCAGTCAAATTCAATCACCTTAGTAATTTTCAACACTAGGCCATCGACGTCCGTTCGGCACATTCGCGACACCCCTAATTTTTTCATCTCGATCGCGTCCCGAGATTTGAAATTTGAAGGAAAGCTCGCGTTTCGTCGGTTTATATGAAGTTACAATGATATTATTACCGTGACACATGTCTATAAAACTTGCGCGTCCTGTAATAATTTGCGATTGGAATTACACTTTGCATAAATGTATGTAGACTTATATTTCAACGAAAACTACCTCACGTGCGTCCACTTGATAGTTAATTATAGCCGAAGATATAACGACCCTCAGTTACCCTCATCATCATATTTTATATTTAATTTATTTATTTTAATATATTAAAGGATCACTTTGTTGTCGGTGTGTCGGTTAACGGTGGTGAGTTAAATACTGCACAGTATTTTATACACCACCGTTTTTTTCCGGTATCGGTACCGTTTGGCCAAATTACTTTTCGCCAAATTTCACTTCGCAAACAACTTATCGCCAAAGTTTTATTTCCCAAATGAACTTTTAGCAACTGTACTTTTCGCAACTAATTCATTTGGTCAAATTATCATTTGGCAAAATTTTACTTAGCAAATGTTTAAATAGCAAATGTTTTATTTTGCCAAATATTATATCCCAAATAATTTGTTTGGTCAAATTGACACTTCTCATACTTACCCACCGTTACCCACAAATCAAAGCATAAGGCACATAATCATGGTTTTCACAAGAATTTTATGTATAACAAAGAGATTGCAAAAAATAGTATGGTTGCAAAAAGTAGGTATTTCAGAAAATAGTAGGTTAGGTTAGGTTAGAACAGTGACCCTTAATGCGCGAAGGCGAGCGAAGCGTGCCGCGGCAGCGTCCGCCGAGCGCTAGAATCACCTCTATTTTAGAAATTTCGATAAAAATAATGAAATAAGAAAATTAATTTAGAACAAATTTTATATTAACTACCCTCTAAACAAAATAATAACCACAAGCTAATTTATATTCCATTCTATGCACCAATCAAATTATTTTGTAAATAGTTTATCGTGGAACATTTTTGCCAAATGAAACATTTGGCAAACCATACTTTGCCAAACAATAATTTGCTAAACAATAATTTGCCAAAAACGACATTTGCGAATTAAAAGTTTGCAATAAGTTGTTTTTCCAAATGAGAATTTGCCAAATGAAAATTTGCGAAACGTTGTTTGCGATGTGATAATTTGGGAAACGGTTTTTGGCCAAACATTAGTAATCCATCATACATACTTTATGTCTTTACAATGCAAATGGGCGAAGAATACGCGGGCGTGCGTCAATGCTCGCTCGTGATTGTCCTGCCGTTTAGATATCCCAGGAGGTGTGGTCGCGCGTGTTTTGTTTTTCATGCTAAAGCCTGGTCTGTGAGAATGTAGAATTTTGTCCAATGACCCCAAGCTACCCATCCTTATCGCTCGCGCATCATTATGTTGCTGTTTCGCTCGCAGACTCACTGCGCCCGTCGCACGGTCGCGACAGCAATATAATTACGCGCGAGCGATAAGGATGGGTAGCTTGGGGTCATTGGACAAAATTCTACGTGCTCACGGACCAGGCTTTAGAACACCGGTTCCCAAACTTATTTTGTCTACTGCCCACTTTGTTGAGAATAAATTCTTTTTAGCGCCCCCATTTGTAGTCGAGAGTCGAGTGCTCAGTCGGTGTCTAAGAGACCTCCTAGTAAATGACGCCTCCCAAGCCTCTACACAACGTCCCGATTTTTTTCTGGGTCTCTTACCGCCCCCCTTTAAGCCTGCAGCGCCCACAAGGGGGCGTTATCGCCCACTTTGGGAAAGACTGCTTTAGAAGATGTTTCCACGCGGAGATGAACAGGCCTGGCACAGCTAGTTACCTGGAGAGGAAGGGCAGCGAGTTGTGCGCGTGCAGCTCGAGCGTGGCCAGACGCGCGGCCACGCGCAGGCGCGGCAGCGCGCGCGGCGCGAAGTAAGAGTCCACGCGCACCGCGCACGACAGCTGCTCGGCGGACACCGGCACGCGACCCACTGGATACTCCATCTCTGGTTGGTAGTCTGACAGCTGAAACGAGAACATTTATTTATGTATTTTATGGAAAACAAATGTCATTTGTTCGATTGACAATCCGTAAACGAACTAAAGTCGCTGACATAGCCCGACGGATTAGCAAGCTGAAGTGGCAATGGGCAGGGCACATAGTGCGCAGAACTGACGGCCGATGGGGCAGCAAGGTTCTGGAATGGAGGCCGCGTACCGGAAGGCGCAGCGTGGGACGTCCACCTACAAGGTGGACCGACGACATCGTAAAGGTAGCAGGGAAGCGCTGGATGCAGGCCGCTACCAATCGATCAACGTGGAAAGCATTAGGGGAGGCCTATGTTCAGCAGTGGACGTCCTATGGCTGACATGATGATGATGATGATGATGAATGTCATTTGTTCCCCAGCCGATGAACCTGATGTCGTGCCCTGAGTGCCCAAGAAACTGCACTCAGGAGGATTTGATGAGTGCTGCTGACAACGCCACTCTTGTGGCGGAGTTTTGGGCTAACACTGTGTAGGTTTATTGTCGACACGAAAAGAAGAAGATGGAAAACAAACAGCATATGTTATAATTTTATTAATAGATGAGGCGGTTAAGATCAAAAATGCCTTACATTTGGGCTGAATAGGGAATATGCATCGGTTTGCAAAGATAATAAATCCTACTAATATTATAAAAGCGAAAGTATGCGTGGATGTCTGGATGTTTGTTACTCACGGAGTCACGGATCACTCAAGCAAAAACTACTGAACGGATTTTGATGAAACTATGCAGTATTATTGTTTATAATAATCCGAAATAACATATAGGCTACAATTTATGACAATATGCGACAAACTAAATTTCACACGGGTGAAGCCGCGGGCAAAAGCTAGTAATTCATAAAATTAAATAATGAAGTTGTGGCCTTTTAATTTTGGCAGGAATGTTACGTCTATGGAGCCACTACACTTATTATAAACCTTACAGATAAGAGACATTTAGGAGATTTGGCTTCTACATTAACTACGAATTCCTCCTATGTTCTGATTAATTTCGTTGCGGTTGACAGTTTAACTTTCCCCCGGGACAAACTTGACCTTCACTAGTTGGGTTTTGTATTGGCGGTCAAGCTGTAGATAATAGCTACACAGGAGTTGCAGCGGTGGGAAAGAGAGGTGGGAATAGTTGCGTTCGAAAGGGGCGAGAGAGAGATTTGAGGAGTTTATGTACAAGAAAACGAGAAGTTTGGTAATTCTTCAGGTTACATCGGTTATTACTTTGCTTCTCTTACAGATCTCCTCATTTCTGTTTCTATCACTGGCCAGTACACCTTACGGTACTAACAAATTTAATTTTATATATTTTACTCACCAAAGGGTCTTTTTTGGGCATGTATTTGTATATGTTGAACTCAAAGGGCCGGTTCACGGGTTCGTTCTCGACGCAAGCTCGGAACCGCCACATTTGCGCGAACACAGTGTCTGTAAAAACAAATGAATAGTGATAAAGTTTTGCATTCACAAGTGGTTATGATTAACGCACTTTTGACTGGAAAATTCAGTCAAAAGCGATATTGACCGAGGGCATCAGTCAAAACCACTTTTGACTGATTTTTGCAGTCAAGTGGTTTTGACCGATTATGAGTTTTGACTGTAACCTTTATAATGATATTTACGTGTAAATGTCAAAATCAAATCAAAATCAAAAATATTTATTCACTTTAGACCACAAGTGGCACTTATGAACGTCAAATATAGTAAAATAAATACAAAAAAAGAAAAGGTAGCCCTTATGGGGCACTTTACATGTCTCCTTATCTTTTGGGCCCTACCAGCCATGAACATTTACACGTAAATGTCTTGTTGTAGCTAGTAAAAAAGTTGTTGTTTGTTGTTGTACCGACCTGGCGCGCTGGTACACAGCTGGATCTCCCGCGGGCCCACCAGCGGCAGACGGAAGTACGTGTGCGCGTGCCAGCACTGCAGCATCGGGCTGTACAGCTCCAGCACGCATTCCACCTCGCTCTCCTGGCGATGCACGCAATAATAATAAATAAATATATAAATAAATAAATATCCTTGGACTGTTTACACTGCGCCACTAGCCCCAAACTAAGCAAAGCTTGTGCTATGGCTAATAGACAACGGATATAAACATACTTAAATTTTTTTTTTAAATACATACATAAATTATACATAGAAAACACCCAGACCCGTCACAGAAATTAAAATTCAACATTTCAATTTGTGCCCGCAATAAACTGAGCATTTCATTTCGCTAACAAGAGAGACTTAAGATAAGAGAGAAAGATACAATATTTGGAATGTTTAACTGCCTAGCTCGCATCAATACTTGTGACTATGTATACCCTTCAAAGATCAAAAGGAAGAAGGAAAGAGAGGAAGAATATTTTCTAGTACCTACATTCTAATGGCAGCCGATAACGTAAACATGAGATAAGGGGGCAAAAAACATAAGACCACTCCACTCAGATGGAATTTATAGTTTTTTTTGTGTTGGTATTAATGATTAATATACCCTGTTGGTATATGAAATAAATGTCCATCCTAAAATAAAACGTATTTAAGAGGTGTAGGAGCTTAGAGACTGTAAACCCTTGAAAAGGATGAACCAAACCAAACAAAAAACATTAATTTTTTATTAAAAAAAATAGTTGGCTTTTTTGTAAATAATCTCTATAGCTGACTGAAACTAAACCACCACCTTAGACGTTACTCGAAGAAAAAACATTATTGAAGAATGTTGTTGCTTTTGGCTCTAAAATAAAACTTCTTTAATATTTTTTCTTTTTATTGTTCATTAAAGTGCTCGAAAAGACAAATCCAATGAACCCAAACTCGATGCGATTCCGCCGTTTCGTTGGAGTTCCTATGGCCACCTTCCAGTCCCATTATCAGACCAGCTCCAGATATGATACCATAATATTGTATTGTCATCTAATCTACACATAATTGCCAAGTTTCATGATGATACAAGAATGCGTGTAATTCAGATTCTAAGATTCCATTACATAGTTACATACACGACGACCTAATAAAAGCGTGTTAAAAACATACGATTCCAAATATCCGAAGACTGCACTTAATCTGGGTACCGTTGGCTAAATAAGCTAATATGCTTTTTAAAACATATAACATTACCCTACAACCTATAGGGGCGGAGCAGTAATGAAAAATGTTATAAATTTAATTTTATAAAAACGGGAAATATTATTCAAAATTTTTTCATGCATACGAAATCGTGGGCACAGCTAATCAAAGATGCAAAGTTTATTTGAATATAAATAAAATAAAATCAAACAAAACTATCTAAAATCACAATTACATTTTGAGCTAATGTTATGCTGATGGCAAAATTTACTATTTCCAATTATCTTAATCCAAATGACGTCTAAAATGTTAATTATTTCATTATAGCCTGACCAGGAACATAAAAACCCTGGCATAGAGGCGCGTCAATTGCATTTGATAGTGCAACACTGAGTACAGTCGTACCTGTGTTAAATTAATAGGCTAACTTTATGTATCAGGATTCAGGATTACGGGCTAATTTGATATTTTCATAAATTAACGAAAAAATATTATTATAGGTAACCTGGTTTAAATAAATTAAATGAAACCATCAATCGAGCTAGTAGGATTTATTTTATTATTCATCAATAATCAAATTCAGAACTTGAATATTCAACTGCAATGTCTGCTCATGAACGCTTCAAACTCGGTACTTCTTTCCCAATTCCATAAAATTCAATACAAAGTGACAATTTTTTTTAAAATTGGTAGTTGAAACAAACCACAGCTAATTTTCATAGTGGACTGTACTATACTATAAACATGTCAGTCAATTTGACAACCTTTGTCGGAAACATTATTCAATGAAAATATTGTCCGAATCCTTAGTATTTCTCTTCGACAAATACTTTAACACATTGTGAACCACTTTTCCTTCACGACTATAAAAAGATTTTAGCAATTTAATTCACAAAATCAATTGCGCACATTTAAAATAAAGTTTGTTTACACTTTGACAGCAATAGACTGACATGCAAGGTGACATGTCAATGAAGTTTTCAGTTACTGTTGCCATTAAAAGAAATTAGTACCATTAGTTTTCCGCAACATGGCGAGGGTTTTTATGTTCCTGGTCAGGCTATACTTTGTATCTTTGTTATACGATTGTGGACAAAGCTGGATAAGTACAAAGATATAATAAGTAATAATAACTAGCAAGATAATTTCTTAGTCCTACTACAATCTGCGTATTGTAGGACTTTCAAAAATTCAATGAAATTATACATGAATTCCAACTACGGATCTCCAGAAACTCCAGATAGCCCGCTGGGTAACCTGAAAACCTGAAAAAGATTAATAGCTAAAGACGACAAAGCAATATTTAAGGAACTGAAAAAATTCTTTGATATCGCGGTCTACAAATCAATCTACAGAACAGACAGCGCCATCTATTGGCAAGGGTAGCTTGGTGGCGCCAGTGAAACTTGTCGGAAACTACGTCACATCGGACGCCAGCGCTCCCTATCGGCGCTCCACAGTTTTGACGTCGTAGTCGACGGAACGCGGAGCTTAGTTTTGTAGCAGCTCAAACAGTCAACACATGTCTATAAAAATTGCGCATCCTATAATAATTATTGCGATTGGAATTACACTTTGCATAAATGTATGTAGCGTTATATATTTAACGAAAACTACCTCACGTGCGTCCACTTGATAGTTAATTATGGCCGAAGATATAACGACCCTCAGTTACCCTCAACGTCATATATTTTATTTATTTATTTTAATATATTAAAGAATCACTTTGTTGTCCATCTGTATTTCTGTCAAGACCCTTTTTTGAGGGAACACTTGGAGTAAAAACATTTTGTATGACTACATAATGGTATAATCTTGGGAACATTATACCATTATGTGTCATACGTTGAATTTCTATATTCAATCCTAATCCAAATCCGTCCGTCAACTGTCAAATTTCAATATGTTTTTGGTCAAAATATCTGCGGTTTTTGATGTGTTTACATTTTTATATTGTTTATAAGACTATTTATATAAACGCATCGAAAATAGTGGATATTTAATCTAAAATGAAATCCGGATTTGGACAAGGATTGAATTGAGAGTCATTATGTTCCCCAGGAATAAAAAGGCAATGCTACACAAGCACAAGCTTAGTCAATCAGTGAGAAATCCACGATAGTTAGAGGTTATAACATATTATTCTATTTGAAGCAATTTTCCTAAAATTTTTCAGTATTTACGCTAATTTATTAATAAGATGAAATTAATTCTGTTTTGACAGCGAAATGTTCCGTTGCCATGATAAATGGCCTTAACAGTCCGTTAGAGATTTAACAACACATTCACTAGCTTGTCAAACTGCAGGACTACACCGAAACGCTGTTTATGTGTCACCGTCGCTCATGCTGGCATCTTGCTTTGCTTGAGCGATCGCAATATTTGAAACTTTGGATAGCGTTTTCCGTAATGAGGGCTATCGCTTTAGCGCTCACCAGTTAGCGCCACTGTAGAGTAGTGTAGAGTAAGGTCCTGTCACTTGCTAGTAGCGAAGACAGTGGCACCAACTGGTGAGCGCTAAAGTGGTAGGAGGACTATCGCATTTGCACTCATCAAGATGGCGCCACTGTAGAGTAAAGTCCTGTCAATCGCCAGGGGTGCCAACTGTTAAGTATAAAAACGATAGCCCTCATTCCGCTGGGTCTTACCATCTCCGGCAGCGGGAAAGCGACGATGCGCGTGATGGCGCGCGGATGCGGGTAGCGCCACGCGACCGCCGGCCCGTGCAGCGTCACCTGGTACGCCATGGGCAGCTGCCCGCCGCTCACCATCTTGAAGGCGCCACTCCTGAACCAAAATTACACATTATAGCAGGCCTGTTCATCTCCGCGAGTTTACATCGAAAACAAAACACGCACGATGGCCCACCTATAGGATACTATTCGACAAGGCCTCACATACGAGCGAACATTGACTCACGCACGCGTATTCTTGTGTATGATGGAAGAAAATAAAGAAAATGGTGTACTAAATACTGTGCAGTATTTAACTGCCTAAATAATAATAAAAACACAGAATCTACTTTTTTAAGTTGCCTCAAGACACTGAGAGGTAAATAAGCAGTTAATATTATTCATGATAATTCATGCTAAATCATGTATTTCCTCCGCCATTTTCCGCAGTTTGGCACCTCACGTCACATCATTTTACCAGTCAGCCCTATAGGTTCGGCGCAGTGCCGATCACTGACGTTTGTCAACAAAATGGTGCTTGACTCTTGAGACAGGCTAAATTACACCATATTGTTAATGACATTGAGCATATATTTTTTTAAATACCTTCGGGAAGTAAAACTTCTGTACGTAGTACTTAATATTATTCTGTGATTATAGTGTTTTTGTTCAGGTACACATGCTTTCAATGAGCACGGTATTGCGCGGGACCTATTTAAATCTGCCGCCAACTCCGTCTCGCCAAAACTAACACGGCGAGCGCGCGCGACTACAGCAGCGCCGCGCTCCACGACGGCAAACGAACGAAAACTATGCAACGCGCTCTCTCGCGTTTGGGCCGGCATCGCGAGTGCCACGCTTATTGTGTGCTCCAACGGAAATGTGAAATTTGGTGACTTTTTGGAAATGTTTTGTGTGTGAGGGCTCCACCATACTGTGCTTGAAGTCAGTGACTCAAGTGAACCACCGAAGGCACCGGGCGAAGCCCTAACCACCGGCCGGCGGCGTCCTACAGAGTACCTACCAGCAGCGCGGCGGCAGACAAGGTACCTCTTCGATTGTTTCTGTGTTTTATTGATTATGTTGTGCCTGGACGACACTGGGGAACTCATATTCGGTTAAGCTATCGAAGTAATTAATAGTTTTTAACACAGATATTTTTGCCAAGTACTTAACAGCTCACGTGATTAGGTCACCATAGTAAATGTGTTAGCGCTAAACATAATAAATAGCCGTAACTTGGGTCTCCTTGAAGCTGAAGAGCTGAAACCGAGTGGCGGACGCATGTCCAAGAAGTTAGGACAATAACTGGTCGGGTTTTAGTGGGCAGGCCCCTCCTTTCAGGTGGGGAGATTTCCACTGATCGTCATCATCGGCTGGTGGGTATGCGCAAAGTTAACGTAAAGCAGGGTACTCAATACTCATCTAGCCGTGTAGCATGTGATGTATCAGATACTGTATCAAGTGAGTACATAGGCACGAGCCCGCTGCGAGCTGCTCGTGCGTGGTTCGCAGGGAGATCGCAGCGACCCGCCGAGTGGCGGTATCACTGCGAGCACAAAGGCGGCTCGCAGTAGGATTCAGGAGCTCGCAGCCAGATACGCGATGACCGGGGACGAGCCGTACTCACTTGAAGATTTGTTACGTTACATGCTACGTTACGTGCTACATGGCAGGTGAGTATCCTGCCTAAGAAAAAGGACAAACGTACCTCAAGTCATCTTTATAGTAGTGGTCGCCAGGCTCGGACTCCAGAGCGACGCCCCGCAGGTGTTGCTGCGAGAAGTTGAGCGACGACGACTGGCGCAGGCGGCTGCCCCTCTGGCGGTAGAATGTGTCCGCACTGTTCGCCGGGGCCGGCGGGATGACCTGAAGCAGTAGTAGCAGGCCTGTTCATCTCCGCGAGTTTACATCGAAAACAAAACACGCACGATGGCCCACCTACAGGATACTATTCGACAAGGCTTCACATACGAGCGAACATTGACTCACGCACGCGTATTCTTGTGTATGATGGAAGAAAATAAAGAAAATTGTGTACTAAATACTGTGCAGTATTTAACTGCCTAAATAATAATAAAAACACAGAATGTACTTTTTAAAGTTGCCTCAAGACACTGAGAGGTAAATAAGTATAGTCTTTTTCACCTAAGATGATCCGTATGACGTTTCGAGTTTGAAAGATTTAGTGAGGTCACATAACTAAACAATAGCGATTTATCTATCGATTTTTTTCGAAGAGTTAGTAAAACCAACTTTTAGAGAAATATTTTGTATAGGTGTTATTTAACAAAAAACATGTTTTTTTTAATTACAAATATTATTGTAACAATTATTTATTGATAATATTCAAATTTCATGGTTCGTGTTCAAAAAAACGATTCCTAAAAAGTACTGGTTCTGTTTCTTTAAATTAAAAACTATTAATTTATTTTTAATGCGTTTATTAAAGTCAATAATCGAAAAATACAGTTGATTTTTGTGATGTTTTTAATAACTAAGTAGGTATTCACTGCAATCGATTAATGGACCGCGGAAATAATCGATTTTATTATACAAGAAATACCCCAGCACTAAATCTATTCCGTTTCACACATTGCGTACATTAAATAAAAAATATTTTTACATCGTATTTAATTAAAATGTAATCAGTAGACTCAGATTTTACTATATATTTCAAGACAAGTAGTTAATTTTTTTAAATTATATTGCTAATAAAATACAAATATTTTTTCTAAAATATTCTGCATATGTAGTATGCGTAATATGGATAACCTTGAAGTGTCATACGGATCATCTTACGTGAAAAAGACTATAGTTAATATTATTCATGATAATTCATGCTAAATCATGTATTTCCTCCGCCATTTTCCGCAGTTTGGCACCTCACGTCACATCATTTTACCGAAGTCAGCCCTATAGCTTCGGCGCAGTGCCGATCACTGACGTTTGTCAACAAAATGGTGCTTGACTCTTGAGACAGGCTAAATTACACCATATTGTTAATGACATTGAGCAAACATTTTTTTAAATACCTTCGCGAAGTAAAACTTCTGTACGTAGTACTTATTATTATTCTGTGGTAGTAGTTTTAATATTAGCCAGGTTGAAAGCTTGCGCAGGCCAGATCCAACCTGTACTGTAATTTTCTTGTTCCCTCGTCATCTGGAGCTGGTAGGGTCCGTTGTGGAATCACAGGCGTGCCAACGGACGGCCCCACAGGATGGTTTGTGCTGTCAACTACGTGGTCGGAAAGCAGAGATGGTGTGTAACGTAGAGTATCAGAGGTCCCGCTGCGCCTCGCAGATGCGACTGATAGCAGCCAGTTCCTCGGGCCGCTACGCGATCCACATCCAGCCCTAGAGTTCAGTCCAAGTGGTTTCTGGCTCTGCTTCCAAGTAGTTGACCTGATCAGGAAGCAGAGCTGGTGTAGTGTGTATTCACTGATTTGCTGATGGAAAGGTCTTGCACAGCTGCTGCAGCTGGTAGCGGTTAGCTCTTCGGGCCGAAGGTTCACGGTCGCGAGGTTCAAATTCACCCCGCAAGCTTTGCCCATACGCAGTATGCTATCAACTACTAGTGCAGTGTTTGAGAGTGAGAGGTCCCGCATAGCCTGGTGGATGCGTTCAGCTGTAATCCAAGAGCTTTGTCAACTGTCAACTACGTCATCAATCATCGTAAGGAATGAATAGTAGACTCACATCTGTACCGACGGCGAGGTCCTTTAGCGCCTGCCTGATGCGGCCCGCTGCAGCCAGCTCATCGGGCCGCAGGTCCACGGTGACGCGGTCCAGGTTCAACCCAAGAGCTTTGTCAACTGTCGACTACGTCATCAATCATCGTAAGGAATGAATAGTAGACTCACATCTGTGCCGACGGCGAGGTCCCTTAGCGCCTGCCTGATGCGGCCCGCTGCAGCCAGCTCATCGGGCCGCAGGTCCACGGTGACGCGGTCCAGGTCCAGTCCCACGCGGACCGTGGGCTCGCACGCCGCCGTGCCGCCCTCGGATCGCCGCCACGACTCCCACACCGCTTCCATCTCACAGCTGGAGACGTAACGAAGACAATTTATTAGTAACAACGTTTTGATTCTATCTGTTATAGCCCACGTTGCAACAGAAGTCATTAAATCCTGTTGAGTGAGGGACTCAACTCAAAAGTCATGGGCTGCAGCAATGTCAGTTGTTACACCACAGTTACAGAATATAATAAGTAAGCCCGGTGACTCGCGACTTACTTCTAGCGTGACGGGCTGCAGCGCCACGTGATGCCAGTTATTACATCCACACTACAGAATAAATAAGTCTGTCGGCTGGTAATTCACTCCAGCATCATCCAGCTGCACGCTCGGCCAGCGCGCCTGTGTGTGCTGGACTCACCCCAGCGTCATCCAGCTGCACGCTCGGCCGGCGCGCCTGTGTGTGCTGGACTCACCCTAGCGTCATCCAGCTGCACGCTCGGCCAGCGCGCCTGTGTGTGCTGGCCTCACCCCAGCGTCATCCAGCTGCACGCTCGGCCGGCGCGCCTGTGTGTGCTGGACTCACCCTAGCGTCATCCAGCTGCACGCTCGGCCAGCGCGCCTGTGTGTGCTGGACTCACCCCAGCGTCATCCAGCTGCACGCTCGGCCGGCGCGCCTGTGTGTGCTAGACTCACCCTAGCGTCATCCAGCTGCACGCTCGGCCAGCACGCCTGTGTGTGCTGGACTCACCCCAGCGTCACGGGCTGCAGCAGCACGTGGCGGCGGTCCCCGGGCGGGCCGGCGGCCAGCAGCAGCGCGGACAGCAGCGCGCGCGCGCACACGCGCTCGGGCCGCGCGCCCGCCGCCAGCTGCACGCTCGCGCCGTCGCAGCCCGCCGCGCCCTCTGCGCCGCACACGCTCAGCTGGCTCGTCTGTATCGTGATGCTCTCGATCGCTTGATGGACTATACACAAATACAAATTTGAAGTGAGAACATAGCAGGACAAATTAAAGGTCTGCAAATCAGTGTCCCCTTGGCTCTGTCTCATCATCATCATCATTTCAGCCATAGGACGTCCACTGCTGAACATAGGCCTCCCTCAATGCTTTCCATGTTGATCGATTGGTAGCGGCCTGCGTCCAGTGCTTCCCTGCTACCTTTACGATGTCGTCGGTCCACCTACATCGTAAGCCGGTCGGCTCTGTCTGGCGAATGCTAATACTTGTCATCATCTCCGGACGTCTGACGCAAGTTTGCGCACGCTCGCGCATCGCGTCTGTTCTCCACCGCGCGTGAACTGCACTACGCCTATTTTGGACACACACATAAACGCGTGCGTGAGCCCGCCCGAAATTTAGCGTAGACGCTTACTCGTATTGCTCAACGGGATCCTCATAGTGGAATGGTACAAGTAGTTTGTCAATATCATTTTGCAATTTTATTTGTCTTCCATGACTTTTGTCTAATGTAAGAGTATTCAGGTCATGGGACTTATTTTTCTCAAAAATAATACTTTGTTCTACGTGAGACAACGGTACTTCCTACTGCTGACAAACGAGAAATGAACTAATGAACTTTTCTTGCTAAATAAACTTCATGCCCGTCAAGTTGTCAAGTCAAACGTCCGATAGGTTTGTCGTAAGCCAAATGAGTGCACGATTTGCACTGTTGAGTAGAAAGTCAGATAGAATGTCAGCACTGAAATACAAATCACGTATATTAGACTACAAAGAAGATACGTACTCATAAACCGACGCAGTCTATACAGGATCGGCAACTGCACTACTGGAGTTTCGATATCTTCAGCACGCGAAATCTTATCTTGAATCTGCAAAATGAAACACATTTTTGTTACACGCGTGAAAAGAAATGTATGAATTTCGAAAGTTTTGTAAGCTATTGGGTTAGTTGTTGGGTTTTGTGGGCCAAAATTATGTGATCTCTTGTAAATGTTATGACTTGAAATGATTGGATCATAGTGTCTAATAAAGTCCGGTCACCGAGCAGATTGAATTTCGTCCAATGACCCCAAGCTACTCATTCTTATCGCTCGCGTGTAATTGCGCGCTCGCACACTCACTGCGGTCGCCCGTCGCACAGTCGCGACAGCAATATATGTACTTACGCGCGAGTGATGGGCAGCTTGGGGTCATTGGACGAAATACTATCTGCTCGGCGACCGGACTTTAGCCATTGATACGAACCAGTGCCATGATGCCGCGAAGCCGCCGCAGCCGGTCGGTGCACACCTCGAGCTGCACCGGCCGCTCCACGTCCAATCGGATGGTGCCCTTCGTGTTGCTGCCAGCTAACAAACATACACAGATCATTATCCATCAACGTGATCATGTTTTTTAGAATCCACAACATTGCTGCCCCCCTCCCCCCAGACCATAAGCTGAGCATGACTGGCCCCTCTCAAGGCCAGAAGCTGGGTATGGCTTGCCCCTCTCACCTGTCTTAAACTAATTTACCAGGAGCATATAGAGGATTTGGCTTACACACCACCCTTGCGCAGACGAGATGGAGAAGCCTATTTGCATATTTGTCTCTTGATCGGTTTTACGATACGCACAAAAGTGGGAATAGTTCTATTTTACTTGGCCGAAACCACACCGCTCATACATTTTTTTTTATAGGACAGGAGGCAAACGAGCCGAAGGATCACGAAAGGTCATGGCTTCCGAATTTGAAGTTTTGTCCGGTGAGCTTATCAGACCAGCGCTCAGTTCTTACCATATTCATAAAGAGAGAGAGAAAGAGTAGTACCAGGCCTGTTCATCTCCGCGAGTTTACATCGAAAACAAAACACGCACGATGGCCCCCTACAGGACTATTCGACAAGGCCTCACATACGAGCGAGCATTGACACGCATGCACTTGTGTATGATGGAAAAAAATAAATAAAATGGTGTACTAAATACTGTGCAGTATTTAACTGCCTAAATAATAATAAAAACACAGAATGTACTTTTTTAATTTGCCTGAAGACACTGAGAGGTAAATAAGTAGTTAACCCACTTGTTACGGAGTTCAGTTTTTCTTCTAAATTTCATTCATGCTAAATCATGTATTTCCTCCGCCATTTTCTGCAGTTTGGCACCTCACGTCACATCATTTTACCTAAGTCAGCCCTATAGCTTCGGCGCAGTACCGATCACTGACGTTTGTCAACAAAATGGTGCTTGACTCTTGAGACAAGCTAAATTACACCAAATTGTTAATGACATTGAGCATACATTTTTTTAAATACCTTCGCGAAATAAAACTTCTGTACGTAGTACTTATTATTATTCTGTGGTAGTACTTACTAGCCACAGGAGCCGTGGCCTTCATAGTGGCGAGGGCCGGAGGGATGTCGGTGACAGGGTCGGGCGCGCCCTGCGCCGTGCTAAACAGCGGCGCGTTCCACATCTTCTCGTTCAGGCCCGCGCCGAGTCCCACCCATGCGTTGAATAGGGACACCTGGAATACACTTAAGCATTGAAATGCCTAGCCCAGGTAGATCACGCAATCCATACATTATAATAAGAGCTAAAGTCCGATCGCCGAGCAGATAGAATTTCGTCCAATGACCCCAAGCTACCCATCCTTATCACTCGCACGTAAATTGCTGTCGCGACTGTAAACGAAATTCTATCTGCTCGGCGAAGGGACTTTAGGTTGTAGTCATTGCCTGTTCAGAAAATGTGAACTTAAGCATAATACTGGATTCTAAGAAGTCGATAAGTAAATAAAAGGTCCCACGGTACCCACATTGATAAATATGATTATAAATTTTTGGATTATGACCACCAAATCAAATGGAAATTAATCAACCAATCAATGAATCAAATTAATGAAGGCAATGTGTGTGTAAAATCGCACATTGATTTTATTTTATGGACACGACGAGGAACCATTTATTTGTCATTTTAACAAATGCGAGGTTAAGTATGATGATGATGAATATAATACAATTTTACGCAAGCACTACACATATACATATTATGTANACCCAACAGTGTGTGCATAGTACCTAAGTTACGTGGATTAGTTTTTAAGTTTCCTAATGTACCTACAATATTAAATAAAATTCAGGATCTTCTTCCTTTTCTTAACAAAATTTGCACATGATAATAACACTTATTTACAAGTTGTATAAATAATAATATGATTCATATTGTTTCGAAAATTAATAGTAATGATTTTAGAATATATCTTTATTAAGACAGGAATACCAGGCCGAATGTAATGATTTTAATATCTTTATGAGACGTGAATGCCAGGAGGCATCACGGTGACGGATGGCCGAATGTAATGATTTTAGAATTAATATTGTATTTTATACGATCATTTTGGCAGAATTTAAACACCCATTATTAAAATTAAATACTTTACTTGACTACTTCCTGGACATTGTTGCAGATATTAGAATGGTTTTAGAATTTATTCTGTATTATATTCAATTACACATTTCATGTTTATTATTTAATGAAATTATTTTAGAATTTTTATTGTATACAATTTAGTAATTTAGAAATAAATTGTTATTTAAGTATTGATTTTGACTACTTCCGGGGCATGCTGTCGATAAGTCGTTTCGAGCCGGTTGACTCTGACGAATGGAAGGGGAAGTTGCCTTATCGCGGGCATGCGGCCGGACAGGTAGTTCGATTGGAGCATTCAAAGCAAGAAATACTAACTTTAAGGTGTTATAATGTTGGAAATGTATAAATTAGTATCTTGAATAAATAAGTAATTGATCTAAAAGTAATTTTTCCTCATATGTATAAAGAGAAATAAACAAAAAAAACAAACAGCATCAGGTGATGATGATTGTAGTGACGATGATGATGATAATGTCGATGTAGATGACGGTGGTGACGCCATCTTCATCACCATAATCGTCACCAGGGCCTTTAGTCTCCCCAGGAGGACGATCCTCTTTTTATTTTTTTGAGGATTTTGGTGGGTGATGGTTGTTCAGTGTTCACATATTCCTGCTTCGCTTGGTTGCTTCATTATATCTACGGGAAGAGTGGGGACACTAAAAGCAGCTGATAATATTACCTGCAGACTCTTTTGCGCCTTCCTTCGCCAGTAGTAGAGGTTGGGCTGGTGCAGTGTGACGTGCATTAGCGGCAGGCAGCCATCGCCGCGACGCTCGCGTGCCAAGTTATGCTGTAGGGAACCAAGCATTAATTTAATGAAGTACAAGCATGAAACAAAAATACTTTCAGAATTTTAGACTACATTTTTTAATACTAAGGGCTGATTTTTCAATCGTCGGAACTTTTAACTGAAGAATAAGTTTGACATATTGACAGTTTCAGTACGGGAAATATGTCACGATGACAAGTTCATTCCTCAGTTATGATTGGAAAATGTGCCCTTAATGAGACCTCTAACTATTGATTGAAAGTACATGAAGCAATAAAACGGTTTAAAAAATTTGGAACCTGTCTAGTGTTTCCTAATTTTTCCAATCTTTTTTCGATTTTACAATTTAGTTCAGGGTCAGTTGTTTCGATCATGTGCCCTAAGGGCAATTATGTCACGGGACCAGTCGGCTGCTTACCACATCCACGATGGACTTGGCGGCCTCCGCGTGGCGAATGGTCTCCGTGAGGCTCCTGGTCTTGCTGTCGTCAGAGCTCAGGTCTTCCGGGTTCGGCACGCTTTGGTCGAAAATTACCTGCGACATATCATAATATTGCTGTAGGCCTATACTTTTAACAGGTAACAAATGAACTTGTTTTGATTAGAAAATATTAGCTCCATACGAAAGTAAGACACGTGTAGCGTGCGTGTCTTACTTTCGTATGGAGCTAATAGTTTCTAATCAAAACAATAGCGTGTAAGGGACTTGGTGGAATTCACTCAATTTAACAACAGGGAAAGGCGACACATCGTACGGCGAGCCAGATTCGCCTGCAAAAAATCATTGATGACCACGTCGAGCGTCAAGCGAATCGTCCACGCATGTCGTCTCGTTTATTCTGTAAATCAGCGTGAGTACTACTTAGCGTCACTTGGCTCAGCGTGAGTTTTCACTATGACACAGTACAAGGCATACTTAGCTCGTGGCCCGCGCTGCATACCATCAGTGCCGGCGAATGCGTGACTGAGGCCTAGTTTACACCAGAACGGAGAAGTCTTTCGAATAACTAATCAGATTTCATAATTTCCACTTCTCTGCTCCGCTCCGCCTTGGTGGAAACCGGGCCTGAAACCAGAATGAGAAGTACTCACGTTGACTTGCACGGGCTCCGGCGGCGGCGGCGAATCGCTCATAGGCGGAGGCCGCAGCGCGATGACCTCGGGACTGCTGTCGTCTTCCGTATACAGCGACACCTCGATGGTGCCCATCGTCACGAACACCTCCAGATAGTCCGACGCTTCGGCCCTGCGATTACAAAGAATAGTTAGTGAGTTTGAAACGATATATGTTGTGATTTTAATCTTTGTGGCTGATTTTGTTCCCATAGCCTGTACAAGGATAGATGACCCTATGAATGTCACACTGTAGACTCAGATACTCATATGGTTTCCCATTTCTGTAGACTTGTAGCCATGAATTACAAACTCATCATTATTATACAACAGATAAACGGGCATTATGGTGTATGGGCACCACCTTTAATTGTACTTCTTTCTGTCATACTATTTTACGTTCCATTTCGTTGCGGGAATTAAAATTTCCCCCTACTTTTGATTTTCCTATACAAGTGCCTAGCTAGGTTTTATAGTTGGCCATTCTGAAGATCCTGACAAAACGATACAATAAATTGCACTAATAGTTATTTCGCAGGTAGGTACAAGAAGTAGGTATTTTGCATGACTATTTTATCAACAGACTGCAATCTGCCATGAAGCTCTCCCCTAGAATCTCTAGTATAAAGTAAACCATCCACTTCTGTATAACATTATTTTCAATGTAATACTTGCTGTGTTTTAAAATATTATCGTGTAGAGAAATGATTCCTCGACCGAACTATTAGCAACGTTAGTGGTACTTACAAAGGCCAGATAAGCAAGCTGAAATCACAATCAAGATTTTATAATGGAGAAAATACAGATTTCACTGTGTACCCCATTTGGCATTTCATTTTTATGGCAAGATGGAATAACCGTTTCTGGTAGGTGTATACAATAGTAAATTTGGCTCACAAACATGTAAGAAACTGAATTTCTAAACTCCCATGAAGTGGTGTTTTTACATGAGAACAGAGGTTGGTCTTGAACGACGCCACGGCGCGGTAACACACCAGAACATCTCTTACTTACAATATACACCATACAATTAACCATTGCAACCAACTCTATCTTGTGTGCTCATTTATTCATCATCATTACTTGTCACTGATTGGTTTGCGACCTAGGCGAAGAAACGGCAAGCACTCCATCTCAACTCCTATTACCACCCCATCACACTTAAACAATGTTGTACCCAGTAAATGTAGACGCTGTCGAGCAGGGATGGCGAATCTTTATGTATAAACGTGTCACTTTTGTCAAAAAATGTTTGATGTAGTTCATAGATGTACCATCAAATAACACTTCGTGTTTCCAATGAGGGGTCTCGTACGAGTGCCGCTGGCGAGTGACGGACATTCCTCTACAGTGGCACCAACTGATAAGCGCAATACGATAGCCCTTATTCAAAACACATTTTTAAGTATTTTATTTCAAAAGGAATTTTCGCGTGTTCGCCATCCCTGCATAGTCTGTAGCCTCAAGATATGGATGAAAGCAGAAAATGTATTATGTTGACACTTTGTGACATTGGCTGGATGGAGCTGCAACATCTACAACAGCGAGCAGCGCCATCACAGCTTAAGACAGAAGAAAAACACTTACATGTGGTCCGCAAGCGCGACGGGTTTCTTCGATCCCACGTCGCATGCGGTGGTACTTGATGTTATGGGGTCAATTTCACTGGGACTCCATGATAGCGAAAGTAGTCACGTCAGCAAACATATTTGTAAGCTCTTTGCTCCGTCATGGCGTCCCAGTAAAACTAGACCCAGTGCTGTATACACTTCGCTATTGCTTGTAGCTGCTGGTAGGTGCTGGTTTATAAAAACAACGTATAACCTGATGACAAGGCATGAGGAATAGGCAAGGAATCATAAAGCGTATCGGTGTCTAGCGTATGTCTGCTTCTGTTATAAAATTATCGTATACATTGCAAATTAGAATCCCCTTACCTTATAATGTGGCATTTTATTAAGTTATTGTTTGTATCTGCTAATGGCCAAGTACCGACTATCTTGACGGTTATAATGAGCTTAACTGTGATTAGGTATGTACAAATGAACAAAACCCGTAAGCAAGCGCTAGCGCCTAAATAAATGTCATATACAGTGGAACTACATCGTGTTTTATAGTTTGCTGAAGAAAGAGGCTTAAAATAAGTAACTATCAGGTTGACACCTGGCCTGACTTGGTGTCTTTAGTGTTAAACGTTGCTCACAATCTCGCCCGAATGTCATTACTAGCTGCTTTCTCAATTCTAAATACTTTCTTGCAACTCACAGTTTTTGATCTAACACTTTTTCAAACTGAATATAATAATTGTTCTGCATTCATATGGTCAATGGTCAACATAAGCGTGTTGGAATAAACGAATATACCAAACAATACAATAATAGATTCCATTTCCAGACTTTTATATAGCCTGACCAGGAACATAAAAACCCTGGCATAGAGGCGCGTCAATTGCATTTGATAGTGCAACACTGAGTACAGTCGTACCTGTGTTAAATTAATAGGCTAACTTTATGTATCAGGATTCAGGATTACGGGCTAATTTGATATTTTCATAAATTAACGAAAAAATATTATTATAGGTAACCTGATTTAAATAAATTAAATGAAACCATCAATCGAGCTAGTAGGATTTATTTTATTATTCATCAATAATCAAATTCAGAACTTGAATATTCAACTGCAATGTTTGCTCATGAACGCTTCAAACTCGGTACTTCTTTCCCAATTCCATAAAATTCAACACTTAGAAAGTGACATTTTTTTTAAAAATAGGTAGTTGAAACAAACCACAGCTAATTTTCATAGTGGACTGTACTATGCGATAAACATGTCAGTCAATTTGACAACCTTTGTCGGAAACATTATTCAATGAAAATATTGTCCGAACCCTTAGTATTTCTCTTCGACAAATACTTTAACACATTGTGAACCACTTTTCTTTCACGACTATAAAAAGATTTTAGCAATTTAATTCACAAAATCAATTGCGCACATTTAAAATAAAGTTTGTTTACACTTTGACAGCAATAGACTGACATATCAATGAAGTTTTCAGTTACTGTTGCCATTAAAAGAAATTAGTACCATTAGTTTTCCGCAACATGGCGAGGGTTTTTATGTTCCTGGTCAGGCTATACGTGGTTCACAAATAGGTACCTTAGATTTCTCTTTTATGTATTTTTATAAGTTTACAGGTATATTTTTCGTTAAACTCTTAGGCTGAGTTGCACCATCTTATTTAAACTTTTACAAACGTCAAAAATCTGTCGAACCCCATACAAAAAATATATTAAATAAAAATAACCGGTATAAAATTATCACTTCACGGGATTTATTGCAACAATATCTATTTTAACGGTAAATAATATTTACCGTAAAAAATGCAACATAATAGTTTAAAATATTAAAATAACCGGTGTTGGTCAAACTTAAATGATGCAACTCAGCCTTAGATAATGACTATTTTACACTTTGCTATTGCCCTCTAATTTCTCAACAAACGTATATCCCTCATAATGCGAATAATACAAATCAGTAAAACAATTTTTAATAGTAGACGCAGGTGAAGTACTAATACCAAACAGTGATTTTCATTATTAAGGTGTCCTTAATAGGTAATCGAGGCAAGCTTCGAATGGCTTCTCCAAAAATTGGTGACCATATTCGTCAGAGTTTCGTTTGTTAAGGAACTTTTATTTGGCCAATGTATTAAATACATTCTTTGCTAACCAAGTCTTGTGTACAAATATATCAACACAATCTATGTACGTTTTATCGAATCATAAAATATAATATATATCTATTATATAAAAGAAAGTCGTGTTAGTTACTCCACTTATAACTCAAGAACGGCTGAACCGATTTAGCTGAAAATTGCCAGGGAGGTAGTTTAGAGCCAGGAGAAGGACATAGGATACTTTTTATCCCGTTATTTATTGCCATTAAAGCGGAACAAAGTTCGCCGGGTCAGCTAGTAATACATAAATGTATACTTAAAAAAGAATATTAGTAATTTGTCTTGCACAATTTATTACAATGACGTAAAATAGGCGTCCTGTGGGCTTAAGATGCGTGCCGTGATAACATATCGACGTCAAAATGTATGGGCAAAATCGATAAAATGGCGTAATAACCGCTTATCGCGCGCGCATCTTACGGCCGCGATAAGCGGCCTACTGGTTTGTATAGTACTTCATAACTTATTGAGTTGGCGCGCTTCCAACCAACTAACCGATGTTGAGTCTTCCTCATATCTGACAGCAGCCCTCTTGCAGAAGAAGACTGCTAGGAGCGGTAAACAATGAATACGAATACTTACAAATGATCCACGAAACTGCTTATGGGTATATGCTACTGTTATTTTTGAGAGAGACCAACAGGCGTACGAACGCGTATGCTTGGGCTGGATTATAGTAGACCGCATAGTGAAGATTTGCAGCTCACATCCTAAATATTACTATGTATTATAAGTGATCCCAGACATCGTACTGATTGACAATCATTATTGTGGTGCCCCTCACTTGCAAGAGATCACCTCATGACTTACAGGTGGTAGCGTCTCACGTAGCGACGGAAACGGACTTCTTGATGTCAGTGGGCATAATCGTCGGCGCACGCGCAGGTATAATCACTATTGACCGCGCACCCAGCGGAGACATTGTTGCAAGATTTGCAGATCGCATCCTGACTTCTGTTTTGTATCGTAGTGTTTCTAGATTTCGTAGTGTGGTCCCTTCCCCCTAATTTACTTACAAGTGATTCACAAAGACGAAGTAGACGGGCTTGTTGACGTCATTAGCGAGGTGACCTTCGGTGCGTGCGCATGGGCTGGATTATACATAAAAACATTTGACTAGATTCCAAGTGGAGTCTTACTTGCATGACTTGCAGAACGCACTATGACATTCTGCTATGTCAGACTTTATATTGACAGATGGAAATTATTGTGGTGCCTCTTCTCCTAAGTTGTCTTCCCGCTAAAGATCATCATCAACATTTCAGCCACAGGACGTCCACTGCTGAACATAGGCCTCCCCCAATGACTTCCACATCGCACGGTTGGTAGCGGCCTGCATCCAGCGCCTTCCCGCTACCTTTATCAGGTCGTCGGTCCACCTTGTGGGTGGACGTCCCACGCTAAAGATCAATGACTTACATCTTTTTGTCGTCGGCGAAATGATCGTCAGCGCACGAGCATGGACTCGATCATAATGACATATCACCACCATGAGCAAGAGTCAGACCGCAATTTGTATAACATATTGTGACTTTTGTTATGATCCCGGGCATCCAGCGGAGTTATATTTGCGAGATTTGTTCCTTTTGTGTTGCCAGATTTTGGTAGTACTGTTCAATTCCTCTCCAAGTTCTCGTTGCTGCTAAATATTGATAACAGACGCCCCTGTCGTGAAATCTGAGAAAATTATTTACAGGTGGTCGACGAAGGCGAAGGAGACGGACTTTTTGAGGTCGGTGGAGAGGTCGGCGCACACGCAATAGTTTGGTTATAATCACAAATAAATGAGCTCCCAACGGTCTTGTTTGCAAGATATGCAGGCTACGGCCTGCGTTATGACATATTTTATATAGACATACCGTTACATACATATGTAGAGGTTTGACATTCGCAGATCATAGACTTCGTACTGACAGATGGATAGTATAACATTGTGGTAGCTGTCGTCTCGCTAAATCGCTATTCCGAAGAATTCCGCAATTCTTGAGGCCGGCGAAATGATAATAGTCGCGTGCGCATGGTCATTGTGATTTCTGTTATGTAGGAGCATTGATCCCAGATATCGTATTGACATATGACAAAGATGACTGACATAGTAATTCATGGTATGGACTTACAGATGGTCGACGAAGGTGATGGGCTGTTTGCTGTCTGAGCTGAGAAGATGACTTACAGGCGGTCCACACCCACAAGGCGACGGGGAAGGATTTCTCGAGACCAGCGGGGAAACCGGCGCGTGCGCATTCGTTGGACTTGGTATAATAACTTGGTATATAGATCGGGCTCCTAGCAGTCTTGTTTGCAAGATTAACGGGCATTCTAATATTGTGATTGACGAATGGCTAGTATTGATGTCCCCCCCCCCCCGGCCCTCTCCAGAAGCTGCCATATAAGGGTGTAGTCTGAGCTGAAAAGATGACTTACAGGTGATCCACGAAGGCGACAGACATGGACTTCTTGAGGCCGGCGGAGAGATCGGCGTGCGCGCGCGGACTCGACTTGAGCGTGGAGTGCGAGGCCGCCGTGTCCACGCCGGAATCCGTCGCGCCGCTAGTGCCCGCGACGCCGCCGCCGGCTTCGCTCTCTTGGCCTTTCAGGGTTTCTGTTGACAACCAGCGAACATGCGGTTAACAGAACATCAGACAACTCTTAAGGTGCGATTGGATCGTTCATTCGTTCGTTCGTTTCAGCCAAATGACGTCCACTGCTGGACAAAGGCCTCCCCCAAGGTTTTCCACAATGAACGGTCCTGCGCTGCCCGCATCCAGTGCGATTGGATAACCAAATCTATTTAATAGGCTGCAAGTGAATTGATATAACTTACCATCATTAGATAGTGAATCGCTTTGTAACGAAGGAAGGTCTTCGAAACCGGTAGACTGCATCAGCAATGACGCGTATGGGCATTTTTCATCTTCTTCGTATATTACTAGTCCTGGACCTCTGAAATAAGCAGAAATATTTTTCATCAGAAAGATAAAGTCTTATTAGGTTCAAAGTCATTGATAGCGTTACAGGATTACCTACTCACAACTTCGTCGGTCGTTTATTGTGTCATGTGGGAAAACGCGAGAACCAAAGTTTACTGGACACTACGTTCCATACTCGATCTAAATGTGTCTATTACCTATTTTCTTTTGAACATTACAGTCTGCCTGCCTCAAAAGATCCTCCCCTTTTCATCTTTACAGGTGCCGTCGGTGCTGGACTGTTAGCCGATCGAGCTAGGTTAGTTGCTTAACAACAGAAGACTCACTTTATCAATAATGGGGGGTTTCGCGAATGAAAAATCCGCCAGATGGCTGCATGATTGGTTATTTTTGACATGAAATTGACAGAAATGTCAAAATCCACCAATCACGCAGCAGTCAGACCCACATCCACGTCCCGCCATCTAGCGGATCTTTCATTCGCGAAAACCCTCATTAAATATGATTTCACGATTTAGAGATCATGTTAAGTAGGCTGTCCATCAGGACACTCACTTGTGCGCGTGCAGCGCGTGCGTGACGTCACCCAGCACCCGCTGCAGCAGCGCCAATTGCTGCACGCTGACGTCCAGCGCGCAGTCCGACACAAGATTCAGTTCCACGGCCGGTCCGCTAGCCAGCGCGCCAGTCACGAACACCGCCGGCGCGAGCACGCAGCCTATGTCCACCCTGGGAAGGAAATTACGAGTTAAGGGACTCATTATCATCATGATTTCAGCCATAGGACGTCCACTGCTGAACAAAGGCCCAATGATTTCCACAAAGGCCAGTTGGCGCCCTGCCCGGTCCTGTCACCTTTATGAGGTCGGCGGTGCACCTTTTGTTAGGGGAATATTCTGCAAACACATCCACATAGCAGTTTTGACTGAAGTGTATGGAAATTAATAGTAAAACTGGTTATGTCGTCTCTTGCCTACGATGCACACGCTGACGTCATCATGACGTAACGGGGAGTGGTAATACAGCCTCTTCTTTGCGCACTATACTAACGGCTACGGAACGAGATGGACATACGGTGCATCTAATAATTTAAATATTTTTAACTCCTGCCACTTCTGATTATATTTGCCTAACGACACAATATGAACATAATCTTGGGATATCGCGTCAAAGCCCAAATATTCCCACCGAATCATTGACAAAGTATGAATGATAGACTTACGGGTGTAACATAGACGTGATGGTCGGGGACACAATGGGCTGGGTCCACTTCAAAGCTGGATTTTCTCCCACAGTACCTTGCATCATCTCTTTTTCACTTGCCTGCAATAACAATACATAAGAAGTAAGTAAGCGAGATCACAAGAGTGCGAGCGGGTAATCGAGTAATCCCAATATGTAACTTTAATAAAGCGCCATCTATTGTAACGAAATAATTATTTGTAAAGCACTATCTATGGTTTCACGTGGTAACTACTTAAGGCGGTTATCACACTGCGCCGCGCTCCGCCGCGGAGCGCGTGATTTTCATATAAAAAATCACGCGCGCGGACGCGTTGTCAGTGTGAAGTGCCGCGCATGTTTTCTATACAAACTTAGGTGCTTGCATACAATGATTTTTTACGAGATTGTAATAATATATAGAATCCATTATTGGCTGTAAGAACAAAAATACCTGTTTGTATTATTATTATAAAGAAAAATAAAATAAAATTAAATTAAATCTGTCGCCCCGCGCTCCGCGGCGGAGCGCGACGCAGTGTGATAACCGCCTAATTCTTACAAAATGTTTCTGCTGTGTATAGCACGAACTTTTGGTAAGAAATAAATAGGACAAGCGAGTTCACACACAAAACCAAAGATGGCGCTATTTTGAACATGTCGATAAAGAGGTCGACCCTGTGCTGTTTCGTATTCATAGGTACAGTCAGCGTCATTATGTATAAATTGTATTGACATTCGTGACACCCAATGTATAGATCGTTTCATCCACGAACACGCGCCCCACCTCCTTTAGGTTGAGGGAAGCGCTGGGTGCGTATAGCCAATAAGTTCGCAAAATGTATTTGTTACAATTGGAATAAGGTTGAATGCAGATTCTTTTTTTTTCGCAGCCACACTTTTGGTAGAAGGTCATGGTCGTTACATCTGAAGTGCTGAATAAGGATATGTATGTGTATCGCAGCAGAGATGTGCTACAGGCCTAGTGCTGCTATAGTTACCTCTTGGAAGACGAGCTGACTGAACTGGGCCGAGCGCACGCTAAAGTTGGTGATGAGCACCTCGTACTGACGGCCCTCGAAGGGCCCGCCGCTGCCGACCCAGCCGCTGTCGTTCACCGCGCCCACGGCACGCCTGCCAGACATACATTTTGATTTATTGAACAGCTATTCTAAAGTCCGGTTGCCGAGCAGATAGAATTTCGTCCAATGACCCCAAGCTGCCCATCCTTATATTGCTGTTGCGACTGTGCGACGTGCGGCCACAGTGAGTGTGCGAGCGCGACAACAACACGCAATTAGCTTGGGGTCATTAGACGAAATTCTATCTGCTCGGCGACCGGACTTTAGTTCAAGAGATTCATAGTATCACTGCGACCGGTATCCATGTACTGTGATCGCCAGTATTTTCACAGTTCACCTCCGAGTCCTGCGTCTATTGGATATGCAGTATCTTTTGGGGGGCGATATATTTATCTATCAAGGATACTATCATTGATACCTGGCGTCCAGATCCTTTACGTGAGCCCTTCGCATGGGTGTTTATAAAATAACATTTGGTACACATTGCTTATTTCTGAATTGATATGACATGGAGAATAAACACTGGTTTCACCTTTTGTATATTGAACAGAAAATATTATAGGACACTTACCTGCATATCGGGTTCTCTGGGTGCGGGTTTACGGTCACTTTCCCAAGCTGAAAAGAAAAAGAAAGTTAATCGAAGATCCAACCACATATATCTATGTACTCATTGGTGTAATTTACTAACGACAATCATGAAAGTGTCGTCTGCATTCGTATCTTCATCTTCACTGGTGATGAGTAGCCGCAGCCCGCCTGCACTCACGTAGAGGAACGGCCACTGCCAGTTGCTAGGTCTGTGTGAGGAAACAAAAACATTGTGTTACACAAGATACTTAGACACCCTTGAAACTTATCAACATCCCCGGCAACTTAAGGAGTTTTTTGAATATTTGATTTTAGCTGAACTGCCAATAAAGATCTACCAAGGCCAAGATTGTCAGAGAGGAAAATTAGGCGGTCATTGGACCCGCAACAAAATTAATCAGAAGCTTTATAACAAGTGAGGTAATAGCTGATAGCAGCGTAGCGTGGGCAGGCCTCTCACTAGGTGGACCGACGATCTGGTGAAGGTCACGGGAGGTCCCTGGATGCGAGTGGTGCAGGACCGGTCGTGTAGAAATCCTTGGGGGAGAATCCTTGGCCCCCAGCAGTGGACGTCTTTCGGCTGAAACGAACGAGGTAATATAGAATGTCCTTTACCTTTGTGCGACCTCCGCGCTGAGAGGGCAGAAGGACCGCGGTGCAAACTCTTGTATGAGAGAGACAACATTCTCCAGGATAGTCGGCTGGATCACCGCCTCGAGCGGCGCCACCGTCGCGTAAATCTCCCACATACTGTCGATTCCCTAGACAGAGGAATGATGTAAGCGTAGTGTAGACAAAAGAACAATAAAAGACTAGTCTGATTTATTGTTTAGTGAGTTGCTGTTGTAGGGCTTTTTGGTAACATGGAAAGCATTGGGGGAGGCCTATGTTCAGCAGTGGACGTCCTATGGCTGAGATGATGATGATGATGATGATGAAGCCATTTTGGGCACCACTTGGGGGTGCCATATCGCACTTTAACTAAAATTCATAACAAATTAAATTCATAAAATTCATTTATTTTTGCAAATAGGCTTTTAAAAAGCACTTTTACACAAAACTCAGTGTAGCTGGAATAACTATCAAGACAGCTCATGGTTGCGATGGCTGGCTCTAAAGCGGTGATTGACGTAGTGTCAATTTCTTTATTACTATAGTTAGCCCTTTTCAGGGTACTTGTACTCGTCCCAAATACAGCTTACAATACCTGAATGAAGCCCAGTGCAGGATGAAGAATAAATAGTTTTCTAGTGTGATTGACTAGGTATTTCGAAGTGATTTGCTGCTATCTGGACTGCACTTGGTTGCGGTCGTTGGCTCTCAATCGATGATGCACGTAGTATAGAATCCATAAGAGTAATAAGGCCCTTTTCAAGATACTTATTATACATGTCCCTAAAGTTGCTTGCCGCCTCGCTATTTGGAGACAACATATCGCGTATGTATAGTATACGCTACTTGACGGCCAGTGCAGATGAAATTGTTCTGTTTCTATTATTGTCTATTTTGTAGTTACCTGATGCTATGGTTGCGGTCGCCAACATTAAATCGGTGATAGAAGCGTCGTCTAATTTTTAATGAATGTAAGCCCTCTTCAGGGCAGGTGTGGGCAGGGCACATAGCTCGTAGAGCTGACGGCCGCTGGGGCAGGAAAGTTCTTGAGTGGCGACCACGAGCCGGAAGACGTAGCGTTGGCAGGCTTCCTACTAGGTGGACCGACGATCTGGTGAAAGTCGCGGAAGGCGCCTGGATGCGAGCGGCGCAGGACCGGTCTTTGTGGAAATCCCTGGGGGAGGCCTTTGTCCAGCAGTGGACGTCTTTCGGCTGAAACGAACGAACGAACGAACCCCTCTTCAGAGCAAGCAGAGCAGAGCCCGTCCCAAATATAGCTGGCCCTCTCACCATTTAGAGACAATAACATATCGTTTATATGCTAAAGCTCACTGTAGATAGAATATTATATAAGCCCGTGCACGTGCATTGCTGGCAGCGCTGGTCCGGTCTTTGTGGAATCCTTGAAACCCTTGCTCGCCAATGATAAAATCTTTTGGTTAGAATGAAGGAATACATTCCAAATACAGATTGTCCTTCCTTCATTTTCAGTCACAAATGACTATTAAATCATATTCAATATGTGTCTCGGGGTTAATATGCAAACTATTAACTAATACATTAATTTTCCCTTCTGTTTATGTATCATCTGATTTCAGAAATAATAATTAGCAGCCATCACCAAAATATTTATAATCATAATGTAATATTTTGAATATCCCTTACCGTTTTCTGCTCCAATAACTTCGGATGTAACTCTTCTTTCCAGTTTGAAGGCAGATTGGATATTCTAGGCCAAAAGTTGTACATTAATATTAATTCATTAAGATTCGTGGGGGATGATACCTGACGATGTTAAAGTTACACGGTTTTGGATACTTACTGTGCCTGAGTTATAGTTACGGACATGAAGTAGTTCTCCTCTTTCGCGTTGGTTGGTTCTCTCGCTTCTAGCACTCTCCCGCCCAACACGCCCGCTGTCCATTCGGTACTACCCGTTCTACAATATAAGAAACAACACTAAGTCATGACGTCACACAAAAAACATCTGAAAGAATTTATTTTGGGCGTGATATGACACTGACTGATCTAGAAGAAAATGCTAAGATTGTAATTTGGCAAGTATTGACAGAGGTTACTCACGCTCAAGGAACACTAACATGATATGTAACAAGTTTTACATGAATTAGTCACCTTTCATAGTGTCTCACAGAGGCAGAAGCAATCTTGATTTTGAGCTGGTTATAATGTGATTGGAGATCCACAGTGGACATGATGTCGTCGGCGTCGAACACAAACTTAACGTTCTGTGTCGCCACCACTAAGGTCGCCCTGCTCACCACCCATTGGAACCAGAAGAATGTCTTCATTTTGAAGGTGTCTGTAAAGTGAACAAAAAGTCGATTAACAAACTCAAAAAAAAATTACAACTTTCTCGGCAACTACACTCGACATCAAATAAATCGCATCTCCCGCGACAAGCACTTTCAAACGTATGCATCCCCACTTCCCACCAATATTGGCACCATTTAAAAGCCTAGTTCTAAACTTCATTTCATTAAAGGAAAGATTTTTACCCCAAAAATGTGTCTTTAGAAGGATCCAGTCATTCTTCAAAAAATAGGTAGTTACGCTTGAGTCAACTTTTATGACTATAAAACTGTTAAATTGGATTAATCGCTATCCATATGTTAAAGAGGACACGTGAGATCATTATTTGGTTTTATAACCATAAAAATTGGTATAATTAGTCCCAGAGGTGAGCCCCAAGTGAGGACTTTTTTCAAGTCTAATTTTATGGTATGTGTTAACCATTTATTATGAAATTAAATGTATTTTTTTGAAGTTCATTTATTGGGCTTTCAATCATGGTGCCCCTTCAAGGCACCATGATTGTGTCAGAAGAATATCTTTAAAGTTCGCGTCGCGGAAGGTGCGATTTATTTGATGTTGAGTGTATTAATTATTCTTTCTTCTTGTGTACTCACTGTCTGATCGCGATTGTGATTCATATATCGAAATCAGTCCAGATTTTTCTTCGCTTGGCGTGTCCGATTCACTCTCCACTTCTTCTAATTCCGACACAGACCTTTACAACAACAGAACAATAACTAAATATAATTAAAATAGCACCTCCTACTCGAGAGCAGATTGTGACCACAAACTGAGTTCATAAACTGGACCGCTATGACGGTACTCTAGGCATGTCTAACGTCTGACATACGCAGTGGTAGTGTGGCGGCCATTACATTATGGTGGGTCTCTATTATTATGCCATGGTCGCCAAACGGTCATTTAGAGGCAGGACTTTAGAAACAACATGTTGTGGCTGTATGATAATTATAATGGATACTAAATTAATGATAACTAACGAATCTAAAGCCTGGTCCGTGAGCACGTAGCATTGGACAGGATTCTACGTGCTCACGGACCAGGCTTTAGAAGGAACTTTGAAAATACGAAATATGATAGCACGATATTTTTTGCTTTTAAATATTCAACCACTTTGACTTTAAGAATGGTCCAAAGTATTTACAGCCTTCAAGGTCTAAAAAGGAATATAAGCTGGCTTCGAATGTTCAACCGACACAAAATGTTTAAGTTAGTACCTGATGAGTGATCGATGCGAGCCCCCGAGGGATGAGTAGGAGTACTTAGACGGGACTATAGGTGGCCGTTGCAACAGCGTCACGATGTGCTGCAGCCCGTGAAGAGCTGACGCGACCAGGTGTACCTGTAAACGAAACAAATATAAAGATAAACTATTGCAAGTGTATGTAGTGCTCGTAGGTAGACCTCGGGATTTTGTATGCACATTTTTATATTAAAACCTCTCCTAAAAACAAAAAACCCAACTGCGTAAAAATGAACTAAAAAGATAAAAACAAGCCTTAGCCCAACAATGACTAATTCTTTTGTTGGTGATATGTATTTGATGCCTCCGACTGCATTTGTGAACACTAAGGCTTGTTACATATTCGCTGTCGAGGCGCAGTTACCACGGGTGGTGTGTCAGCATGTAGGTGCACCCTTTGGGTGCGCAGGAGTTGCAAAGATGCGAATGCGAATGGTACTGGTCAGTACATAACCAGTTGAAGCTTATACATATATTAGATCGTTTCATCCACGAAGACACGCCCAGCATATTTTTGATCGAGGGAAGCGCGGCGTGCGGGAAGTTTGATCCGAGCAATTCAAGCGTCATTATTGTAGTGTGCGTGTGAACTCATAGATAATTTAGCGGGTACCGATAACACTCAGACATTAGCGGATGAAATGATCTATACAATGTTACCTGTTCGTGGTCGAGGCGCAGCACCACGGGCGGCGTGTCAGCGTGCAAGTGCACCCCCAGCGACACCACCGGCCCGCTCACCGTCGTCGGCGCCGCCGGCTCCTCCGGCTGGGTCTCCTTCGGCTAAAAACATTAACCTTCGGTCAGTTCAGTCTGTACATATTTGATGTACTTGAATTTGGCTATACTGTTTTTTGCACATTTGATGATTTGGCTACACTGTTATTAAATGGTGACTTGAGTTTGTTCCGGCGTTTCTTCTCAGCACTTGCCATACGCTTGTCTTATTATTTCTTATTGTCTTATTTTATTTTACACTGGGATGCCAAGTTGCAATATCCACTTTAAAACAAATGGGTTAGGTTTGGAATATAATGGCATCTGTAATAAAGATAGCTAGAGAAATCGATAGATGAGTGAGTATTATATGTATAGAGATTAAAATAATTTGGGATAAATTCTAGACGGGGTCACAGCAACAGGAATATTACTAAATAAAAAAGTAGGATTCTTACCATTTCTTGTCTGGACTTTTTTCTTCTGTAACAAATGAAATAAATCTTGAAATAGTACTTAAATTCAAAAACATAATAAAATACTTATATGTGATAATAAAAATTCTTACTTAGCCGGTCCACGGAAGAACTCCTTGAGAGTTGACGGTTTGAAGTCGATGCCAGAAGTGAAGTATTTCAGTTTCTAGACAAAAATATAAGTATTTTAGTAGCATTAAAATTCTATTAAAATCTAAATAATTTATATCATCCTTACATCTTCCTCAGTGCTGGTTTCCATGTGATGTTTCTTCGGCTCCTTCTTCAACGAGGTCCTGATCTGCATACTTCGGGTCACCACGGATATTGTGACAGTAGTGGTTATCAGCTCCAGCATAGTCTTGGGCATGGCGTGCGTCATCTTGAGCTGGCTCCTCAAACCGCCCATGCGGTCACGACTCGACACCTCGGGCCGGAAGCGGACCTCGAGCGTGTAACACGACACGTCAGCGAGACGTAACCGCCACGGGAACGAGTCGTCTTCGGGGCGGGCTGATGGATAACGAGTGATTAAAAAAGTGAAGAAACTTGCTTAGTTGGCGTTTGAGACCACAATGGCCTGTCGTAAGGTGAAATATCGAAGACGAAAATGTAAAAATTACTTAAACTTCTAAACTATTTATTTGAGTGGCGGACAAGATACAGCGTGTATCTGACGACGTGTAAAAAAAAATAACTGAAGTTCTGGCTAGAAGTCTAGATTTAAAAAAAATGTTTTTTTGAATAAATTCTTATGTGAATGAAATTAGCATACCACAAACCAGTCCGCGAAAGGACCGAAAACCATTGTTACCCCAGCCGATTATGATTATGACTTACAGGTTACAACACTGATGTGTCAGAGACAAGATGGAGATAACACATAATTTTAAACGTCAAGTCTCACAAATTTTCATCGTCCACGTATTTTGCTAAAATAATTTGTTTCAAAGATTGATTTCTAATCGCTAGCGGTAGCGCCCCCCTGTCATTGAGTTTGGTGGGACAGTTCAGCGTGGGTCATCTATAACCACTAGAACTTGTCAAATAACCCTTTACAGAGTAAAAACATTTGTCATTAATAAATTAATTATTGTTCCATTTAGCTCTCTCAGTGGAGCTGGTATTTTATTATACGATTATGGACGTAACGAAACAGTTGCGACCATATTTTTTTAAATTGATTTATTTATTTTCACACATTTTACTACTATAATTCAAAACAACATAATATTTCCAACAATCCGTATACACCGTATCCTTAGAAGTGGTTCTATCTTTCGTCGCATTATATCAAGGCTCGGTAGCTCAGCGGTGAGAGCACCCATTTGTATTCCAATAGAGGAGGTCGGAGGTTCAAGTCCTTCCCGAGCTGGATTTTTGTTTTTTTTTCTTTGTGAATTATTTAAGTATACTTTATATTTTCTACAAAATTCACTTTATTTTTGAATTTTATGGTAGCATTACTATAATTTATTTTCCAAATTTTAACTTATAGCTTCAGTTTCATCAACTATTTTATGTATTGTTATATCGCTTACGAATGAAAGCACATAACCATAAGCTGTGAACTGTATCTAATTCATAAAGTGCTCAATAACAACATTATTTAAAAATTAGAAATAGCGCCATCTATGGTTAACTTTTCCTGCCATACTAGGCGTGGCGTGTTTTCGTCAAGAGCCAACATGACTTGTTTTAGCGCAACGCAAATAGATGTCGCTGTCACCGTTTTTAGATCGCGGTGTCTAAATTTTTTTTCCTTTATAGACTTAGGGCTGTGAAATAATTTCGACTAGGAATTACTGCTTACGTCTTTTTGACTATACAATTTTTGAATGTTCTCCCCATTAACTTAGAGTTAATAATGGGTAGAACTGAAATATACACTAATCCTTGTTACAATTATAGGCAAGGGATGGTTAATTTTAGGTAGGACTTCAATTTCTACGTGTAGGTTTAACAATACTGTGTATTAGGCAGATTCTATACATCTAGAAGGGTATGCGTGCGTGCTAGGTAAGCACCTCGGTATTTCTTTATCAAAAAGGTAAACTCCACAATATCTACATTGATTTTGATATGACGGAGATGATAAAAGCAGAGTAAATACAAATGAGTAGGTCATCTTCATAGAAACGCACGGGCGCGGTTTGTATGTGAGCGCGCCAACACGTATGCGGCGCGCACGCACACACTGACAAAATTTAGCGGGGATTAGCGGGGAGCCAGTCGTGGTTGCGCCGAATTTTGTCAGTGTGTGCGTGCGCGCCGTATACGTATATTGGCGCGCTCACATGCAAACCGCGCTCGGTGCATTTCTATGAAGATGACCTACTCATTTGTATTTACTCTGATGAAAGTTTCCAGGCAACTTACGCTGGTCAGTGGGACCGCCGGAGACGCTGGCGTTGGTCAGGAACGTGGGCCCGTCGTGGCGGATCTCTTGCCACAGGTGCTTCTTCGACGAGTTCGAGTGCATCGACAGCCGGCCCAAGCTAATGAAACAAATAAACCGTTAATTTATATTTAATTTTGCTACATTATGTTCGTCTTCAGGATCCATTTTTTGTAATAGGTGATGATGTTCTCAAATATAGTGCAAGCGGCCTTGGCAAGATATAATATCTCGTAGTTTCCGAGAGTTCATCTGGGTGCAAAAGTCCTTCGTCTCCCGCCGTTAGTGGTTGTGGTTTGAAGGAGTTCATGTGCGTTTAGCTACTGCCAGGTGTCTCTACACCTGGCAATAGCCAGCCGTCACTCGTTCCCTATAAGCTATTTCTAACAAAATTTCTGTTAGTTACCTAAGCACCAGCTGCACCTCAGCAGCATTACTCTCCATGGGATCTCGTAAAATAGTGTAGTCTACTGCAGACGTACCAGCCCAAGCTTCACGCTCTTTAGCGCCGAGCCGTCCCACCGCTACCAATTAAGCTCATCTGTCGTCTATGAAAGGTGTAAATTACCTGAGCACTAGTACGGGTTGCACTTCAGCAGCGTGTCTCTCCATGGCGTCCCGCACAGTGGCGCAATCTACTGCACTGGCGGACGTATTGGCCACATACAGCAACGTAAATTCTAACTCTACGCTATGGTAAGCAGTTATTTCACCTATGAAAGGTGTTATTCAAAAGGCTATCGTTTTTATACTTAACAGTTGGCACCCCTGGCGATTGACAGGACCTTACTCTACAGTGGCGCCATCTTGATGAGTGCAAATGCGATAGTCCTCCTACTACTTTAGCGCTCACAAGTTAGTGCCACTGTCTTCGCTACTAGCAAGTGACAGGACCTTACTCTACAGTGGCGCTAACTGGTGAGCGCTAAAACGATAGCCCTCATTACCTGAGCACTAGTACGGGTTGCACTTCAGCCGCGTGTCTTTCCATAGCGTCCCGCACAGTGGCGCAGTCAACCGCACTTGCCGAAGTACTGGCCAGATACAGCAACGCCAGGCCGAGTTCCACACTCACTAACGCTGCTCGGAGGCGGGCGTGCAGACGCACCAGCGCCGAGCCGTCCCACCAGATCGACTGGGCTGGGGTTTGCTGCAAACAGCGTAAGAAATTCATATACTTATCTAAATAGTATATAAAACTCAAAAGTGACTAACTGACTGACAATCAATCAACACACAGCCCAAACCACTGGACGGATCGGGCTGGAATTTGGCATGCAGGTATATGTTATGACGTAGGCATCCGCTAAGAAAGGATTTTAGGGAAACTCCACCCCTAAGGGGGTAAAACGGGATCCACGCGTACGAAGTCGCGGGCGGCCGTTAGTCAACCAATATAACAGGACTATTCCCACCTCTCGTTGCCAACTCTTGTGTAGCCAGGATCTAGCTAGACCGCAAGTAAAAAACCCAACCAGTGTAGGCCAAGTTTGTCCCAGGGGAAAGTTGAACTGTCATTGGACCCGCAAATAAATTATTCAGAAGAACATAGGAGTTCGAAGTTAACCAATATAGCAGTAGCGGGGATACTTTAGCATCTTAACACGGACAATGGCAATACACTGCTGAAGTTAAGAAGTAATCGGGGGAATTTGAACATTATTCCAAGGAATAGCAGACTACTCTTGGACTTAAGAAGCAACCGGAGGGACTTCAGTATTATTATCCTAGTCCAGTTCTTCTTGAGTTAAGAAACACTACAGAGTACGATCTCCTATTTTTCTTCTGCCACTGGAAACTGTCTTCTTGGAACCACTTTTAGTTGGGTGGACGTCCCACGCTGCGTTTTCCGGTACGTGGCCTCCACTCCAGAACATTGCTGCCCCATTGGTCATCAGTTCTGTGTACTATGTGCCCTGCTCATTGCCACTAATCCGTCGGGCTATGTCAGTGACTTTAGTTCGTTTACGGATCTCCTCATTTCTGATTTGATCTCGTAAAGTAACACCGATCATAGCCCTTTCTATAGCACGCTGTGCAACTTTGAGCTTCTTTATGACGCCTTATTGAGAGGCCACGTTTCGGTGCTGTATGTCATCTGATTGGTAATTCATAACACTTCTCCGCTCTGCTCCGCCTTGGTTTTCACCGGTGTTCGCGATCGCGAGTAATACCCTATATAAAAATTGTGACATTGACAGTGGTGCCAACCGTCATACACCCTATATTTTTAAGTTTCTCTCTCTGCCTTGTGGAACCGATCAGTACACACGTCTGTTGAAATTATTTCGCAGTTTTACCACAGAATAATAATAAGTACTTCGTACAGAAGATTTTCTTCGCGAAGGTATTTAAAAAAATGTATGCTCAATGTCGTTAACAATATGGTGTAATTTAGCTTGTCTCAAGAGTCGAGCACCATTTTGTTGACAAACGTCAGTGATCGGTACTGCGCCGAAGACATAGGGCTGACTTCGGTAAAATGATGTGTGACATGAGGTGCCAAACTGCGAAAAATGGCGGAGGAAATACATGAATAAGCATGAATTATATTTTGTGTTTCTAATATTATTCAGGCAGTTAAAAAATACTGTAGAGTATTAATTGCACCACCGTTTTTACATATGGTTTATTGTCTTTACAATGCAAATGGGTGAAGAATACGTGCGTGCGTCAATACTCGCACGTGATTGTCCTGTCGATTAGGTACCGCAGGAGGGGTAGTCGCGCGTGTTTTGTTTTCGATGCAAGCTCGCGGAGATGAACAGGCCTGGTTTTACTTTAAAATATACCTGGCCCCCCTTCACCGAGGCTTAAGCTTACCGTCTGCTGGCTCTGCTTGTTGTCGCGGCGCTCGCTGGGCTCGCTGCCGGAGCCGCCGCTGCGAGCGCGCCCGTGCACCAGCTCCGCGCCCGAGCCGCTGCGGCTGGCCGTCACCTTGCCGCTGGACGACTGCTGGCGACGCAAGGGAAACAATATAAGGACGAGCTACAAGGTCTTCTTCTTCCTCGGTCTCTCACTGATGAGGATCGCGACCACATATAGGGTGGAAACAATAAATGATCTCACTCGATTATTTCTAAACTATACAAAATATTGAAAAACTGGTTACTGATCCTGAAAGTGCTTCATTACAGAATAAACTGGATCTATCTGAAAATTCAATGTTACCAGCTTCCATTAATACCGTTTGATAGAGCTCATGAAGCACTTTCAGGATAAGTAACTAATTTATTGATATCTTGTATAGTTTAGAAATAATCGAGTGAAATCACTTATCGTTTCCACCCTGTATAGTGTTCCTCCGAGCGATGTGCAAACGCAGCGTAAATAATGATAATTGACTACAGTTCTATAAAGTTCAAGCTTACCGGTGGCGTAGGGCGTCGTCGCAAAAAGTACTGTGTGGACGGCACCGTCTTTGCTGACGGTATGTAAGTCGTGGATTCTGTTAAAAACACAAAATATAAAATTCAAATTAAATGCCAGAAAAAACATAACACCAATTTTATTGACGAATACATTTTCTAATCTTTATCACGCAGTTAAGTATGATATACCCATAGAGATCTAGAAAGATGCCAACTAATGCGCTGAGTTTAAGACCCAGTGTCGCATTTGAAATTCAAACACACAAAGCAATCAAAATAAAAACAATACGTCGTGAAGAATGTGTCATGCACACATTGCATTGAGTGTGTATATGTACGTACACGTACAGTAGTACTACATACGCAGTAACGTGCGATTGAATGTATTTTGTTAGATGAATGTGCTCATTATTCATTGCGGTATGAGTACTCAACGTTCGAATAACCTTTAGTACTATGAAATGTACCTAAATTGTTTACACATGCTGCTGTTATCATTGCTGTCGCGAGCACTGTTTTTGGGCATATTTCTGCGACACTAGTGCCGCCCCTTTTCATATTTCTCTTTTCTGTGATATGTGGATATACCTGTGTATGGTTTGACGGTGGGCTTGTACGCTAGCCACGCGATCAGCAGCGGGTCCGCGCAGAAAGACGTGGGCTCCGTCCACATGCCGACGTAGTCAAACGAGTTGGGGATCGGCGTGGTGCACCATTGGATCGCGGTTCTTAGGTACGGCCTGGAAAAGTAACAGTAACAACGTAAGTTCGTCAATCTTTAGCTTTGCCGCTGAGTTTAATGGCTATATTGTATCATCTTTGTGAAAGCGCATTAATTTTACTTCAGTGATTCTAATATCTATGCGTATGCGCACTTTAACGCAAGTCATCATCTACCAGTTATCCAAACAGGTAATATGTGGTCTCATCAACATGGATGATATAGACTTCATTTAAAAACTGCTGTTACTAGAACCTAACTTCATAAAAGTAAAAGCTTACGTAGTAGTTGGTGTGTCAGGTGCAGAGAACAGCCAAGCTTGTTTGAGATCAGCGCCTTCTAAAAGCACAAATACAAATGTTCCTTAGTTATTTCTTATCAACATAATAAAACTACTTGCAGTGTATTCTAGGCAAATTGCAATTACTTTTGTTTTAATCAGTTTTATTCAAAGGACAATCAAATTGATTCCACCCTGCAATGTCCTCACAAAACTGGAAACAAAATAATGAGTACTTCTTGTTAACTTACTGGGTGCATGGTAAGCAGTAGCCCGCGCCGACTGCAGAGATAGTATGTGCGTGTTGACGTGCCTAGTGAGGTACCCTCGCAGCGCCAGCTCTTCCAGCGTCACGTCGATGGCCACCGACTCTGTGCTCACACAAGACAGATGCTCAAATATCGCACCGATGAAATTTTAAGGCATGATCATATTACAAATTGAACACTACGCATTTCCTCAAGGAACCCAGTGCATTATCTTTCAGGTTTTTTTCACTAGTAGACAATAGGACAGTGAATATGTCTAAAAGATTTCACCCTGAGCTTCAAAGGGAAATATGTTTAATTTGGTTAGTACAATCATGCCCTAAAATTTCGTTAGTCAATAAAATTACTATAAGACAGGATCAGACAAACAGTTTTGATTAAATAAACGGTAGCAATATTACCACTTGTGTGTATTTAAAATGACTTATTTTACTGAAACCTTAACCTAACATAAATAAATAAACATAAAGTAACCTATCGTCTATACTTAATTTATAACTTATTCGGATCTACACAAATAAGTGCACTCATGGTACAAATTCATAAGTAAGTCATTCTTCCTGGCTGCTTGGTGCTTCATGTACCAGACTACAATGCAGGAAATGTTATAGGTAAGTCCTGATCGTTTAAAGTTTCATCATCATTAGGACATTTAGTGTCCACTGGAAGACGGCGACCCTCTCTAATTTACCAGAGGCATATGGAAGATTTCTCAAACATTCCCCGGGTTGGGAAAGCTCTTAAAAGTACATTCAGATTTTATCAGACCCGACAAGTGTACTCGTACGTTTTTAGCAAGTAGATAAGGTAACATTTAATTTTATCAATAAAGTATAAATAATTTAAAATTAGTTTCATATAACTATTCAAAGTAGCATGTAGATTTCAGCCAATGGCTGTCCATTTGTCAAGACTCTGCCGATGAGCGCCTCAAGATATAATCTTGCACTTTTTCATACAGCCAGTGCGACCTTTTTTCCTAAGGTCGATTATCTCTTTTCATTCAAGAACTTTCTTTTTCAGCTTTTCATCAGTTCTGCAAAGTTCACTGGCGTAATTTTACAAGTACGAGTAGGTAGGTAACTTAAAATTAAACTATAATTAATTTAAAATGTGACTTAACAACTATCGACACTGGGTGAGATTCCTAGGGACTGGAAACCCTATTTACTTATAGGTTTTCAATGGCCGTCCACAGCAGGATCTAAGCCTCTTTCAAGGAGCGCCAACAAGGCATAATCTATCACTTTTAACAGCCAGAGCCATCTATACTTTTGAAACATATTCAGTCAACTTCTGCGTATTATAATTAACTAAAACTAGATAACATTATAGTAAACTACACATAACTTAAAACAAATGTTTTTGGATATCTTAATACTATTCATTTTGTTTCGTTGTTTTTTAACATTTAATGCAGGTGACAAAATTATGTTACGTTATAACAATAACAACAGATACTTATTTCTATATTTTTAAACAGTTTTCTACAAATCCTCACTACTTACTGCGTAATCCTGGGCAGCAGCATCCTTGATAGCTAATTACTTTTAAAGGGAACTTACTATGTGTAGTAGATTCAGTGACCCCATTCAGAAGACAGATAAATATGAATATACTAGCCACACTACCCCTAATCTTAGTCGATATCTTCGTTGAGTATTAAGCTCTGGACCAGAGACAAGAATTGTGCATTGAAACGTTAGAGTTCTATGATATTGTAGTTTCGAGAAGGCATTGAGAGGGACATTGAACCCCTAAAACCTCCCTTTGCCAAGGAAATCATGATGCCAACTCATAGCCACAAAATGGAGGAAATCATAGCCACAAATCACGACGATGTATGTCACAAAACTCGAACTTTTAACTTCTTCTTCATCCAGCCGTTGCTATCTTCTTAATAACAATAATATTTACCAATCGACGCGTGTGGAACTCAGCTATTATAATCTGCCACGCTAAACGTGTCAGTTAGCCATTAGACAGAATAATAATAATAACTCTATTTCCTATGCCCGTCTGTTATACTTACAGTAGATTCTTTATAACTTTTTACGTGACACATAGCTCGTAGAGACGATGGCCGTTGGGGCAGGAAAGTTCTCGAGTGGCGACCACGGCCTCCTACTAGGTGGACCGAGGATCTGGTAAAGGTCGCGGGAAGAACCTGGATGCGGGCAGCGCAGGACCGTTCATTGTGGAAAACCTTGGGGGAAGCCTTTGTCCAGCAGTGGACGTCATTTGGCTGAAACGAACGAACGAACGTTGCACTCTACTCCGTTCGATTCTGCTCTATATCACGCAGCAAACCTACATCAAGATTGAAAATGCTGTATTCGTAACAATGATGACTGATTTCTCTTAAGACTGATGAATGATGAACCAGCCCCACAGTTGTTTTTTGCCAGTGAACATAACAAATTGGCCCCTCTTGTTGTTTTTTCGGCAATGACTAATATAATAACGTCTCCTTTCCCTGGCTCGTCTAATTTGCACCCCTTTGTTCAGAAGGTAATAAGGCTCTCAAAATTTGTAGTGACATTACCACGAAGAGACGTAGGTTTCAACTTCTTCTCAGGTGTCTTCTAAAAATATGACTATTACGTATGTCATGAGATGTACTTTAGCAGAATCAGTCCATGAGACTGGCCCTTGTAGCTATAAAAATCGCATATCTACCAAAATGTTTCCATTATTGTGTGCTGCACGCAGCTTCATAAAGTCCGCCGGTCACTGACTCTTGTCGAGGTGTTGTGTGTAACGCTACAGCGATGAGAGGGATTGTCATTGGCTAGCGCTCGCCGTCTGGCCAGTGACACTCTCTCTCGTCGCCAAGCCTAGATTGGTGTCTGTAACTCTGAAGAACGCGTCCGAAGCTAAGTGGTCTGAGTAACGTTGTGGCGACAGGAGGCAGTGTCTGATCACCGACACTGCTTGATGTCGCCAAGCGCAACCCAGCCTAGATTGGTGTGTAACGCTTCCAACCGCGTCCCTGGCTAAAGTTGTATCTGTAATGCTGTAGTAACTACAGAGGCTAGTGCCCCCTATCTGGTTTTCGACATTGATCTTCATTGCCAAGCATGTCACGCGTCTTGGTATGTTTGAGCTGCGGCGAAAACCGCTAGCGCTAATGTGGTCTAGATTGGTATGTCTGTAATGCTGCCAAACGCATCCTGGCTAAAATGGTTTGTGTAACGCTGCAGCGACAATAAGAACGGCTTTCCTCTCAATGAAGTTATTGACAAGCGTTTGCCGCATGGCTATTGCCGCTCGCTCTCCTCGCCAAACGCATTCAAACCTATTGTGTCTGTAATTCTGCAAATGCTTCGCTGACTAAACACTGCAGCGACTGGACCCTCTACCTGGTCATCGACACTCACCCTCGTCGCCAAGCGAGTCACGCGCCAGCATGGTGTTTGAGCTGCAGCTAGGTGCGTTGCGCTAGCGTGTCTGTAACGCTGCCAAACTCATCCTTGGCTATAGTCGTGTGTGTAACGCTGCGCCAGGAAGGAAAATCATAGTGTGAGCCAGCGCCTGTCGTCTTGAATTCACTCTAGTCTTCGGGCCAGTCTAAATTGGTGTCTATAACGCGTATCTAGCTATAGATATGTGTGTAACCCTGTCTCAACGAAAGGGACTATTGTCCTCTGTCTGACTACCGACACTCACCCTCGTCGCCAAGCGAGTCACGCGCCAGCATGGTGTTTGAGCTGCAGCTAGGTGCGTTGCGCTAGCGTGTCTGTAACGCTGCCAAACTCATCCTTGGCTATAGTCGTGTGTGTAACGCTGCGCCAGGAAGGAAAATCATAGTGTAAGCCAGCGCCTGTCGTCTCGCATTCACTCTCGTCTTCGGGCCAGTCTAAATTGGTGTCTATAACGCGTATCTAGCTATAGATATGTGTGTAACCCTGTCTCAACGAAAGGGACTATTGTCCTCTGTCTGACTACCGACACTCACCCTCGTCGCCAAGCGAGTCACGCGCCAGCATGGTGTTTGAGCTGCAGCTAGGTGCGTTGCGCTAGCGTGTCTGTAACGCTGCCAAACTCATCCTTGGCTATAGTCGTGTGTGTAACGCTGCGCCAGGAAGGAAAATCATAGTGTAAGCCAGCGCCTGTCGTCTCGCATTCACTCTCGTCTTCGGGCCAGTCTAAATTGGTGTCTATAAGGCGTATCTAGCTATAGATGTGTATAACCCTGTCTCAACGGAAGGGACTATTGTCCTCTGTCTGGCTACCGACACTTACCCTCGTCACCAAGCGAGCCACGTGCCGGCGTGGTGTGTTTGAGCTGCAGCTACGTGCGTTTGCGCTAGCGTAGTGTCTGTAACGCTGCCAAACTCATCCTTGGCTATAGTCGTGTGTGTAACGCTGCGCCAGGAAGGAAAATCATAGTGTAAGCCAGCGCCGGTCGTCTCGCATTCACTCTAGTCTTCGGGCCAGTCTAAATTGGTATCTATAAGGCGTATCTAGCTATGTAACCCTGTCTCAACAGAAGGGACTATTGTCCTCTGTCTGACTACCGACACTCACCCTCGTCGCCTAGTGCGTCGCGCGCTAGTGTGGTGTGTTTGAGCTGCGGCGAGGCGCGCTCTCGTAGAAGCGAGAGAGGCACGTGCCACGCCGCCTGCAACCGCGCTGCCGAGCCGCACATATTCGCTTCACCTGCAAATAAGCGTTATTTATATATCAAAAGTTGTAGTATCTAAATATATAAAAGGAGGAACTGACTGACTGACTGACATATCAACGCACAGCCTAAACGGCTAAACGTGGGCACTTGAAATTTGGAAGGGACGTAGCTTAGGTACCGTATATACCGATATCACGCTCCAAAGAATCTGGAAAGAAGAACGGTCATCTGTGACCCAGACCCGACAGAAACGAGACATACCTCAGTTTTTTTGTCATGTCTTAATTAGTTAAATTATATATTTTTTTATATTCGAAATCTATGTATAACACCAAATTATTGCCCTTTGTTTTTGTTCAGGCGTCATACAAAAACTAATACAAAATGCCTATTTATCACCAAAATTGGTAAATGTATGTACCTGAATAGCTGCTATGGAATGTATCTAGGTGACTTGGAGATACAGCCGGATTATACAGGGTGGAAATGAGAAGTTACAAAATCCAAAAATTCAATGTTACCAGCTTCCATAATCTGTAACCTATGCCGTTTGAAAGAGCTCATGAAGCACTTTCAGAATCAGTAACTAGTTTTTCGATATCTTGTATAGTTTAGAAATAATCGAGTGAGATCACTTATCGTTCCATATGTATAACCACCCTGTATAATCCGGCTGCATCTCTAGGTCACCTAGATACATTCCATAGCAGCTGTAATAGACATTTAGGTACATACATTTACCAATTTTGGTGATAAATAGGCATTTTGTATTAGTTTTTGTATGACGCCTGAACAAAAACAAAGGGTAATATTTTGGTGTTATACATAGATTTCGAATATAAAAAATATATCATTTAACTAATTAAGACATGACAAAAAAACTGAGGTATGTCTCGTTTCTGTCGGGTCTGGGTTTTTTTTTTGTATGGGGCGTGACCGTTCTTCTTTATAGACTCAACGGGACTAAGCAGTGAACTCTAAAGACAAGGGCTGCCACAATAGATCAAACCTGGTCGAGCTGGCGCAAATGAAGGCCCAAAACTAATAATAATAATAATAGGTACCGTAGAGGTGCACTAAGAAAGGAATTCCCGAAATTCCCACGGGAACGGGAATTAGCGGAAAATGCTTTTGTATGAAAAATCTAAACCGCTTAAGTTAGACGCTTGAAATTTGGCATGCAGGTACCTTAGTAAACTTAAAGCTTAGTTACAACAGGATATTGCAAAATTCCCACGGGAACGGGAGTTAGCGGGAAAAAACATTTGTTGTATGACAAAATCTAAACCGCGTAAGATAGATGAAGGGGGTAAAACGGGATCCACGCGTACGAAGTCGCGGGCGGCCGCTAGTTGAGTATATCAGTCTTTAAATGACCGTTAACAATTATGCGATTCGAGACTTGATTCGTGTTTATATTGTGAAGGCGTAATTCGGAATATTTGAACTGAACAGTGATAACGTACAGTAGGGAATCGTGGCCTCTTGTCTTGACTATGAGCCTCATAGAAGGTAGCTGTAGAAATTCTTGCGGTGGCCTTTGTCCAACAGTGGACGTCCTATGGTTGGTATTATCAAGTTAGCGACTTACGTATCTTCACCGAGTAGCTGACCACGACGCTTTCTCTCGAGCTGAAGAACGCCTTGTGTAGCAGGACGTGCAGCACGAATTTAATATCGGCGCGTGCGCAGGGTCGCGGCTGCGCGTCGCCGGGCGCGCTCAGCTGTGCTTGCAATGACGTCACCGACCCCGACACGTGGAGACGAGCGCCGTTCCATAATGGACCCGAGTCTTTGGGCAGCTGGCATGCTGCAGAACACACCCTGTGGAAGATGAAAATGGTGTTAATACAAAAATACAAATACAAAATATTTTATTTCATTACAAAAGTACATTAAATAACATACAGGGTTTGGAGTTTCCTTTTAAGCATACAGTTGTTTGTGTTAGGAAACACCGCTCTTGTGTTAACAATACAAAAAACCTAAACAGACGTTAAACTCGTGTTTAAAATTTAAACAAATGTTCAACGCCCCTTTTACTTTTTGTAATAACCCCTACAGATTAATTTAATATACAGATCATAAACACATTCGGAAGTAGTTTTGTGGCAGTACAATTTGATTCTGGTAAGAAACATAAGAGATCATTTACGAAGCACGCATTTCGTTTCAGTACGAACGTAAATGGTTATTTGACTTCAAATTAACATTAGCTACAAAGTAATTAAATTAGTTGTTACAATAACATTTGTAACATTTCATCGTTCCATAACAAAGTAATCATAAACTGCAAGTACAATTTTGGTCATCTTAGTAACAAAAAATCTCTATCTTAACACAACAATAACAATAGATTTTGTAACAATTTTTGACTGTATTTAAGTAAAAAGTTGGTTCCTTCAATATACATATAAAAATACAAAATGTATGTTCAGGTAACTATAATTCATGTATACGTTATTCTTCTTTCTTGATAATTGGGAGAATGTGCCAGCAGCGGCGCATTGGCGCTGGTACGGATAATAAGCTGTGCCGACCCTTACGGGCGGGGCACTTATTTCCACACCAGCCCCAAAGCGACAACACTGGCAGTATCGACGATTCCAGGAAACAGACTTCTCCAGCTCCTGCATCCATCATTCTTGGTGTTCAAGAGTAGCAGTCGATATTTTGACGCTAATATTGATAAAAAGTAGCTTTACTCTTACGGTCTGTTGACTCTATCAATGCCAGCGACATGACATCAACGCTAAAAATCAAGCGATCTTGCTTTTTAGGAGCAAGTGGCCTGATGATAGTATCCTGAAGATGTTCTTTCCCCTTTAAGTAGCTATTTCTTGTACTTAGCTTGTCAGTTTCACAGGCGCAACGTTATCGCGGCGTGATAGTTTCATACATTTGGCCAAACAATAATGACTTTCAACAAAACGTATGAAAATATCTCGCCGAAATCACGTGGTGGACGACCTCCCGATATTCCCTCTTCTTTTCCTTATGAGGTGGGTATGGAAACCTCAATTCTATCATGCATTGACATGCTTATTATCCCTAACAATCGGTGATAGGCTTAATCATCATCTACCCAAGAAAACAAACAATAACAGCATCAATATAATACATAAGAATAAACACAATAACACCCGTATTCACAAACGATGCTTGCTTAAGCGAATTCACAAGCGAAGCGCACTGTGAGACCTCACAGTAATATTTGTGAATACGGGCGTAAGGTAAAATAGAAAATCAGATATTTTATGAGCTAATGCTATCATTACAGGTTTATCATAGTAAGAAGGAAAAATATGACAAATATATTGAGAAGATGTTTTAAAATCTTAAATAATCAACAGAAATGAAACATTCGTGATAATCATAGCATAGAGGCTAACCTGAAAATCTTGGACAAATTTGTTTAATATCAACATTACAGCATAACCTATTTTATAATACCCTAAAATCATAATCTGTTAAAAAGAACATGGTATATTGTACTGCCACATTCTACTGGAGGGTATACCTTAAAAAGATACTGTCCAACTGCCCATGAATGTGCACGTGCAAAATTCATGCAATTCATTCTTTGCTTATCATCAGGTAATGCTCATTAACCACCGTTCTATTAAAACCCAGATGTTAGTAATTAATTAGCAACCAACATGTTTCATACGCTCATAGTATGGTCATGGTATGACCCATATTTTATGCGGACTGCAGATTTTTAGTCAGTCGATAGGTTGGGACCGCTTCCAAATTGTATGAGAAATCGACCGATACCAAATCGGTGCAGTGCGCGTACTTCCACACACGTCATACTGATTAAGAGCCCAAACTATAGACGGTGAAACGCAACTGCAACGAAACTGCAACTTTCTGATGATTCTGATGAATGAAACTGAAACTGAAAGTTTCAAACTAGTCGCGTCATGTGTGGTCTCTCAACGGACGCTATGGCAGAAACTTAGATGCAACTCAAAAGTAACTAGCACTTGCAGTTTCGTTGCAGTTGCGTTTCACCGTCTGTTCTGGGCCTTGAAGAAAATAGTTCACTTACCTATGCGGGTACAACGGTCCAGTAACCACGAAGAGAGCCTTGGGGACTTCTAGGTCCAAGGTAAGAGGGATTTCGCTCGGCCGCTCGTGCATAGAGTGGTCCCAAGGCACGAGCCGCGTGCGCAGCCCGTGCACGTCGATAGTGATGCGCCGCTGCGGTAAGTTGTCGAGAAGGGAGTCGCATTCTTCTACGGTCAGCGTGCGCAATGGCAGTTCTGGAAATACGTCGATTGATGTGAGTACAGTCGCGGAATGAAAAGGTTCGTCACCTTAGTGTCGGTTTTCGCTTGCACTAGGTACTGTAAGAGTCAAACCTGCCAACATAACAGTGCAAGAAACAGTGCTGCTAACATTTAAATAAATATGACGTTTGCTAACGAATAAGGTTTTGCTTGTTTATTTTTCTATCCCATCAGTGCAATGCAATGATGACATTGCATTGACCAATTGACAATAGTTTTTTTATTTAATAGAAATAATAATGGCAAGTTGAACCAACAAGAAGGTTTTAGTTTATCAATCATAATAATCTTCTTGACAAGATAAATCGTCAAACAACTTTGACATCAACATCTGAATAATTTTGAACTTTACTGACGAACAGTTAAAGATTATTTTCTCTAACTCAAGATTATTCTGTAACATAGTTTCAAAAGGTAATATGTGCTCGCGATTCGTTGAAGGAATCAATTTGAAAACTGACGAACCTTTTCATTCCGTGACTGTACATTGGCAGAGAAATAGCACACAACATATTGTTGTGTTCCGGCAGTATAAGATAGCCAGTTCCTCCGTGGTTGAGGATTCCGGATGATGCTCGCTTCCACCTTCGGCCTGATCATCACTGACCATCAGGTGAGATACAGGCCAAGAGCTTCCTCGTTGTGGATAAAAAAATACTTTCCCCCTTTTAGGCGTCATCATCATCATCAGCAGATCATAGTCTGCACTGTAGCATACTCCTACTGTGGAGATCTTGTAGTTAGAGAGTTGGCAAGATAAAGTGGCAGCGAATGGAACTGGCAATATCCGTCACATGACCGATTTATATGTGAAGTAAATAAGTGGTACTTTATGAGGTGGAGACAACGTTTAGATAAAAGTAAGTAGTACACTCTCCTCCCCTCCTCTTTTACCCTTTCAAATTCTCTTCGAATGTGTCTGGATGTGGCTGGATGAAAAATTGGGAGGGAGTATGTTTATCCTTAAAGAAGAGGTAACAGCAGGTTTACAAGCAGCCCCAGCGGCCGCAGCTGACGTCACGCGGCCGCCACGGGCCGGCTGCGTCGCTGGTGACGTCATACCTGGCTCCTGCAGCGGCGGCAGCTCGGCCAGCAGCGCCTGCAGCGCGGCCAGCCGGTGCAGCAGCTCAGTGCACACTCGCAGCTCCAGCGGCCGCAGCTGACGTCACGCGGCCGCCTCGGGCCGGGCGCGTCGCTGGTGACGTCATACCTGGCTCCTGCAGCGGCGGCAGCTCGGCCAGCAGCGCCTGCAGCGCGGCCAGCCGGTGCAGCAGCTCCGTGCACACTCGCAGCTCCAGCGGCCGCAGCTGACGTCACGCGGCCGCCTCGGGCCGGGCGCGTCGCTGGTGACGTCATACCTGGCTCCTGCAGCGGCGGCAGCTCGGCCAGCAGCGCCTGCAGCGCGGCCAGCCGGTGCAGCAGCTCAGTGCACACTCGCAGCTCCAGCGGCCGCAGCTGCACCTTTATGTTGCATGCCTCGGCCCAATCACTGTGGGCGATTAAGTATTTTTAATGAACACCTTTAATTTAAAAAAAAAGAAAAATTTTGTGAGCTTTATTACTTTATCAGATGCAAAAAAACAACTTCGTCTATTTCTTCCAACGTCACAACAATAATAAAAGTTTAAAGTCGTACCTGAATTGAAAGTCAATCGGGGGATTATCATAGGGATTCGTATACTGGTCGGGCGGCGCGCGCTCGTGAGTGTATTCCGCGTACAAAACCGGCGCCATTTTGAGCCACAGCTCGTCCATTTCCTCCGTCATCTCTGGGGAAGGGGTTGTGCTTTCCTCTGATTGGCCCATGTCTGGCTGGGAGGGCTGCCCGGTCATAGAGCGAAAGTCGGTCTACAAACAAAAAAAAATCATTCAATGAGGGTTTTCGCGATTGAAAAATCCGCCAGATGACGGGACGTGGATGTAGGGTCTGACTGCTGCGTGATTGGTGGATTTTGACATATCTGTCAATGGTCATGTCAAAATCCACCAATCATGCAGCATTTGGACCTCCCGTCTACGTATTGCCATCTGGCAGATTATTCAATCGCGAAAACCCTCATTGGATAAAAAGAATAGTATTCTGGTGCAACCAAATAGTCGCTAAATGTGATGGAGTGGCTTGAAAAGCTGAACTCGTTCTTAATGCTCCAGACTTAATCTTTATATTTTGATGACGTGACAGGCTATCATTTAACTCAGTTAACATTAACTATTTTTGACCCAGTTCAGGATCGGTAGACTCACCGGGACATATGGCGACGACCGCAATTCTTCGTCAGCTGCGCGCGCTAGCTCCACTTTGATGTCACTCAGGTCTTCTTCTGGCCACACCCACGGCTCCTCTTCTTCTTCAGTTTGGCACTTGTGGAGGTATGAGGTAGGCTCGTCTTTTAACTAAAGAAAAACATACTTTCTGAACTCCTTCTTGAACCCATTACATTTACAAATTCAGCAATATTATTCTTTAGACAAACATCCTTTTGACTAAGCTATTTATAAATTGCATCAAGTATACTCACGGCGTCTAAGCTAAGATGACCGCAGACGCATTTGCCGCGTGAGAACAGAGAAATGGATCTGAATCCGATACGTAATTTTATCAGGGTCGGCGAGCGGATGGAACTCTTGATGGCCGCGTGAGTTGCAGACAGTTCTAAAACGGGACGAGCCCGCTTGCGCACTCCGCTTTCTAGCTCCATCACCTATGTTAAAGAAACAAAAATATTATTGAGTTGTGCTATGAGTGAGTGCATCTTCTTTGTAGCCAGGATCTCGTCAATAAAAACCCAACAAGTGAAGGTCAAGTTTGCCCCAGTGGAAAGTTAAACTGTCATTGGACCCGCAACGAAATTAATCAGAAGAACATAGAAGTTCGAAGTTAGGGATCGACTCGATCATCTAGCATCTGATACAAGAGTGTTAAAAGCTTACCTTGAAGACCAGCGACACATCATCCAAGTAGGCTACAAAGTGGACTGGTATCGGCATGGCCGGGCTAGGCGTCTCCTCCGCGGTGCCCTCGCGGTCCATCCACGTGGGAAGCCACGACCACGCCCAGTCGGACCAGCTGCCCTGGCGCGCGGGCTCTGCCGAGTTCGATGACGTGGCATCTGGAGAAAATCGTCATTAAGTTTCTACTGCTGCAGGAGAAGGAGCATCAGGATTTGACCTACACTATACATGCTGGACAGACGGTTTGGGGAGGCATGATGTTTGCATATTTCTTTTTTCCAAGAGAGTGGACTTCTACTTCATATTCTTGATCAGATTGTGCTAAGAAAAAGGATTGTCCGCTTCAGGAACTTAGTTCCGGTCGGTTCAATGGAACCATTTCAGACGCCTAGGATTTTACATCCACTCGATGACAGCAGATGGCTAATTTTATTTAGCTGCCAAAACCATTTTCCGCTTTGTCTTATTCCACCAGAAACGGGAAACAAACGCAGGCCAGCTTGTGATCGTAATTAGTCGATATTTGAACTACCTGAAGATTTCGCTTTCTCTGAAATCTTTTAATAATAAATAGACTGAGTAGAATACACGATGTATACTTACGTAGAGGTTGCATTTGGGACATAGAAGATTTAGGGATAGGTGGGGGCGGCTTGTCTTCCATCAAAGGCCTCTCCCTCAGGAGTCGCAGAAGGAGTATCAGTTGGTCGCTGGTGACGCCCCACGCGAGCTTGGAAGACCGAAGGTGCACGCTGAGGCTGCTCGCGCGGCGAGTCTTTGCCGACACCAATCGGGTGAGAACCCTAAGAAGAAATACGATGTTAAAAATAGGTACTCCTACAGAAAATGTACTAGTGCGCAATAGCTTTTTCGTTGGAATCCTGGATTGGATTCCCTGGCTCCACTTATAAAAAAAAACAATGGATTGTACATTGTACAAGTCTGTTTCCTCCAACTACGCTTTACTATCTTCTACCGATAGGAGCATGAAATAATTCTGTCCTGGTGCTCACACTTTATTAAAAAAGAGAGGCTTCCCTGGAGCACAACAAAGGCATAGAATGACCGTTTTTCATGCTTCAGATGAAGGGTAGGCGAACAAAGAATATTGTGTCCTCGTGTTCCTACCAATAGGAGCGCGTAGTAAGAACTGGAGCAGCGTGGGACGTTCACCCACATGGTGGACCGACGACTACATCGTTAAGGTAGCAGGAAGGCGCTGGACACAGACCACTACCAACCGGGCAACATGGAAAGCATTGGGGGAAGCCTATGTTCAGCAGTGGACGTCTTATGGCTGAGATGATACTGATGAGTAAGAGCTGGAAGAAAAAGGGGTAGCATGATAGACAATCACAAAATTTCAATATCCAGGTCTGACCTTACCAATGTCTGATGAAATGTCGATGAAAACAAGTAATTGTTGATAATGTTGTATACAGCTTGCGAATGATTCACGGCGGTGATAGTATTGCTCTTGCTACGCCAAAGTCCATCCCTATATGTGAAGACGAACTCAATTATAGAAGGTAGGCTTTGGAGTAGCTAAGAACAAAAAAAGAGTCCCCATCCTGCGTCTGGTCGATGAGCTGCATTGCTAACTTTCATTTCAATTTCTTTCCATCTTCGTCTAAATCCTCTAAAAGTCTCATCTTTTGATGCTGATTTGCATTATTCAGGTCTTCTCGGAAACTACTGGTTTTCTTCTTCTTCGACAGGTGATTATTACAAATACAAATAATTTGTTTGTAAAACACAGGTAAGTATTATTTTTGCTTATTTGTAAAGAGGTTAGTAAAACTCAAATGCCGTTTGAATATGTATTTATTTATTTATAAAACTTGCCTATATCGTATTAAATATGATACAAATAGTGAGTCTTCTAGTCTAGACCATCAGCGTTGCATAGTACATCTTAAGTATTAGACGTGCTACCCTACGATCCACGGTACGACCAAATAATCACGATCTCTGAGCTAAATGGCTAATAATAAACAACTACACTACAACTAACCTGAGATGAAGTTGGCAGCGGTAGAGCAAAGGCTCCTGGTAGAAGCGAATCTTGCCGTCCGAGTCGGCCCGGTCCAGGCACAGAGTCAGGTCGTCCAGGCGCACCAGACGCCTGATCACCGGCTGGTATTGGTCGATGTCTGCAACAGAATAGATATGAAGACCCACTGGCACTGGTTTGGTGGTCTGCAGTGGTGACTGGCATTGTCAATGTCAATTGTCCAATGACCAGGTGTTTCAAGGTTGGACTATATTTGGGGGAGAGTTCCCCTCTCCCCAATAGACAAGGTCGGGGAAAGGACGACGCCCCAGGGTGTCCCGACGTACAATAAGGGAGGAACTGTCGTGGATCACGTCTGATATTATACTCTTGTAATCGATGAACGTTATACAGACTCATGAGGAAGAAGTCATGGTTTCTTTGCAACATCAGACTAGTCGTAGAACTGAAGTGAATCAGCTCCAACATTTTGCTATTTTGGTGACTCAAGAGACAGATAACCTAGCAGGTAGGTACTCGGTAGTTCATATTGAGACCAACAAGTTGAAGCCGCGATGTTGAGTGTAAGTCATCTGCAACGAATAGCATGCGAGGGATCGGCGGAGCCCCGCACCGCCAGAGCTGTGTCAGAAGTCTCGGGTGAGCATATGACCTGTTTAAGTTAGTAAGAAGTGACATCGCCGTTCCAGGGTTCCTCAACTGAATTGTCAATGTCTACTGACCAGCGAAATGAGTGGGGTCATATCATCGTGGTGAGGGTTCCTCAGCTGAAATATCACTGTCCACTCACCAGCGAAAGCCGGCTCCCAGTTCATGCCCGCGCTGTCCACGGCTAGATGCTTGACGTTGAGCGACAGCACGATGTCGTCCTGCACGTACTTCACGATGAGGTGGTGCACGCGCAGCGCGATATTGCTGACGATGCGCCGCACCAGCGCCTGCATGTAGCCCGGCGGAGCTTCCACGACTTGCGCCCTTCTGTTCGAAACAATAAGAGCGACTTTACATTAGGTCGCAAGTGGGGCGGCAGCAGCGCGACAGCCGCGCGAATTCTGCGGATTCACATAAAATGCCGCGCTGTCGATGTATGAAATGAGGGCTATCGTTTTAGCGCTCACCAGTTTGCGCCACTGTAGAGTAAGGTCCTGTCACTTGCTAATAGCGAAGTCAATGGCACCATCTGGTGAGTGCTAAAGTGGTAGAAGGACTATCGCATTTGCACTCATCAAGATGGCGCCACTGTAGAGTAAGGTCCTGTCAATCGCCAGGGGTGCCAACTGTTAAGTATAAAAACGATAGCCCTCATTACAAGTCGCGCGACAGTCGCGCTGCTATAGATCGTTTCATACACGAAGAAGCGCCCCACCATTCTTCCGCTAATGTTTGAGTGTAATCGATACACACTAAATTATTATTGATGAATGCACGCACACTACAATAATAACGCTCGGATTGCTTCGGCTTTCCTCGACCAAAAATTGGTGGGGCACGTCTTCGTGGTCGAAACGATCTATAGTCACCTAAATGTGAAGACCCACTGGCACAGGCACCCCCTAAGGCCTAAGGTATTTGAGACGACACAGTTGACGTAATCTTTATGAGGTACCGGGACGTAATTTTCCAATAAACTTTGTATGGCCGAAAGACCGACCACTGAGGAGGCCAACTCGACTGACTTAACTTTGAATCGATTTGATTGCAACCAATTTAAAACGTTTAGCGGCTTCGCCCGAGTGAATTTCAGTCTGTCACAGAAAGTCTTATGCTTCAACCACATCAATGCGTGCAGATTCGCCATCGCCGGTGCGATCATGGCGCGATGACTAGGCCAATGACAGGTCATGCGGACTGTCGATAAAAACTACTGTGTTTTCACCTAGGTCTTAAATTATATCTACACCGTATCTAAGGGCTACAATTTAGACGTTTTGTTTCGTTTGTCGTGCGTTTGCAGAACCACACACGGTAAATTGTATGACAACTGAGTCGGAGTAAATATCCCCCACTACCCTTCGTCTCCCCTTACCTCCCCTCCTCTCTCCCCCTACCCCTCCCCTCTCTCCCTAACCCTCCCTCCTCTCCCCCTAACCCTCCCTCCTCGCCCCCTACCCCTCCCTCCTCTCCCCCTACCCCTCCCTCCTCTCCCCTAAAGCAGACAATCTCTCCTATATTTCCCTACCTTCCCACTTTTCTCTTCCTCTCTCCCCCTACCTACTATCCTACTTTACTTACTTATTTACTATTAAAAATTGTTCTTACAAATAATCATCAAATAAATAAAAGAAGAATTTAAGACGAATTAAGATAATTTCCAAGATGAAACTATTCTATGACGTTGCCATTGCAGGGTCACAAACTATTCCTTTCCTACCTTTTATCTAAATCGGTTTATTGATATCCCTTTATATTCTCTCTATACCAAAATATGTTATCATTTAGATGACGGTTCAGTCGTAAACAGTTGACAGACAGACAGAGTTATACTTCGATAATAATTTATTGATCAAAATACTAGGCTCCACTTGAATGATCAATAAAAATGACGACATACAAGTAATTTATTTATTGCAAATAGGTTTTTAAAAAGCGCATAGACTGTAACAGACGGATGAAAAGCTAGCCCTAAATTAAGTTTAAAGTGGGAATTCCCCCTGCACGAGTCGATACTACTACCAAAAGCATCGGCTGTAACAAAGTGCAAAGTTCACCGCGCACGCGTGACTCGCAGTAACCAAAATGGCGGAATAGAAGGAGACACTAACGTGAATTTTAGTAGCAGGAAATGGATGCACTATCAGTAGCAGTTCAGGACTTCTATGGATGTTTATCTTCTATCAATTCTTCAATCAAATACTTATAATCAATTCAAAGGTTGGGTTCCGTACTCCGTACTATAAAAAGCGCAGAAAATGTCCTCTCACTTATTTTTGAACTACTTCACAAAAGAAGTAGGTTTTTTTTGTCATACATTATTCGGAGCTATAGCAGCTATTTCAAGTACAAAATACATAGAAGTTATTTATTTACTGCGGCTTTTAAAAAGCGCATAGTACTGTAAGAGACGCATGAAAAACTAGCCCTCAAATAAGTTTAAAGTAAGAATTCCCCGTGCACGATCGTGAGGGATATCGATACAACCAAAAGTATCGGCTTGCAACATTTGTGGTAACCAAAATAGCAGAAAGAGACATTCGTGAATTTTGGTACCAGGAACTAGCTGCACTATCAGTGGAATTTCAAGATTTCTATGGACTCTTATCTTATTCTTCAATGAAATACCTCATCGCATATCGGTAATCAATTCGTATCGATTATAATTAGTACTATCGATAGTTTTATTGCAGATTTAATTTCAATTCGATGTTCGCAATGATAACATAGCGCGCATGCGATAATCTCAACTACACAAAATGGCGGAACGATACGTCTACGAACAGTAAGTCGAAAAGTCTACGAGTGCGTAGAAAACAAGTTGTGCTATTTCGGTCTAGTCGTATGAGATATTTCTTTTGAATCAGAAATTTTCTGTTCAACTACTAAGTGATTAATTGTATTACCTACTTTGTCCCAAATAGGATGGTAATTATGACAGACCACGCCCATGAAGTTACGTACATTTTTCCGGTAAAATTTTCTACCATTGCCCATTTATTCTCCCGAAGCAATAGTGGTACGGTTGATACTGGGACGTGTAAGTGTTTTTTAAAAGCTCACTTACAAATATAAAATTAGTTTTACTGTAATAATTAATTTCCGTCTTTATATCGGTTCGACAATAAAATTAATCGAACAAGAAGTTTGAGAATGATAATTACGTTAAGGTAATTGGAAAATTATGTCAGTCTTACAAACAAAGTTATTAATAAAAAGTAGTTGCATAAACATTTTACGGCTTCAATTATTCCCTAATCATTTTCGAAACTGCTGCTTTATTATTTTTAAAAACTAATTTTAATACATAAATTGATTTGCATAAATGGCTAATTCGTCCTGGTAAACTAAATATTATGTATGCTTAAGTTACGAGTGGGTACACTGCATGTCCAGCGAACGAAGGGTTCGAACCCGCGTTCCTTGGATCTCTATCTACCGTACAGCCAATGTGTATATTTCTCATTCTTAAATGAGCATTAATTAGCCAATGTAAATAAGTAATGGCGTCAGGAAGATGTCAGTGCTCAAAAAGTAATTTTTGGCTGCCTAGACTCAGGAAAATATGATCCTAAAGATAAATAAATAAATAAAACTTGTCTTACCTTTGCGGCTCGGGCGACGAAGACTCGTCGGCTGGTGGCGGGTTCAAACTCAGGACGCATTCTGGAAAATAAAAAAATATGAATTTTGTGTCCAAGGACAATAAAATTGATGAAGTCTTTTCTATTAAGTCGTCTAAACCAAATAATTAAGTACCCAAGAAATATAATAATTTATGCATTTAATTAATTCAAGTTCTTAATTAGTTCAAAATATTATAACAGTGTGGTCAATTTAATAAGTCGAAACATTTTAAATAGAAATTCAAATAATTATTCCCACTCGCAGCGCGCGTGTTATAAATGTACTTAATAATTTTCTACGTTATTCTATAGTCCGGATACGATCGAAACGGATGGTCACCATACAAAATTTCATATCGCTTTACTTGCATAAACTCTCACTCGCTCAGCGGAACCCCCATTAGCATAAAGAGTGGGACGAGATACACCCTAACCCATAATAGGACCCAATAATTAAAGTCTGAAAGGTTAAGGTCGCAGCCAAGCCTATTAAGTAGGTATGATGATGCACTCTCGCATTTTAGCATGTGGTGTTGAACAAAAGGTCAGCGGTTGCAGGCGATGCAGGTTTATTCCTACTTACGTGACGAGCATGAGCATTTAATTTTACTTATATAAAAATAAAATAATAAAAATAAAGTATTCCCAAAGAAAATTCCCAAGAACAACCCAAACTTAAACTAAATCAAAAACACAAAATCGATCTAGTATTAAAAATAGTTTGCTTACCTTTTCTGCAGTATCTTCGTGCGTCGATTTAGATTTACAAAAGTACTAACAACACAAGTTGCTACTACTCATACTGCCTTTAAAATTCTGAATTGAATTTCAATAATTGTTAGAAAATTTAATGAAATGATGAGACCCGACTGCTTCTCCCGGCGTGCAAGGCTGCAATGATCAGTAATGGAAAGGCTCCTTCCGTGCGTCTGAATCAAACTTCATACTAACAGATACTATAGCGTCTGGACAAGGGTGAGAGAGAAGGACTTTGCCGATTTCAATATTTGTGCTAAATCATTCCTATACAAAATCACTTATACCGTCCTGTAACACAGGTGAAATCACCTTGGCAGAATTGTGATTTATTACGTTTCATGTCTGCGCATGTCTGGGTACCCTCGGAGCACCTGAATATAAATAAACACTATAGCGTCTGGGACGGCGGGTGAGAGTTTATCCATTTCAAATATTTGAGGAAAATCGGGGCAAATGCTTTATGATTTACGTTAGTACGAAACAAGGATGAAAATCCATTCTAGACATCCTCCACATACACCTAAATCGTAGTGAATCTATAGCCGCTGGTCAGGGGAAATGTACATCATTGACTATTTTGAATATTTGTGCTAAATGGATGCAATACGAAACGACTTCTACTACCCTGCAATAAGAGTGAAATATGCTTGACAGTCAAATGAATTATTACGTTTTGGACACTCCAGACACCCAATTCTGCACACAAATAAACACTATAGCATCTAGATAGGGCGAGAGCATTATTGATTGGACTGGTGCAGTATCGGTTCGACGAAAAGCAATTTATTCGCTTGTATTAAGGTTTAAACTTGCTAGGTAGTTGTTAGTGATGGTTTTCAATTAATTAGTGCGGGGGTTCGCATCCCCCGCGAAGGGAACTAATAAGGCTAGGGCTCCGCTTTCACCTGAGGGTGTTATATTCCATGTTTGACACCTCAGATTGTCATACGCATAATAACAGTAAAATAAAAGAATAATAAAACAATTATAACACTTTCTTTCATATTTCGTGTAACTATTATATAAGTAGGTAAGACATTTATTCAATGTTATTATTGATTTCTGATATATTCTCTAAGATTGAATTTCTAGAACAATATGGTCTAGACAAAACAAATGTGTATGAATAACAATTTATACAATATAAATACACAATGAGTTCCACATCGATCGATCTCTTGAAAAGGACAAATGCTCATTGTATGGGAATCAGACACATGTATGAGAAAAAACAAACTATGCAGAGTTTATTCATCACTGTCTTGGAGATTTTCCATATGGGTTGGAGATTTTCCTGTTTTTTTCCGCTCGTTTGTTTTCCTCAGACTCGACTGTCGACTGACTGGGATTCCTAGTCAACAAAACGTACCTAACTAGCGTATCACTATCATCTTTTAACGAGGTATAGTTACTTTGTCTTTTTATTAATAAAAATATTCAGTTACGAACACAGGATAATTACGCGCGGTGTACATAAACAAACCAACCCTTATGACGTCATTTTGTAAGACTAGTACCTAAATTCACCGGGTGGAACATTGAAGGGAGATCTCTGCGAGCGCTCAATCAAGTGAGCTACGCCTCTATCCTCAATCTAAGCATCTGCTTACTTGGCAACAAAACAGCTTTTATAACCGCCTCTATTAACAAGGTCCTTATTACAACAAAAAACGACCTGTAATGATACTAAATAGTTCAGTCTCGGAATAAATGCTCATGCTAATCACACAAACTTTTCCCTAGCGACTCTACCCTACTACTGACAGACCTGACCTTCTACTAGGCTAGTGGTAATTCCTAGATTCCTAATAGAACAGAATTTATTTTGCTTTTTCTGTGTACAGTTTGCAGGTGTTTTTTAAAATGCTCATATTGAGCATGCAATACTAAATTGTACGGACGACGCGACATCAAGACAACCTTATTTCGATGTAGTCCAGTAATACCGTCAACTAGGGTTGCCATCCATCCGGGTTTCTCCGGATTTGTCCTAGTTTAGAGGGCGTCCGGGGTGCGTCCGAGCGGGGTTTCTTGTATAGTCCGAGTTCAAAAATTTCATTCTAAGGCCGAGACCGGGCGACGCGATTTACTTTAAAAAAACTTATTAACATTTCGGGTTCTGCTCCTGGGCTGCTGAATTATGGGGTTTTCACGCGTCTTGTCCAGGTCGCCAAATTTTAGAGATGGCAACCCACCCTACCGTCAACAAAAATATTTCCAATCCAACGCTAAGAGAAAGAGACTTGGGTTTCAGAGTGTCTGGGTTCGATTCTCAGTGCCACTAGTGTACAAATACTTAAAAAGTAAGTTAAGTTTCAAAGCACTACTTTTATAAAAGAACACATCTGTAAATCATCTTTTGTCTTAAAAATCCAATTAGTTTTCAACCAGCTATGATTTAGATAGATATCATGTCACGCTTGCATTGCCATACAAATCACAGCTAATAAAAATTTAGTCAATTTTGAGTTGCTCTAACATTGCTGGTATCAAATACCCTATTGTTACAGCAACTTGACCTTCACTGGTTGGGTTTTTATTGGCGGTCAAGTTGTAGATCCTGGCTACACAGGAGTTGCAGCGGTGGGAACGCGAGGTGGGAATAGTCCCGTGTTGGCACAGCACAGCCTATAAGTCGCATTGTACAGAATATTTTCTACAGGTTAGGTGGTTAGGTTTTCTACAGGCTACACATCGGAAAATGTGCGAAGGAATTATACGACCTAATTCCATCAGCATCCTTTCATCACCGGGGAACCAGACGCAGGTTAGCGTACCATCCCTACATTGTCGACCAGCTCGCACTAAGCGTTTCGATAACTCTTTTATAATGCGAACAGCTAGGGAATGGAATTCGCTGCCTGCTGCTGTATTTCCTGAACACTATAATCCGGGCCTTTTCAAGGCGAGAGTGAATAGGCAATTACAGGGCAGATATGTCATCCTAGACTGCATCTCACTTAACACCAGGTGCGATTGCGGTCAAATGCCTTGTCTAACAAAAAAAAATCACACTCACCGATAGTATCGATGGTGACGACGATGGGCTCGGACATGATCTTGGTCCACGGCACCTGGATGAGCAGCTCGTGGATGCGGCCGGAGACCAGCGTGAAGGGCAGCGCCACTTCTTGCTGGAGCACGTCCGCCTTGAGCACAAGGTTGTGGAGCGCCACACCCCCACCCCATAGCGACACCTAGTTGACAAGAAACAACAACAGAATTAGTAGGGTAAGGTGGGGCACAATGTTACACGGGGTACAATGTTACAATGCATATTTCTCCGTCCCTTTCTATTAGTTGTATGATGTTGGTATACACGTTTGTCAAGCTCATAAGAGCTGCTGAACATCATACAACTATAGAAAGGGACGAGAAATATGTATTCTACATTGTGTGTGCCCCATCTTACCCTACTCATCAGCCCCCCTAGACAAGTTGCACTTTTTGATTGAATCGAAAAAAGTCTCCATACAAAAAAAAGGCCTTTCGACCACTTTTCGACTGGTTTGCGATTATAATGTGCACTTTGTCTAGACCATTGGTTTCCAAACTTATTTGAGACGCGCCCCCTTTAGACCATACAAAAAATTCCGCGCCCCCCCTTCTCCAGTCAAGATTATTTATTGGTCGTATCGAACAGTCTGGAATGCATTCTCTTAGCGGTCGCAGGTTTCTTACAGATGGCCCGCGTCCCCCTTTAAAGGTCTTTGCGCCCCCCACTTTGGGAACCAATGGTCCAGACCCACAGAATATATTGTAGTGTAGCGCCACACCCCACTCATCAGAATACGCTACAGCACTCATCCTTCCCAAGCAGCTTCGAGAGCACTTTATTTAGAAGCATCATACATCATCATTATGTCATTTAGTATTCACAGTAAGGCACGATATGACAAGCAATTAAAGAAGATATTTGACCAACAAAGTGTTACGGGAACACGGAAAAAAGTGTGGGTGTCGCTGTAGCATTTATTTTTATTCCTTTTAGACACTGTAGACAAAGCAACATTCAAGATACTTACTTATTTGTTTCGCAAGTAATTACTCTACACTGCCCGTGAAGGCATCACCACAATCACATAAGTACACAAACTTTCGTTTAAACTTTAATAAAGTCAAGCTCACCTGAGCATCCGCCGGTTTGAAGTCTCGTACATATTTGTCCACATAGCTAAGCAGGATCGGTGTGATGTATGACTCGATTTTAAACATTTTACGTAACAATCAAAATACACTTCTGATCATCCACATAATGGGCTCAGCGTATGAGAACAATCTGAAATAGAAAAACATCTATAGACTGCATGCAATGTTAAAAATATCAATGTAATGAGGTATAACTAAAGTAAGAGGTCTCTACAGGAAAAGTGTGTCAGAAAACTTTAAACAGATATGCAATTTTATGCAAAAATATATGTAAAAACGTTTTAAAAGAACTACAAGATTTGTATTGATCTTCCTTTTGTCATAATCACAACTTTTTATCTGGATAGGTCATCTTACAATAAATCCATATAAATAATGGACCTTCAAATTGGGGTGGCAACAAATAAGACTGGCTATACTAATCCTTGACAGGACTCATTTTAGATAGCTCTATGTTACTTTGTTAAGCCCATCACACATACTAAGGAAACATCCAAGGTCAAATAAATCTGTTCACAAGCTTAGCTATTCATTTGTATAGGTATAACATTATTATACTATAATGGGGATTGGCGATGCTAAAGTGAATCAACAGAGGGAGGGCCTGCCCTTGCTACATCTTTTGACCTCTTTTCGCCACTCGGTAACTTTTTTGCCATCAGCTGTACAAGCTATGTGGCCCAGTGCCAATTTATTTTTTTATCATTATGCTTGATTAAAATTAGAGCTTATCAATGCATTTTAGTGATGCTATTTCATTAAGTAGAGGGTATTAGGCTCATACTTTAAATAATTAAATAGTCTAATTGGGTAGAGTGCTGAAGTTCAAGGAAGAATACTAAAGACAAAACTACTAAAACTAGTTTGAGAGAGGACACAGTAGATGTGAATGAACTTGGGAACAAACAGTGTAAGAGGAAAGTCTTTGTGCGAGAGGCACTTAAAATATATATTTAAGAATATTTATTACCGAAAAGTTATTCAATCTGAAGGTTCACTAGAAATAAATAAAAATGTTAATAACGTTGATAGATAATCACAACCTAATTTAATAAATAATACCTATTAATAGATTTCATGAAACATATGGAACAACTGCTCATTGAAATGTTTGCAGCTTGAGGGTTTTTCTACTAAATGGCCATAATTATAAATAGCCCTGATGATATTATGAGTTTTTAAAACCAACATCAAGTATAGAAATCAATAACTACATATAGTAAAATATAGATGACTTTCCAGTATTGACTCGGTGACCCAATGTGGGTAGTCATTGTTAGCTGCAATGGTAAGCTACTGACCTACATATCAAAGTAAAATAAATGGTCAGAGGGTATAAGCAAACTTTAAAGTGGTTAAAATTCGAATATAGTGATAAGAAAATATAATAATCAATTAAATATTTGAATCACAGGAAATGGCCGCCTCCTATCCTACCCTAGATTTTAAAACTATATTCAGTTTTATTTAACAAATGTTTTCAATATATTAAAAAGTACCTACCTCATCTGAACTTTGGAAACAACACCCTGAACTGTTGCACTATTCATTTTACAGATTATTTGATATTAAACTTTACAGACACCTGAACCCCAGGATCACAGGACCCAGAAGGACTTTAGTGGAGGGAGAAATCAATAACTGTTCATCTAAAAAATAGATATATAGTATCTATATACCAACGACTCTATGTAAATTCCATGTAAATACATAGAGTGCACTGTATAGTCACTTTTAGTGCACTGAAGTTATATCCAGTCCTAAAGCGTGCAAAGTTCACTAAAGTTATGATTTATATGTTTGATTATGTAGGCAGTTCAAAATCAACTATTCTGAATTTTGTAAATGCATTAATTTTAACTATTTTATGATATAGAGTCGTTTTTTGAAATCAAAACAAAAAGATTAAATTTCGTTTAGTGTACTTACAGCTTACGAGACATTTGATGAAGAAGTATCACACAATACGGAAATTTGTTTTAATATCATGGAATTTATCATTAAATCACATTCACTAGAAAAATTAAATAAATAAACACCGGTGACGAGACGACACGACTGGGCGAATTTTTAATTATGATTTTTTATCTGTGCCAAGTAGTGCCAACTGCAAATTCATTTCCTTTTGCCAACAGGGCTTGGCCACAGAAAATACGCATTGAAACTTGGCATAAATAGTTTCCAACTGTTTCTTGTATTGTGATCATAGAGGAATTATTATGATTGATTTTATAGCATTTTAGTCCAGTCATTTAAGCTTAAATTAGGTAAGAATCTCGGAATTCGAGATACTCAGCTGCAAGTCTGTAAATACTTGTATATTGACACCCTAAAAGTTGTCTCAACAAAACCTACATATGGTAGGGTGTAAGAAACTATTAAATTTTAGGGTCACAAATATCGGTTTTTTGCGCTTTTTTTGGAAATATCCCATTTCCTGGTTCTGGTTTTTTGCTATTTGTATGTATTATCAATATTGTAGAATACAAAATTCTCTGCAAATTTTGTTCAAAAAAATTTTTTATACGGTGAACCGTTTTCGAGATAGAGGGCGGCCGCTAGTGCTTATAATAAATCTGTAGAGAGGTCAATTCTATACATGAAATATATTTTCAAAATAACTATCAGGGGGTGATAAGTAGAGATGAAACGGATAGTTGTTTGGCCGGATACCGGATACCGGATATCCGGCCAGCTGATAGGCCGGATAGCCGGATATCCGGCGGCCGGATAGTTGGTCAATTGTCTCGTTGCATGTCGTGACGAGTTTAGCGCCGTACAGGTGCTTTGAACGCGATCAGTGGATCACTACTAATAGTAGTCACACTTTTCGAAAATCGAATCCGTCCGAATAGAATGTCAGATTTTGCCACTTGTCTAGGGGGATGCAGTTCAGTTAGATTACGCAACAAGTAAACTAATTTAATTTTCGCTATTCAATCACACACTCACGATGGCAAACGAAATCGCCCGAATTGATCTACCCCCTGTAGATACTTTACTTGCTGCGTAATCTAACTGAACTGCATCATGTCATCAGATCATCAGTGAAAAAAACATAACCCTCCTTCTGGCGCAGTCGGGTAAAAAGATCGCCTATTTTATTTGGCAATATTTCGACATTAACAGATATTTACTATTTTTGTATTCGTCATTAGAGTGAATAGCCCAGAAAAAGAAATTAGTTTTTTGAAAGGTATATTAAAGATATGGCTTTTTTGTAACTTTTTGGACGTTATACAGGGTGTTTCTTGTAAGGTGTCAAGCCGAAGGCAGGTGATAGGTGAGGACTAGACCTATCGATTTCACCCCCATGTATGTTTTACGATTTTTCATAGTTTAGAAGTTATTGTTAATTTTGTGATTTTTTTAAATTGTTTGACCTAGTAGGCTTTAAATTTTTTTATCTTTTTTTTGGGTCGACTTTTCTCAGATTTCTTTTTTTTTACAGATTCCCTATTAATTGCAGATTATTGAAAAAAATAATCAACTTCCTATCTTTGATGCAAGATACAAAATTTTTGCTAGAAACATAAAAAATATGCTTTTAGCGGAACATTCTAAAATTTTCAACTTAAAAGTTTAAAAAATAATGGCCTATTAAGTACATGTTTTTTTGTGTTATTATGAAAGTTCAGAAAACTGCGCAGTTTTTGAAATTATTTTGGACCTATGGAATTTCTTCTTTTTTTGAATTAATAATTGTCGTAGTTTTTTAATATCCGGTATCCGGCCGGATAGTGAGTTACTATCCGGTATCCGGCCGGATAGTAAATCTAGGCCGGATATCCGGCCTGCCGGATAGTTACCGGATATCCGTTTCATCTCTAGTGATAAGTGATCGATACTGATGCCAAAAATGAAATCAGTAAAATTTTTGTCTGTCTGTCTGTCCATCTGTATGTTCCTTATAGAAACAAAAACTACTCGACGAATTTTAACTAAACTTGGTACAATTATTCTTCATACACCTGGGCAGGTTATAGTATACTTAGGAATTCCCACGGGAACAGGAATTAGCGGGAAAATCCTTTTGTATGAAAAATCTAAACGCTTAACGGAAGTTAGACGCTTGAAATTTGGCATGTAGGTACCTTAGTAAACTTAAAGCTTAGTTACAACAAGAAATTCCCAAAATTCCCACGGGAATTAGCGGGAAAATCCTTTTGTATGAAAAATCTAAACCGCTTAAGTTGACCTGAAGTGATGCAGTGACCGCGCGCTCTCCGCCCTCTATCTGGAAAACGGTTCACTGTATAAAAAAAAAATTAAACAAAATTTGTAGAGAATTTAATATTCTACAATATTGATTATAAATACAAATAGCAAAAAACCCATAGGAAATAAGATATTTCTAAAAAAAGCACTAAAAACCGATTTTTGTGACCGTTGACCTTGAAATTTAATAGTTGCTTACAACCATATGTAGGTTTTGAGACAACTTTTAGGGTGTCAATATTACCTACAAGTATTTACAGACTTACAGCTGGGTATCTCGAATTCCGAGGTGAACTTACTATAATGACTGGACTATTTAATCAATTAAGTACAGCCTTGTTATAGTCGAGTAGCGAATAACTTAGTTACAATACCCGGCACCTCGCTGGTGGGTGCTGGAATACGATTCTCCTTCCCACTTATTCGTATCGTACCGCAATCTCCTCGCGTTCGCGCCGTCCGTATGTATTGTACCAACCATCCCCCACCATGCGTCCCTGGCTTATGAGGTTTTTTATGTCTGTCAGCCAGTTCTAATTTTTTTTAGCGGACTAATATCACTTTTCCGCTAAGCTTGGTTCGATGTGATTGGTGTGGTTTGATGTGATGACCCACACTGAACTGTCCCGCCAAACTCAATGACAGGGGGGCGCTACCATCGTTCAACTATATGGTTTCCAACATTGAAAAAATCTGAACCAGCGATCCGGTATTGACGGTGGCGCCCCACTGTCAATGTCATCGACAGGACAGTCCAGTATTTTGGAACTATACGATTGGAAATTCAAAACACAATAACTCGTCTTTGCTCTCCTCTGTTTTAGTGGAGAGGAGACCGGGCTTATGCCCGCTGCAATATTAGCACTTATATTGTACTAGTGAGATGGACAGTGTGATCTATGCTAAGTGCTTAACTTAGTGCAATGCTTTTTTTGTTATTATTATTATTTCACAGCTCAATTTAAAAGCCACTTTGGTTGTACAACTATTTCAAAATAATTTATCTTCTTTACAGCCCTATAAGATTGTCAAACGCTGTCAGCCGTGAGTGACAGTTGACATAAGTGACAATTTTGAATGACATATCGTCATCAGAGATACGAAACGATACGAGAGGTCGGTGGGTCAATAAAAATGTATTTTTACAGTAGATTTTAGAAGCTCGTCATGGTTTTTGCTCTTTGCCTTTTCAAGTTAATAAGTTATGGCTTCGATTGAACGCATGTAAGTTACTTAATTTATCATGTAATAATTACATTTGTTTATTGTTATAGGTTACAGTAATTTGTTGTCATATTGTTTGATATTTTGTAGTTCCCCTTGAATGTTTAAGACTGACGGTAGGGGAAATAACGTTATATAATAGGTAAAGAGTGTTATTTATTCTTCAGAGTGTTGTTTACTGTTTTGCGGGAATTTGGGTTAACTGGGAGGGTATAAGAAAATTTATGTTTATAGTGACTTGTTGGCATGTGGTTCTCCTTGTTGTTTACATTGTGTAAGTGACCATCTGTCTGTTTACGTACAGTTTTGCTCACGCTTTGAGGATTTTATTTGCTTAATTAGATGTGTGAGTAAGGGGCTTGGGTAAATAAATTGTAAAAACCACGAGTCCAGTTGTTCAGATAAACTACCTACTTAATTTTGTAAATGGGGGAATATTTCAAAACAAAAATTTAGCCTAAGTGTTTAGCTTTATTCCATAAATGTGACAGCACTGGATATGTCTGACTTGTACTGTTTATTTTTCTTGGTTGATCAGCTTCATGACACTAAAATTATTTACATTTTCTCTTTCAGATTACCAAGTTGAATGTCACAGAGCAAATTCCATGTCAAATACCAAACTAACCAGGGATAGAAGTAATGCATGTCTAAAGAGGCTGTGGTTTATAGATAGTCATGATTATAATACATTTATAATTTCTTATACTCATTTATAAAGCTATGCTGAAATTGCCTAACAGTTTTTGCAGATATTTGAGGGTCACATGTGACAGCATAAGTACCCGTTCACATGTGAGGAGGTATTCCCACTTGAACTGTGTAGGAAAGACATGCCAAGTAGAGGATTCTCTGGACACGTTGCTCTTGCCGCAGCCCTCATCAGCTGCGCCTTTGAGACTCTTTGCCAGCTTTAAGAAAAGATCGCGGATTAAGATTCCATCCTTGAATTCAAATGAACCAAAAAAAACAAAACAAATGAGTGAATCACTGCAACCCAACCTGAACCATATCAGCTATGGAGGACAATTTGAAGTGTAAGTAGAATAGCATTCATGACTAACAGGTAGTTCTTATGACTACATTCTGTACTTTAAATTATTATCCCAACTAATATTATAAATGCGAAAGTAACTCTGTCTGTCTGTCTGTCTGTCTGTCTGTCTGTCTGTCTGTCTGTCTGTCTGTCTGTTACGCTTTCCCGCTTAAACCTCGCAACCGATTTTGATGAAATTTGGCATAGAGATAGTTTGAGTCCCGGGAAAGAACATAGGATAGTTTTTATCCCGGTTTTTGAAACAGGGACGCGCGCGATAAAGTTTTTCTGTGACAGACAAAATTCCACGCGGGCGAAGCCGCGGGCGGAAAGCTAGTTATTTCATATGGCTTAGAAGTTAGCTGTTCATGTCAAAATTATTTTATGATAGTACTTGTACTTTCTAGTTTCTTTCTAAATAGTTATTTTACTTTTGATTATTTTTGTTGATTTCAAAGTGCTTCTAAAATAGGTTAATAATATCCATAAAGTACGACTTTTTTATGATTAAGTAAATAATAGTTCCTGGTGTGATGCCACTGGCTGAGACTTGCAGCTAGTAACAAGATAACAGTAGCCACAATCACTATGAACTTAATAGGAAGATAATAGTTTTTATTGTGTCCCATTTGCATATCATCAGCTCATTAAAATAATAATTTAACATAATCATGGTGTAACCATTTTAAGATTCCATTCTAGATTAAAATTTTATTGTTTCATTTTTTTTTTGGGTGTTAATATCGTGCGGATTTCAGCACGGACGCGGGATTTCTCCGCATGACAGACACCCAAATGTCCTTTTCATACAAGTATTTATCGTAATGCGCAGGCAGGACGTGCGGTACGTGATAATACTTGTATAAAAAGGAAACGCATGCAGAACAATCCCGCGACCATGATGAAATCCGCACCATATTAAAACACCCTTAATCTTAACAACGCTCAAAAGCAATCTAATATGATTTCCGTTCCGTTTTTGTAGTTCTTCAACTGAAGATGATATCGACTGGAGATCGCAATGCGGCGGGTCTGGTTCCACTACCAATGTAAAGGCTGGCAAGGTGCCTCCTAACTTCCGAGTTTGGGAACCAGTTGTAAAAAAAACTGACTCAGGTGAAGGTATGTCAAATTGTTTTCTTCCAAGTTTTTAACGCGGCTTTACCCGCGAAATTAGGTCTATCACAGAAAGCCATGTATCTCACTTTAAAAACCAAGATAAAACTATTGTATGTCACTGGGTCTAAAACTACACTCAACATCAAATAAACCGCACCTTCCGCGACGCAAACTTTAAAGATTTTCTTCTGACACAACCATGGTACTCCAACAATATTGGTGTTATTTGAAAGCCCAATAAATATCCTTAAATAAAAATATATTTCATTTCTAAATAAATGATTAACATTTACCATAAATGTGACTTGAAAATAGACCTCACTTTGGGCTCACCTCTGGGATCAATTAGACCAATTTTTATGGTTATAAAACCAAATAAAGATCTCACGTGTCCTCTTTAACAGATGGATAGCGATTAATCTCAACTTAACAGTTTTATAGCCATAAAAGTTGACTCAAGTGTAATAGCCTATTTTTTGAAGAAGTGATTCTGGATCCTTCTAAAGACACATTTTTGGAGTAAAAACCTTTCCTTTAACGAAATGAAGCTTAGAACTAGGCTTTTAAATGGTGCCAATATTGGTGGGAAGTGGGGATGCATACGTTTGAAAGTGCTTGTTGCGGGAGGTGCGATTTATTTGATGTTGAGTGTATTATTAAGGCGAAAGTTTGTAAGTCTGTATGTTTGTTACTTCTTCACGTGCTTAGACGTGAAGCGATTTTAATAAAATTTGGTATGCAGTTAGCTGACACCCTGGATTAACACCGCGTATGTTAATATTCGAGAAATGGTTTCAGGCAACAATGTGTTCAGGTTCCGAGTGGTTTCGTATAATGTGCTGGCTCAGTACCTGCTGGAATGCCACCCGTACTTGTACACGGACTGCTCGCCACGCAACCTGAAGTGGAACGTCAGGGCAGCGCGTCTCTACGACGAAATCACCAACTTGGCTCCAGACGTAAGTCATGATATTCATCATCATCATCATCTCAGCCATAGGACGTCCACTGCTGAACATAGGCCTCCCCCAATGCTTTCCATGTTGCTTGGTTGGTAGCGGTCTGCGTCCAGCGCCTTCCTGCTGCTTTTATTATGTCGTTGATGTAGTCATGATATTAATCATAATGATTCATACAGAAAATATGCTCACTGTAGCATCTTTTGCTGTTGTAATAAATGCAATTTTGCAACAAAAAATTATCAGCAGTACTTAGTATGCTGCTGGCTGAACTAGGTACTTCAATGCTATTTTTCTTTCATCTTATATTGCTATGGGTTTACATTGTTCCTTCTCCTCCTCGTAAAAATATACAGTATTCTAGTTTAGGTTGCTTGCTTGTCATTGGTATTGTCATTCTCACTAAAATGTCTCTGGGGTGGTGGCGTAGTGAGGCGGGTCGTTACATTCCCTCTAATATGGTCGAGTGAAGCGATGGCTGGTTCACTCGTCATGTCTGTGAACAGGCACTGCTTTCGGGGACTGGTCAATCCAAGTTATTCCAATTTATGTATGCGAGTCATTTCTACTATGTAGTATTTAAGTGTGTAATCTGTAAGTCTAGGATATTAGCACGTCACTACCTTGTTTAATATACCACGCAATTTTGTATACCCATTCTTATAAGATACACTATACAAGAATGCATGGTAAATTCAGTGAACTGCTCCTGAATCGAATGTACCTACTACTGCTATTTCTATTTATTTATATTAACCGGCAGACAGTGGTGACTGAGTTTGTTGCGGCGCTTCTTCTCAGCACTTGCCAAATGTTGGTCTCGAAGCGCTGGTAGGGTAAAAAGATTATGAGACATGTAGAGGCTCCTTAAGAGCAAAATGACGATTTGTAAGAACTATTTATTAGTCTAAACAAATAAAGAAATTTTGACTTTGACTTTGACTTTGCTTAATTTCTATAATCAGTGCAATAAAGGCACCATTAACAATCCCATTGGCTTAGGATAATAAAATATTTAAAAATAGATTTTCAAATATGCTTCTTTTTATAGAAACTGCAATCAACACAGTCACATGTATGTTTCAAACGACGCGTGTCTTATCTCGCACGTTTTAAGTCAGCAGATAAATGTACAATCACAAGACTTTATTTTTATTTCTAATTATGGACGTCGGCAAACACCGTAGTATCTATTTGGTACAAACATAGGTGCGGTTTTTCTGTAAAACTTGTGCTGCAGTCTGTACATTCTGGTATAAACACAGCGTGTCGCGTGTTGGTTTGTTTATCACAATAATACTGTAATTCATAACATAATACATTATTGTGCGATGTCCACTGATACGGATATCATTGGCTAATCCATGATAATAGCCGCCAGCGCAACCCTCTTCAGTCTAAAACATACTATATATTTTGTTGATTATATTTTTTGTATACGTCTATTAGTTTAAGCTATTGTTATTAGCTTATTTCATAATCTTTATAACTATTAGCACTATCTTTTTGTTTCGCCAATGTGTTTTAAAAGGCCGAAACGAACAATGTGCTAAAATTAGAAGGTGTTTACTATGCTATTAGTATACATAACTAAATGGATTTCCTGACTTGGACAAGCCTACTTTTTCTAAAACACGATACACAGTATGACGTAATGCCGTGTCCTTCTGTGTTTACTACGCTAGATACGAGCTATGACAGCTATTATAATATTGTTTGCTCGCGAGTCGGCATCTGGGTCGTATATTTGCGTACACGCTCCCATTACATTCTATTGCTATGAGAAGGTTACATTATAATTTTCCATGTTTCGTCTCTTGTTTTATTTTATTTAAGGTTCATGGTCTATTAAAATCATATTTCTAAGTTAACACAAGTGTACGGAGTTCTCTCTTGGAGTTCGATCCAAACTCGACTCTCACTATTTAAATTAAAATTTAAATCGATTTCCTTTCTTATCGTAGAACTTATATTCTTTATTTTTTCACCAAAAGATATCAATCTTCATATTCGATTATATTCACGATATTATATTGTGTGACTTATCTCTTGCTCTGATTATAAGTCTGATTGTCATATAAGACAAAATGTTATTACGAAAAATGTCTTTCGTCATAATTTTGATTGTAATAATTAACTTTTTAAAAAAATAAAACCAACTTCAAATGCGTGAACACAAAAAAAAAACTAAAAATTAAAAATATTGCGTATAAAAAAGTTCATCCCCAATTTTCCACCCTTGGGGGTGAAATATTTTCTTCAAATTCGCATGAAACCACCCTTTTGATAATACCTATTCAACAAAAAAATAATCGTTCAAATTGATTTATAATCAGCGGAGATATTGCGTATAAAAAAGTTCATCCCCAATTTTCCACCCTTGGGGGTTGTTTTTTCTATTATTAAATTTAAATGGGACCACCCTTGAGGTATTACCTATACGCCGAAAAAAGATTTGTTCAAATCGGTTCATAATTGGCGGAGTTATCGCGTAACAAACATAGAAAAAAAAAACATACGGGTCGAATTGAGAACCTCCTCCTTTTTTGAAGTCGGTTGAAAACTAGTTTTTAGTTGACTAGAAAAGCTATATAATTCTGTATGTATCATGGAGTTAGGACAAGAAAAAAATACAGATGAATAAATACACATTTGTTAGTTTGTGAGTCATAATAATAAGTCCTTATCCTGAAATGGAAACCAGTGGGATTTCGTTTTCAACCGACTTCAAAAAAAAGGAGGAGGTTCTCAATTCGACCCGTATGTTTTTTTTTTAAATATTGCGTATAAAAAAGTTCATCCCCAATTTTCCACCCTTGGGGGTGAAATATTTTCTTCAAATTCGCATGAAACCACCCTTTTGATAATACCTATTCAACAAAAAAATAATCGTTCAAATTGATTTATAATCAGCGGAGATATTGCGTATAAAAAAGTTCATCCCCAATTTTCCACCCTTGGGGGTTGTTTTTTCTATTATTAAATTTAAATGGGACCACCCTTGAGGTATTACCTATACGCTGAAAAAAAATTTGTTCAAATCGGTTCATAATTGGCGGAGTTATCGCGTAACAAACATAAAAAAAAAAAAAAAACATACGGGTCGAATTGAGAACCTCCTCCTTTTTTGAAGTCGGTTGAAAACTAGTTTTTAGTTGACTAGAAAAGCTATATAATTCTGTATGTATCATGGAGTTAGGACAAGAAAAAAATACAGATGAATAAATACACATTTGTTAGTTTGTGAGTCATAATAATAAGTCCTTATCCTGAAATGGAAACCAGTGGGATTTCGTTTTCAACCGACTTCAAAAAAAAGGAGGAGGTTCTCAATTCGACCCGTATGTTTTTTTTTTTTTTTTTCTATGTTTGTTACGCGATAACTCCGCCAATTATGAACCGATTTGAACAAATCTTTTTTCGGCGTATAGGTAATACCTCAAGGGTGGTCCCATTTAAATTTAATAATAGAAAAAACAACCCCCAAGGGTGGAAAATTGGGGATGAACTTTTTTATACGCAATATCTCCGCCGATTATAAATCAATTTGAACGATTATTTTTTTGTTGAATAGGTATTATCAAAAGGGTGGTTTCATGCGAATTTGAAGAAAATATTTCACCCCCAAGGGTGGAAAATTGGGGATGAACTTTTTTATACGCAATATTTTTAATTTTTAGTTTTTTTTTTGTGTTCACGCATTTGAAGTCGGTTTTATTTTTTTAAAAATTAATTATTTATAATGGATTCGATTGCATAAATACTTTTTATATGGTTTCTTGGAGGAGGGCGTTGATCCCTGCGACACAGTTTTATACTTCTGCAGGGTTCATCGTTTTTTCATGTATTATGTACCCTTGTACTACTATACGAAAATAAATAAATAAATTGAATGTAGAGCAAAAAGCGTATATTGATGTATAATGCGCTATCAATTAGTTCAAATTGATAGCGCAATCTACATCAATATATATAATATAATATGCAACGAAAACAAACATCTTCAGTTTGTATGTACTATCTACTCACAAATTATGTTTTCTAGATACTATGCCTCCAAGAGGTTCAGGCCTCACACCTGGACAGTTTCTACTCCAAGTTCGAGGATATGGGATACTTCGGGATCTTCAAGCAAAAAACTGGACATAGACAGGATGGATGCGCTATTTATTTCAAAACGTCGGTCTTTGAATTGGAAGATCATATCAGCGTAAGTACAAATACTACAAAATGCGATCTGATTTAACTGACATCTGTTTGTTACTTTTCAAAATCAGTTTTATACTGTTTTTTATGTTGCTTTTTCTTAAGGTAGCGTAGCGGCATGCCTTTCTTTTTATGTCACTATTCTAATCCATGCAGTGCACTTGTCATTTCGATGTGAATGTTTAAATTATCATTGATATTTTATCTACTTAATGAGTTGGGCTTAATGGCAACATTGTATATCGATTGGCACTTTAAAGCGAGCAGCGTGAGGTGGATTCTTCCACTAGATCACACTTGTGATAATCACGGCTCAGTAAGATAAAATATTGCGTTGTATGCGAGTACATTGCAAAAACTGCGTATGCGAATTCTTTTGCAGTGAGAATTTTTGGTAATACATAGATTTCCATTACCAACCGGTCAATCTGCAAATTAGGGGGGTCCTATGTTCAGCAGTGGAAGTCCAGTAGCTGATGATGATGATGACGATGATACCATTCCACTACCTCTTTCAAGATTACAACGTGCATGCTATGAAAAGCACGTCGCGCGTCGCTCTGTCGTCGGTCCATTTGCGAGACAAAAGACCAACTGAAAAAAATAAGGAAATAAATAAATAGACTGGCAGGGTTGTGACCTCAGCTGTTACGATCCTATGATATAAAAGAGGATGCACACTACTGACATAAATATATTAAGAGATTTTAATGTTGTCCATTGAATTAATCAAGTCATCTATAAATTCTTAGAGATCATGCTTTAGCAGAATGAAACGTATCGTGAGACAATAGATTTTATTTGATTATGTAGAAATGTTTACAGATTGCTAAATATCACTATGCATGTTATTTTTATGGACTACTCCGCTGAAGCGCGTAGAGCGATGTATGCCAAACTTTACTTTTGTTAACGCGTACCACAAAGCCAAGTAGTTTTAGACTTATCCGTTTTCCCTGTTCGCTATTAACTATAAGTTGTCAAGATTCATGAGGTTCATATTTTATTTAGACTCCATATCCCGCCAGACGATATAGTAATTGTTTCCATACAATTGTATGTCCTTGTGCTTATTGATGCTTCTCGTTGATAAATATTACTGTTATTGTAGCAGTATACATGCATTATTAACTGTTTTTTTGTGGCCTTTTAAGTTTCTCATTTATTTTCATTATATTCCAGATATATTTTTTAATTATTAGTTATGCTGTGTGCTGCAAATGCTTAGCGAGTTTTTATTTTTTTATACTGTAGGTTTGTTCATTCATAGTTAATAGCATTGATTCCTATGTGTTGCACTGTTATTCCGTTCCATCTTGACTAAGGCTGGGTTGCACCATCTTACTTTAACTTTGACAAACGTCAAAAGTCTCTCAAAATCTATACAAAAAACGCTGGTTATCGTTAAAATTACGGTGAAAGTTAGGTGGTGTAACTCAGCCTTAGAATACCTTTAGTTATTATTTACATAAAAATTAGTAAACATATGAAACATTTAGAAAAAGCTGACATTCTTATGAACTATGTTCTTTAGTCGATAACACGGTCGATCAATAAAAAAAAACCGCCGCACAGTGATTCGAGTAGAACAAGCTAGCTGGACAATAATATTTTTTTACTTTAATGGGTTTAATACACGCATTACTTACTTTTTTGTGCAATTTCAGATTAATTAGGCTTGTTATTATAATTATTATAGGTAGGTTTGAAAAAAAAAATTTTTTTTGGTAATAAAATATTTATTTCCTAAAATCAAGAGAAACAGACTAAAAAGTAAAGAAGAAACTAACTTAACAGTATAATATAATTGGTCTTATGATGTATTAGGTGTTAAAGTATGAAATTCCCGTTTTTTATGGAGAATTAAATGAAAATCAATTTTTCGATATAAACATTTTTGCGATTTATATGGAACAAAGAATCTCAGTGTTTTTTAATTTAGTGTGTAGACTGGGACAACATTAATGACTTGCCAAGTTGCTGTGGCCAGCAGACATTTGCGCTGCAGCTTCAGCAGCCAATATCAGTTCTCAAGTACTTCTTGAGGAAATGAGGTCTAAAAGTCTTCTTCTTTTCGTCTTTTTGCTGGACTCGTCGAACTCCTTGAGTGGTCGTCCAGGTGTAGAATCTTTCGACGTGGAAGACTGAGCTTTATGAACAGAAACATGTAACACTATGGCTCCGGGAATCCAGTCAGTTTTGTTTTTCATGAAGCGTTCCCTGTTTTGCCGTATTTCGTCCATTGAAATGAAATTGAAATGCGACTGATGCTATTCTTCAACTATCTCAGCGAATTTTCGTGATCCCAATACATCACATTTTGAGAATATAAATTAAAAATCATGCTATTCTGGTCACTTTTTCAATGTTTTAATCATTAATCAAAAAACTTGATTTTTTATTAATCTGAAAAAATAAAATTGTTGTGCAAAAGTGTGCAAACTGAAACTGGTATATTTGAATACTAGAAGGTTACAGCTACAATATATATAAATTCCACACTGGGGTCAAGTGGGGGCATACAACTTCTAGTCTTCCAAACATAAAATTTTGAGAAAAATATAAAGGTCAACATTTCACCATACTTTTTAAAACTATGTGCAATATTATGCACCTTATTGTACAGAAAATAAAAAGTACTTACCCTTATCTTCAAAATCCATCACACAAATATTTGGTCACCATAGTAAAAAATAATGTCAGGTGTTGTCGTAAGTCGAGCAAAATTAGAAATTAAAAATTACACTATCCTCATATCCTCACTTACCATGTTAATTACTCACGACTAGGTAATTAACAAAGTAAAAAATTGTGGAATCCTTAATGTCTGGGATGTTGTTTATCGTTTTTTATAAACGATAATCAGAAATTCAACAATGACTTTTGTCCAGCTAGCTTGTTCTACACGAATCACAGTGCGCCGGTCAGCCTAAATATAGGGAATCGCGTTCATTCCCAATGGCCCAGGGAAAACTACTCCCCTCTCGCTTGTCCTATGCCCATGGCATGCATTACAATCTCCTGCGCCTTGAATACGGGCCAGAACAACCGCTTATGCTATGTAGCCAAAATGTGTTGCGAATGTGTATGTACAGAAGTATCATATCATGTAGGTAAAGTGGGCGCCCTTTCGACACTTTACTTTGTAGCATTTTTGTTTTGTTTGTTTATGTACTGATCGTCATCAAGTAATTTACCAGAGGCAAATGGAGAATTTGGCCTACACTCTCCACAGTGGCCAGACAGGGTTGGAGAGGCTATCTTTTACCATACGCGAATTCATATTATCTTTTCATAAAGGTTACTAAACCTTTGTTTGTCACCTGTCATCCGCTTTGCAATGGAGGGAAGTCGAACCTTAACTTCGAACTCCTCCTTTGTTCTTCTGATTAGTTTCGTTGCGGGTCCAATAACATTTAACTTTTCCCCGGGACAAACTTGACCTTCATTGGTTGGGTTTTGATTGGCAAGCTGTAGATCTACACAGGAGTTGCAGCGGTGGGAACAGTCCCGTTAAAGGCGAATTCCTATTACACTGTACTCTTTAGTATTTGACTTGGTTCTACGCGGTGCGTTTTAGGTGGAGTTCTACCAGCCGGAGCTTCCGATCCTGAACCGCGATAACATCGGGATCATGGTGAAGCTCGTGCCTCGCGCGCAGCCGCGATCACCCATTGTGGTAGCGACCACGCATCTGTTGTACAACCCCAAGAGGACCGACGTCAGGCTCGCGCAGATACAAGTGCTGCTCGCTGAGATTGACAGATTCGCGTATTATACGACCGCTAGAGAGTAAGTAGATATAATCCTCTTTAGGACTTTTTCCTATTAAATTTTTGGTCAGCCGACTTCGTTCTAAGGCCGCGTTTCCACCAGAGATGTGTGAAGATGCGTAGCGAGGGATGTCTTTGCAAAGAACCCATAGATTCGCTTCATTTACCTCGCTTTGGTAAATGAAGCGATTCTATTGGTTCTTAAACGAAAAACTAGAACTAAAAACGTAGCCTAAGGCGCCAAAACAAGCCTGTCTTAGGTTGTTAGTTGTTTATCTAAGTGTAAAAGTTCTTTGCTCAATACATTTAGTTACATTTGCACCCAGTGGGATACAAACTCAAGTCCAGCATGCAAATCGCAAAGCCAGGTGGCTGTTATAAATTTGTTATTGTCTAGACTCTAGAGTATTTTTCGTTTTTGTGTCTAGATTATTCTTATTCTGCATGACTCATGACGGTGACAATGACGTCATTTAAACATTTTGACGGATGTCAATAGCTGGAAAGAACCGCTTGATTAGAAATACGCGTATTTCGTCGAGCTTACACAAGGTTGAATAACGTGAGCGCTGACGTCATTACAAACTACTCTGTCAATGACGCATTAGTTTTCTAAGCGTAAATGTTTGATTTGGATTTATCTATCTGCTGATTTAGTTGATGGTTTATTCAATAAAAATTTTACTTGATGAAAGAAGGAGAAAGGTATGCGCTAGATTGACTTAGGTCTACATACAAGGTGGTTAGGTGGAACGTCCACCTACAAAATGGACCGACAACATCGTAAAGGTAGCAGGGAAGCGCTGGACGCAGGCTCTCGATCAACGTGGAAAGCATTGGGGGAGGCCTATGTTCAGTAGTGGACGTCCTATGGCTGAAATGATGATGATGATGATGACTTAGGTCTTGATGAATTATGCGTTAGTTATACTTTTTTCGATGTAAGTACATAACACAGACTATGTTTTCCAGGTCGGGGCACTTGCCTATTATTCTGACGGGGGACTTGAATTCAACTCCTGACAGCGCGGTGATAAAACTACTTGACAGAGGGCATGTAAGGTGAGCGCGCTTTCTGTACTATGTTTTAAGAACATGGCGTATTTGCATTACGAGAGAAGCTTGTAAACACTGGCATTTTGATGGTAGCAAACCAAGCGTACGTAACGACAATTACAATCACAATACGGTAATCAAAAAGTAAGATTGTAAATAAAAAACACATCAATATTACGTACACAAAAGATTGTAGTTGTAGATTGTAGCTGCATTTTCATAGATTTTACATACGTTCATGTTGTAGTTTTGACGAGGCCTCTCGTGTTGTAAATATACCTCTGGGTAAGTTTGAAAGAAAGAAAAAAAAATGTGTTCCTGAGGAAAATCTAAGTATAAAGAAGATAATACGTCTGAAGGAAAGCTACTTGTCGGCTGACTGAACTGTACGAAGTGGAGATAGAATTAAAAAGGTTCAAATACACCTGGAAGATAGAAAATCTCTTTTCTGTAAATGACCACAATTCAGCAACCACTGGGATTGATTATTGGCTTGGTACCCAAACCATTACAACCATCTCCATGCAACGTTGAGACACAGTTCCTGTAGCCTTATTCACGTAACAAAACTTCGACGACAACAAATCGCTGAGTTGCGATTCTATCGAAATGACCCTTGTGAATACGGATTTAGAACTGTTTTTTAATGGGACGACTTCTGATCGTCAGCGAGATCTTGACTGTCAAAATACGTGAATTAGGCCACTGTTATAAATTGATCGTCGTCGGGCTTCGTAGGAGCCTTAGGGCAACTAGCTAATATTGGTAGTAAGTTTTGATGGGAGTTCACTCATGCATTAATCCTACATTTTCAACTGTAAATTCGAATCCATTTTTACATTTCACATAATTTATTAGACTGCTCAAGTGGACTTAAGAGGGCCTTGACATCGAGCTGCCAACGGATGACTGCACAGCGAGTACCGTGAGTATTAGGTATATTCATACCTGTATGAGTGTTGTGAAATTGCTTCTTTCTCAAAGTGGAAGGGAAGGAAATCAACAAGTTTTGCACACGGAGATCAAAGCATTATTTTGTACTTACAAAAAGAGAGAGAATCGGAGAATTGGCGCAGACTGACTTGTATAAAAGGTTAATTTAAACAAAATACTAGATAGCCCTAAAGTAAACAATGTATTTTGAATGAATTAGATGCTGTTGCATTTGACGTCATATTCATCATCATCATTTTAACTACAAAACGTGGTCTATAGCTCCCTCTGATCTTATGTTCTTCAATCTGATCCTACCTAACTAATTATGTTGCTGTCGCGCTCGCACACTCACTGCGGGCGCGCGTCGCACAGTCGCGACAGCAATACAATTACGCGCGAGCGATAAGGATGGGTAGCTTGGGGTCATTGGACGGGATTCTACGTGCTCACGGACCAGGCTTTACCTAGATCAGGGGTTCCCAAAGTGGGGGGCGCGCCCCCCAGGCGAGGCGCTAAGACTTTTGATCGGGGGCGCGGGCCATTTAAAAAGCGGTGTTAAAAACCTGCGACCGCTGATAGAATACATTCCAGACTGGTCGATACGACCAATAAATAATCTGGACTGGAGGATGGGGGGCGCGGATACTTTTTATGATCGAAAGAGGACGCGTCTCAAATAAGTTAGGGAACCCCTGACCTAGATGATGCCTGATCTGATAATTTTTCATTGGCCTGCTGAAAGCAGGGCCGGATTGACAATGTTCGGCCCAGGCATTGCAATACTTGGGGCCCCTTTGAAGCTCAGCTCTTTGTAAGTCCATGCAGGGTTGTGGATAATAGAATCAGCAGCATCCCTAGACTGATGCGTAACTCTAAAGAACTTACAACAAGACTGGTTGGAAGAGTGTTGGTAGATTTGTCAACATGCTTTGATAGTTTTCGTCGCCATTTTCAGTGCCAGCCCATTCCGGGATAGCTCTGACTGGAAGAGGATAGGGGTCACCGACAACTGCCAGCATCTGTCAGTCTACTTGGACCGGCTGGAGGGACGGAACTCGCTCTACAGTACTATTAAGGTACCATTTACAAGGTTTTTTTTAGAATGGACAGTAATTACAGCGCTGGTAGGGTAAAAAGATTATGAGACATGTAGAGGCTCCTTAAGAGCAAAATGACGATTTGTAAAAACTATTTATTAGTCTAAACAAATAAAGAAATTTTGACTTTCACTTTGACTTTGACTTCATGAGGAAGCCCGACGACACCTTAATCGAGTATAGTTTGTTTCATCCTCGAAGACGCGCCCCACCATTTTTGGTCGAGGGAAGCGCGGGGTGCGGAGAGTTTGATCCGAGCAATCCGAGCGGCATTATTGTAGTGTGCGTGTGCACTCATGGATGATTTAGCGTAAACCGATAATACTCAAACATTAGCGGAATTGGTGGGGCGCGTCTTCGTGGATGAAACGATCTATAATAGATCATAGTGGGCTCCGAAAATTTTTAATACAAGTGTCTTATCTGTGGAATCGTGAGCCTGTTTTGTTTACTGAGTTTAGAATTTAAGAAAAAAAAAAAACAATAGATATCTTTTCTAAGACGCGGCCATTGTGCGGAAACACACAGAAATTATTATTATTTATGCATGAAATGAAGATGAACCATTTGAGAATATGAAAGCAGGTCTGAAGACCAAGTATATGTTTTGGCTACGGTGTGTTTATCGTTGGCTACTAAATCTAATAGCGTCATACAAAGCTTGGTATGTTTGTTGATTGCGTTGGATTGCAAAGGTCAGCGTCGCGCGGTTATCGTCAACATAGTAAAGTTATCGGCCATAGTGTAGCCATTATCGCCGTACCCGAAATGTCTTGATTACTACGGGCCTATACCACTAAACAATAATATTACTGCTTTGTTTATTTTATTTTTCTTTATTCAGAAAACCACAGCTCTTTATAATAATAATACAAACAGGTATTTTTGTTTTTACAGCCAATAATGGATTCTATATTATTACAATCTCGTAAAAAACAGTCAAAGGGGCAAAAAAGAACATAGGATTGCATGCGGGTTGTGTGTGTGTGTGTGTGTGCGCGTGTGTGTTTTCATTTACCTACTAAGTCGCAAATCTCCCTCTTATCAAGATCTATGGATTTTTGAGAGACTGTAATAGCTAATATAATGTTTCAGCATTATTAATGTTGTGTAATATTGGTTCGTTTCAGCCAAATGACGTCCACTGCTGGACGGAGGCCTCACACAAGGATTTCCACAAGCAGCGGTACTGCTCTGCCCGCCTCAAGGTACTTCCCGCGACCTTCACCAGATTGTTGGTCCACCAAGTAGGAGGCATGCTCAATGAGGGCTATCGTTTTTATGGTTCTATATTGGCTCACATAAAATTCTAAATCCTATTCTTTGTCTTACTACCGATTTGTGTTCATAATAATCTCTATTCATAATTTTATTTTTCATACTTTTTTTATTCATACATTTTTATTACTACGATCGGAGCTCATAACAGTTAGTAATCATAATTTTTTTATCAATACTGTTACTACCAAGAACCATTTAAAATACATAATTTTTATTTTCAGATCTTTTTTCTTCATAACATTCATTGATCATATTGTTTTAATTAATAATGTTGTTACTAAGAACATACTTCAACTCATAATGTTGTTGTTCAGAATAATTTACTTTATAACAGACATACTCGTATCTTTAAAAAAATCATATATAATTTAATAGAGTAGAATTTATGAATACTATAGTTATTTATTCGAATGATTATGAGTTTCGATCATTAGTATAGAAAAATATATGAAAACAAATATTAGTAAAAACTAAGTGTATGATTAGTGATATTATGAATATCAATGATTATGTTTTTAAATATGTAGGTTTTAAATTTTTTATGAAGAATGATCATTATGGTATCAAATTGTATGAGAAATATTTTCGGACCTCCAATGATAGGAATTGAAAAGTTATGTAAGAAAATGCGCTACCCGTTTTTATACTTAACAGTTGGCACCCCTGGCGATTGACAGGACCTTACTCTACAGTGGCGCCATCTTGATGAGTGCAAATGCGATAGTCCTCCTACCACTTTAGCGCTCACCAGCTGGCGCGACTGTCTTCGCTACTAGCAAGTGACAGGACTTTACTCTACAGTGGCGCCAACTGGTGAGCGCTAAAACGATAGCCCTCATTGCTCACACTTGCTGCGTCTTCCTATGTAAAGCGTTATTAGAGGATCTGCCTATTCTGCATAAAGATTTCTTCTGACATCAACGGTCAAAGAAGCTGCCTTTAGTGCCCCATTTCAAAATCCACATTGTGCAATGTGCATATCACAGCAGTTTTATGGAATAGTGTCATTATAATAATAATGGGCCATTGTTTAATTTAAATAAATGATGAATAATTAAATAGTGCAGCTGATTGCATCATTCAGCGATAATGACAACTTTCCTTACAATAACCTAATGGACGAATATCGTTTGGTTCAAAACGTAATATTTGAAATCCGTAAACTAATACGGTGAATCTTCTATGCATAAGGTCTGACCAGCATATTTTATAACGATTATCTATTTTTTGCTTTAAAAACGAGGCTTTTAAAAAGCGCTTTTACCCATCCCTATATTACTTTAACCCTATCGCTGCTTATGGGCAATAAATGGGCCTGTGAAGACACATTTAATTTGAACTCGTCCCGTTTCAGATATACAACTCGGACTACTGCGCCGACTTGTCCCAATGCTCCACGCCCGACCCTCCCGGCATGGAGTATAGCGAGCTATTCAACAGCGGGGACATCGGGCACTCGCTGCGGCTGATGTCTACGTACGACAAGATTAAACCTGATGGCAGCACTGAGGCGTCCACGCTGCAGGACTACTGGGTCACTGTGGACTACATTTACTTCAGGTGGGTTAGGAGAATGTAAAGGACATTAAGGTTAATGCTATGCGAATATTCTTCTGTAGAGATACCGTCAAGGTTTTGGCGTCCGTACCTCCCACTATCTTTGTCAGCTATTAACAGTTGGACCCGACCAATTAGTCCGCTGCTGCTGTCCGCAAAGAAATGAATTTCCTCCTAATATGTATTATATGCAAATTAGCGATTTAATTTGTAAAGGATTGAAATTTTGCCTTTAAACTTTCCACTCACGCACTATCGTATATTCTGCTATTATATCGTAGATCGCGCAGTCTGGATTTTTATTAATTTGTTCTCTGTTGCCTTTTAAACGTTTCATCTACCTAGGTATCACCTGTAGATGTATAGTTATGGTAAAGTTATTTGTATCTCCAGTTCAATAGATTGCTCAGTAAACCGATGACATTTGATAAGTTCTACAAAGAGAAAATCAGGTCATGGGTAAACTTCAGTCAGCTTTGCATATGAATGCTGTTGTTGTCTTGTATAAGACTGTTGTTATGGATGCACATAGATAATACACGCGATAATAAACTGTGCCTATTCACAAAGCGTCGCGGGAGCTATTGTCAGGAATCCACCTTCAAATGTAAATAGCAGCCTGTTCCAGTTATTAATATTCAGCAGATGGTTAAAATGTGTTCTCATGGAGGATATGTGACACTATCTTCAGGTAATCTTCCCTAAAGTTTCTGGCCGATGCGAATCCGACGCGGTAAGAGCGCGATTTGACGTTCATACAAAATTTGTATAAACGCATCATTGCATTGGTCATAAGGTAATAAGATCAATGAGATTTGTAGCAAAAAACGGGAAAAGTCATTCAAACGATTTTATAACGCGTACGAAGTCAGCTATTTAGAGATATGTGTATCAGAGATAGTAGTGTGGATTGCGTTTTACATTTTGCTGATGACCTAGGTCAAGATCAAGTACTTGTATACTATCGAACACACCTCTTATCATATGAATATTGCAACATTGTTGTAGTGAAATGCACTTTGTACTTCTTTTGAAAATGTTTTGATGAGTACCTACTATCTACTAAGCAACTATTCTAAATAGATTTATAGAAAAGAAACAAAATCTTTAAAATGAACAAGATGAGGTAGCGAAATGACAAATAGATTACGCAAATGATGTTAGGCATCATAATATAACTACAGCCTTGGCCAAAAGTATTGAGCACCCCCTAAATACTGCTTATACGTGATAACTATAAAAGATACTCAAAGATATTTGATAAAAACCTTTCTTTGACAGGTTTTGAAACATAAACTCACGGCACAACGTGCAATAAAACACGTTTCGAGATGTTTAGCTATGATACTGTAGTATTGTTAGTCTTTGAAAAATCATAAAAAATCTTCTTCCGACCTCGCTGCTGAGTTATCAGCTGAAATTAATACGCCGATTTCTGGAAGAACAACTCGCAGAAGACTCCAAGAAGCTGGGCTTAAGGGCTATACAGCCAGAAAGAAGCCATGGCTCTCAGTAAAGACCAAAACAGCTCGTTACGAGTAGGCTTTAAAATACCAATCTTTTACCGAGGAAGATTAGAAAAATATTGTGTGGTCAGATGAATCAAACTTTGAGGTAAGTTAGCCAATATCATGTAATAACAATACGCGACAATAATATTATAAAACTATATTTGTAAAAATAAATATTGGACCGAAAAACACTTAACAAAATTTCGTTACTTTATGATTGTTGGCACACCTGGTGTGACATTTGTCCGTCGTCGAGTAGACGAAGAATTTACCCCGGAGTGTAAGGTACCTACCGTCAAACATGGCGGCGGCAGTGTGATGGTCTGGGGGTGCATGAGCGCCGCAGGAGTTAGGGAAATGTTTGTGTGTGAAGGACGCATGGACTCTACAAAGTACATAAACGTTCTTGAATCCGCACTTCTGCCCTCGTTTACAACACTTTTTGGTGACACCAACATGGAAAGCGTCAAATTCCAGCAGGATAACGCACCTTGTCACAAACGATGGCTTGGTTTAGTGACAATAACATCGAGCTGCTTGAATGGTCTGCCCAGTCACCAGACCTGAACCCCATCGAGCATTTGTGGGGTCTATTGAAGGACAAGGTCCGGCGCCATTGAATAAAAACAAAAGAAGACCTAAAACGTCGCTTGCGGGAAGAGTGGAACGCTTTAACATGTGACGATTGTAATAAATTAGTACAATCTTTACCAAAAATAACTTCTGCAGTAATTAAGGCAAAGGGTGGTCCAACAAAGTATTAATTTTTTGTTGTTAATAAACAATATAAAACTGTTAAAAACTGTTTTTATTCAGACACATGTATAATACCTTCAAAATTAATAAATATCATGGGTGCTCAATACTTTTGGCCAAGGCTGTATATCAAAAAATAAGAAGTCGAGTAGGCCTTTCAAGAACTGCAAGTCTTTACAATTTTATTCATGTGTGGTCCTGTTGTAACTGTACTAACGCCTGGCTCAAAACGTCATTTTTTAAAAGAGCTCTTACTCTTTAAAACTCTTCTTTGACGTAACATTTTTTGTTTCCAGCTTGTGCAGCCGCTTGAAGCTAGTGGACCGTCTGCGCCTGCCTACCGCAGCGGAGTGCGCCGCGCTAGGCTGCCTGCCAAACGACGTGTTCGGATCCGACCACCTGGCGCTCGCCGCCGCCTTCGAGCTGCGCCCCTACAAGTCCTCCTTATGATGGCGGTGCAGGTGTCCTGATCCGAGCTAGGCCTCATGTGAGTTGCAAGGCGACTGACGCACACACCTGTGCAAGACATACAAGTGCAAATGCACTCTAACGACAGTACTTTAACTAGTCGGAGACTTAGACAGTCTGATATTCTCTCTCTATTTCTGTGTGCCTACCATGAGTTTACGTCAGGTGTGCTCGCTAGCGACTGCGTAAAAAAATGACATTTAAATGTATAACATATTGTGCAGCGCCCTAGCGGCTAATTTCAAGACATAAAATCTTCATAGAATTTTTTGACGTATTCGCTAGCGAACTCATCATCATCATCATCATCATCATTTCAGCCACAGGACGTCCACAGACTGCTGAACATAGGCCTCCCCCAATGCTTTCCATGTTGATCGATTGGTAGCGGCCTGCGTCCAGCGCTTCCCTGCTACCTTTACGCTAGTTGCTAGCGAACTCACCTAACGTAAACTCATGGTAGGCACACAGATAGAACAAACGCCACTCGGCTTGATCTATATTCGAACTGAACTAGAATAGTGACATGCACCATCAAAGTAAACAGTTAATTGAGCACTTACCAAAATTCGTTCTTTCACACTTTTAAAAACGTAATTATTCATTGATTATTCATTATTTTGCAAAAGAAAATATGTTTGTGTAATTGACACAGGCCAAAATCAAATCTCCCAAAATGTTCTCTTACATTGGAAGTACCGCTTAACCTGTACAGCACCGCGTCTCCGAACCAGCACGTTCCTAAAATCAAGTATTACTTACACAATAATAAATAATTACACTGCTGCGGTGGATTTTCCCAGTCACCTGTGGATGCGGTCCGACGTCTTCCAACTCGCAGTTATAGGAATCCAGTGGTTAAGGCCGTAACTACTTGTTTTAAAACACGAAAGCGAAAGCTTCGTGTCTAAACATCCCTCTAACATCCTCGCATTACTAATAGGGGTGAGGTTACAAAATATTAACGAATGACCTTTTATTTGGATTGGAAATGTGTTAAATTTGATTCAGCGCCAATCACATTGATGGTACTAAGTCCGCGAATCTTTTATTAGCGCTGTCGCTTAGTATGCCACATATTATTGACTAATTCCAGTGACTTTTGTGTCACTCACTAGAGGCGCCACAAACTTGTCCTTCACTGGTTGGGTTTTTGTAGCGGTCAAGCTGTAGATCCTGGCTACACAGGAGTTGCAGTGGTGGGAACGAGAGGTGGGAATAGTCCCGTTGAGGCGCCACTAGTGCAAAAGCCATTATTGGTGTCATAATATCATGAGCGATCTCCTCCCATAGACCAGTGTTGCTGATCCTCTAACTAAATGATTCGAAGTTTAAATTCAAACCTTTAAAAGTATTATTATTAAAGTTTGTGAGAACGGGAAAGTTTTAAAGTTACATTTTAAAATCTCGACACATACATATAAAATAATGTAGAAATAAAATATTCAAATAAATCTATTAAGTCTGACGCGCTGTCTGCAGTGTAAATAATTATATAATTATCCTTATTAACATTTTACCAATTGAATAAATTGTGGCAAACTGAGTGACAGCGCTTATGTCTTTTGTTTTTCAGGCAAAGCAAACCCTCTGTTAGGACAGTATATTTATTGGTATAGTAAATTTCAATTAAAATGTAGATATCTTAGAAGCTTGTCACAACGTGAATGACTTGAGTTAGATTGTATGCGTAGTTGACTAACACAAGGTTTCAAATTTAAGCTCATAGCAGACATATCAACTCGGAAAGGGATCAACACCGTATCGCCTTTAGCGAGCTGTCATCGTCTTTTGCGCGCTGTCAATGAGGGCTATCGTTTTAGCGCTCACCAGTTAGCGCCACTGTAGAGTAAGGTCCTGTCACTTGCTAGTAGCGAAGACAGTGGCGCCAACTTGTGAGCGCTAAAGTGGTAGGAGGACTATCGTATTTGCACTCATCAAGATGGCGCCACTGTAGAGTAAGGTCCTGTCAATCGCCAGGGGTGCCAACTGTTAAGTATAAAAACGATAGCCCTCATTGTGAGGCGAGGCGATTACGTTACGGTGCGGATAAGTGTGCGTTGCAGTGCAGTATGAAGGTTTCATAGAAATAATACTGACCGCCTCGAGTTGATACGGTTACGATCGCCTTCCGGGTTGATAAATGTGCGATGACCTTTACTCTTTCCAATTTGGTTGAATGCACTTCGCAGAAAATAATAATTGTTGACGTCAAAACGTTCTGATTGTGTTGGTTATGATTTTTAGTATGAAAGAAGCTGCTAGAATTCAGATGCAAGTGATATTTGTGATTCAATATAGTTTAGGACCGTGATCAATATTTTTTGTTTTATGTCGTCTTTATTTATTTTGCTGCCACACTATTGGCAGAATTTAAGAATTGTTTATTATGTCTGTAAAACGTTTTAATTCTTAAATTGCCTAATATATTTATTTTATTGGGATTTTAAAGTAATCAATAAGTTTCTAACATTCAATGGTTTGGCAGAAAGTTTTGTAATAATTTGGTTTTCAGAAGATTTTTAAACGTAGACCTTTATTTTTACGGAAAGTAAATTAATTTTTATTGATTGCAGTTTTTATTTTATAATTTCTTTTTAGAATCAGTTCAATGTTTAAATAATAATATAATAAGTAATGTTTGAAGTCTATAATGATCGTGAATCTGAATAGCTTAAAGTGAATCAAATATTTTCCATAAGTATAAAATATCTATAAATAATATTGACATGAGAATATATTTTTGAATAACAGATTTCAATATTTTTTAAAACCTGTATTCCCAGTAGTGCTAAGGTAGTTTCATTTAAACTTGAAGTGATTCTTTAAAGAAGCTTTATTGTCTCGTATTCTTATGTAATAAAGTCTGTATATTTTGTACATAACGTGGGTTTAGTTGTGCGATTGTTTTGTTATTCGTCAAACTTTAGTTTCGTCCACACCGAGAGTAGGTTACGTGTTTGTGGTATTATTTTAATAAATGGCGATCTTTTATATGCGACGTTTTATTTTAGTACACCTTTAAGAGATCAAAGTAATTGAGTTTGTCCAAAATATTATAAAGCTAAGGCCTCGTTCACATCAACGTATTGTCCGCCGCCGACTCTGACCGCGCGTTACGCAGTTTATTGCTTCTTGATATTTAACTTCATATGTTCATACTAAATCGACAAACTAACTGTAGGTATGACCGTGAGCATGCTATGCGTTGAACATATTGACTGTGGAAAATACTTGGTGTGGACGACGCCTAAGTGTAACGGCGCAAGTACACTACGCGGTAAATTGACCGAGATGAAGCGCGAGCCCGCTCAGCGAAGTATGGGCGACCCACGGGCTTGAAAAGGAGAAAGTAACCGAGATGGTGTTTACACTATTACGTGTCGATCCATTTTCCGCAGTGTACTTGCGCCATAAGAGAAGTAAAGAGGTTCTTGGAGACCGTGTCTAGGCTAACGTAGTGTAGGACGTCCACCTGATGGATTGGAGACCTCTAGAACATAAAATGACGAAGAAGTGAGATATAGTGTTTCGTCCACTACTGGACTGCGTTTGACTGACATGTCAGTTATGTTATGTGTTATCAGTAGTATCAATGGTTGAGGTTGAATATCAGTCCTTTGTCCGTCTATCAGATGTTTTTTATAGTTCCAACAGTGGGTGGTGCTTCTGATTTACGCCGATAGGTGGCGGAGCTTCAGTTGCGTATGTTTAAAGGATTCCTTCGACTTCCTAAATAGGGTTTCGTAGTCCTGACAAGGAACCCTTTTTTCAGCAAGTAGTACGAGCCTCCAATTTTATTTATCAACATACCATAACATTTTTTTAATGGAATGGTTTTGAGATTGTTCGCTAGTGTTTATTACAAGGAGTCCGTAAGGGAATACATGCAAAACTATAGTAAGTTAAAGATATTGGCAAAAACTTGTGCCGTGTGGTGACGGCAGAGTAGAATACATTTGTCACCAACCCCTACTCTTCCCGCGGGTGTCGTAAGAGGCGACTTAGGGTCCACACATCAAACAGAGAACGGGCAGCAGCGCTCTCTGAAAAACATCAATCTTTTAAACTGCGATCTCCAACCCGCCTGCCAAGCGTGGGGATTATTGCAAAACCCTCCACTATAGTGGAGGAGGCTCATAGTCCAGCAGTGGACTGTAAAGGGCTGTTGATGATTGGCAAAAACATGATTATTGTGTGTTGTATTGAAAATTGTACTCGGTACATCTGTCTGGAGCGGTCTATAAATATTGAACCATGGTCGTCTATCGTCCCTACTATAAATATTGTGTATCAAATAGAGGCTCATAATTTTATCAGCGTTGCTACTAATGTCACATGTGAAGATGTTTCGACTGTTTTTTACTTATACATAAAATATAACATGGCAGATTTAAATACACTGAAGTGCTTTTCACACTGAAGCCACCGCTCAGAGTTTTGATGTGGTTTATAGTTATCAAATTTTATATCCTAATTGTGTAGCCGACATTTGTACACATTTTTAAACACGGCGAGGCCTTAAAATTAGCCTAAAAATAAATAAGAGGGTAATATCAACATCTACAAATAAAACATCAATGTCACTTTATTGAATCATTTATACAATTCTCAATTTTACAACTGATAATAAAAAGAAAAATCATTCTTACAGCATAGCACTGTTAACTCAAGTATAAATGTGGAAAAGCTCCAGTCATACCATTATGGATAGAAATGCACATTGAAGCCTGGTACTGCGGTCGCATGGTTTGGACGCATAGACAGAACAACACAACAAGAGTGCGCTTTAAAAATTTACTTTAGAATCAACACAGTACAGTACAAATTAAACTAATCATCCAAGACAATACAGAGTAAAGCTTTTCAATACAATAGGTAACACATTTTCACAAAACAATCGTTAAACACATGTACGGTGCAGTCTGTGAAACAGTGAGACAGACTACACTACCTGCTATTGTAGATACCGCGAAAAGAAGTGCGTAACTGTCTTACCAACTTACTGTTGAATTAAACCGTGAAAATTGCACGCTAATGTCATTACAGTTACAGACGTGCGCGAGCGGAGTCGCGGGAGAGTGCCTAGTACACGTACGACTACACAAACGAAATGAGGGTCTAACGTCCAAACTATCTATGCCCAATGTTATTCGGAAAGTTAAAATTCTACTGCGTTGTCCTTCGCTTCAACAGCAGAGCGAGACCCGCCGTTGAGACCTTGAGTAACATTGTTAACGTTTTGGCTCCTCTTAAGCGTGATTCAAACATTAGACTGTTACGGTTCATGAGAACGTAGAGCCACCGTCTCATTCACAATCTGACGTAGATCCTACGTAACAATCACAATTATAAATAAATGAAAAACAGATCGCCGGCGGCGTTTTTGACTTTATTTACACGGCGCGGCTTGTGCCGACATTTACAGTGAGCCCGCCGGCGGCGCGCGCGCATCGTCTGTCCTGACGCACGCGACACTACACTCCTTCCCAATCGAACTCGTAACAAACGTATTGTCTCAGTGATATGTACGACAATTGATGCTGTGCACTCCGCTCTCTTTCTATTCATTCCTTAACCATCGCATAGGTTATACATAAAGCAATATTTGGCATTAACTAATTAAATATCTTCCAAAGGCAATAATCAATCAATCTTCAAAGTCAATCTTCCTTCGGCTTTTAATATGCCTTGTAAGGGACTAATTATTTTGATTTTATAGTTATTGGCCCAAAACATCATAAAGTTAATTAGATTCACATTAAAACTATTAACATTATTATATTCGATTGGGTTTGAATCATCAACAAGGGACGACACGCCCCGGATTAGTTTCTAAACAATTAAATAGTTTCGACAGACGCTGCGCACGCGCCGGCACTCATTATTCTTACTAAATCTATAATTATAAAATAAAAATATCAGTGATTTAAAATGAATAATTCCGACTTACACAGGACTACGAATGGAATCTCTTACTAAAATGTACACAAGGTAAGTATACGTATTGAAGGTTCGATTTGATGAATTCCGAAACCGTTGCTTCTCGTGAATTATGAAATATCTTAATTTGAATTTAGTAAAAAGTCGCCAATTGTAGTCAAAGTCTTTGCCTCTGTAACGCGGCAACTTGCGTTGGTCCTTCGTCGAGCAACGTGTCAGGCTCACACTCTTCTAAATTCAGCTTGGTCTTTATTTTCATACCAATATGGTGTCATACCGCACGCAATTGGGACGATCCTCGCCGGGAGCATTATTTTAATTCTTCAGCGAATTTCTTTGCAAGCACATTCTAACGTAAACTCAGCAGTTTCAATAAGCAGGCTAATCAGCCCCCAGCCAGTTGGCCGTGTTCCGATTTGTACTCCCACTGAAACTGTTAGGTCAGAATGTGCTAGCGAAAAACGCAGGCCCGCTGGATGCTCGCGGGCATTCTAAAGGCGAATGTTCACGTCAAATACCATCCCCTAAAACAGCAAACTGCGAGCGTCCTACCTAACATTTTAGTTGCCTATCTACTCCAGCGATCACTGAAAACAAAGTTGCCTCGTCACACTGTCTCTCGCAGTTAACAAAACCTGCGTCGCGAAATGGAGCGTCCTCAACAAAATCCTTGACAATTGACAATCTGGTAACATTATATGGAATTAGTTCTTGCTGAAGACCCTCCACCTTGTCTGAGACAATTTAGAATTTTAAGCATTACCTCTACGTTTCCGAAAGCGAATCATCCTAGAAACAATTGGAGCTTGTAAACAGCGATGTTGAATTGTGAACAAGTGCAAATGCAAAAGGAATCTATGAATCTATTGCGTTTTCTTATAACAGACCATGTTTCGTTGTTCCAATAATTTGTACCGAGACATTTCTCGGTAGGTCCACTTGCTATTTTTGGTGAAATTTCAATGTTATTGATTCTAGGATCATTTGCGATTGGAAATCCTAAGCGTCAGTCCTACCACGTACCAGAACAACCGAGCTCAGGCTCAGAGGTGTTCTCTCTGAATTTTGCAAGTTAGCAAATTGACCCCCCTTACAAAGCGTACCGAAGGGTAAATTTGAGGCTCTCCTACAAAACGCCAGAGAGTGTCTGGCCGAGCGCGGGCATCCTGGCCGCTCCTCTGCCTCATTCCATAGAACTCCAAATTACAATTCATGAGTTATGGGACCCAGTTTTTGAATAAGAACAAATTCGTAAATTTTGTACTTAATTTAAGAATTGTTGGCCAATCATTGAACCTATGTTACATTAAACACTATAGGAGCTAGAATGGCTTCTCACCATTACACCTATTTATCTAATAATACTGGATGGATATTAAATATAATAAATTATCGCGAAAAATTCAGATTATTTCATAAGATCTCATCTTTTTGTAAGTATACTAGTCGAAAAGCTCTTAATATTATAAATCCTTATTTAATGTTATGTATTTGTAAGAGGATAATGTAATTATGTACCTAGAGAACTCGCTTCTTATATTACGTGATCGAATTTAATACGAATAGTGACAATATTTAATTTCAAACAATTATAAGCTCGTAGCGAATTTTAGCATAATCTGATTTATTGTAAGTTACCGTAATGACTGTGTGACGTAACAAAACATAGAGCACACGTACGGAGAACTCGGCTGGTGTCCGTTCAGTAGAAAAATACGTGAAGTTATTAAATAAATCAATATTTTATGGCGTTGTCATAATATTGAGAAACCCGAAACGTAGGTACGAAATGCAACGTATCACGATACATAGAAATTATCGTCGCTAAGTTAATTATGACGTTGATTTTGTGATTTATATTCAATATATGAACACGCTTCAACCTGGACGGAGAGGGGGCAAGTGAATAAGGGAAATTATAACTATAGTTTTATAAGATTTTAGTACTTGTTACAATGTCATAAGGCTGTGAAACCTTCACCCACTACGTAAGCGTAAAATGTAAAAGAGCCTGGACGCACCTACGGAAGCGGGCGCGGCGGGCGCGGGCGGCGCGGGCGCAGGCGACTCGTAACAAGTGCGCAGCGGCACGGACAAGCGGCGCAAGCCGAGGCAGGTCCCACGTCCAGCAGGTTTCAGAATTCATACAATCGCAACCGCAGCCTGACAGCTGACCGATCCAAGCAACATATATCTAAAACAAATTTAGATATACCACACACTGCTAAAAGTTTTGCGGATTATACCTAACTATAAATCTTAAACCAAATTGAATTTAATTTACAGATAAAATTACCGATTACAGTTGTTTCCTATACCGTATTTGAAATACGGTAGATATTCAAGTTTTTTAATAGTTAATATTTTTTCTGAAACGGACATTTTCAGACTTCTTAATAAATTTAAAATTTGCCAACTCGATCCTAACTACGAGATTGATATTACTCAAGTAAATAGAAAAACGTGATTTCCTCAGCGAAATCTATGTGGGTTTATCTATCTACAATAATAATTTTCATTATAATAAATTTTAATCAAGTAACAGAGTCCGACCTGGTTTTGTTGGAGCTACCTGAAAGGAGTCGAGCGAAGTGTCGAAACGGAATCGAACTGCGGACAACGGGCCCCTGGCATCCCGCCTGACTGCCCTGCGGTGTAACAACTAATAATACTGAGCGAAAATTATAATACGCCCTTAACGAACGCGGCGTAACTACAATTTTGGCCAACATGAGTAATTCAATAACTTCTAATTTGGATCTCATGTCTATGGTGTCAAGAGTCGACGGTCGACAGGGCATAGACAATCTATCAGCGATGGAAACACTCGCCAGTCGCGCGGGTCGCGGGCGGGCGGAGGCCGGCCGCTGCAAACCATAACAGGGAACCGATAATACCAGTGAGTGAGATAGACTGTAAAGACCAGTGCAACACAACACGACAAGATGTAATACGACATCGTAATGTAACATTCACCACAAAGTTATATACTTTAAAACTACGTGTAATATAGACACAAAATTCTATTGCCAGTTGATGACTTAGATGCTGTTGATGTTGCACTGTTGCTACAGCGCTCCGACGACATTCAACTGGATAACCATACAGAGAATATTATATCATCCACATACTGAGTACTACTATAACATATATATTGATTAAAAGTTGTTACGTGTAACACCTAAATCGCTGCAACAGCACCGGGTTCCATTGTTACGTATGTTTGTGATTCTTTCCGCTGTAAACCTGATGTGGTGCTCTCCGTGAGTCGGCTCGGAAGACGCGGTCGCCCGCCGCGCGCCCGCCAGCCGGACCCGTCGGGCAATAAGTATATCGATAGATTTAAGTCACTTCTAAATCTGACGTCATTGTATGCCGAGGTTGGTCCGATCAGAACGGGTGACACAGCGCTCTCAGAGGCGGTCAAGTCCCGCCCGGGCGGGCGCGCCGCGGACGACCGCGCGAGAGCCAGCCATCACTACCGACCACTTAGCAGGCGCCGCGTCTCATATCCATGATAAGACCAAATGCGGCTAAGCTGAAGCTAGTGACAGATCTGGCATTTCATACACCACCTATTTTATCAATTCCGAGTATAAATTCATTAGAATACCTAATTCACCGCTTCTGTCTTGATAATGGCCTCGTGAGCCGTGTAATACAGACTCAAGCAGACGCGGTGAGGGGGGCATCTTCAGAACCGTTTTGAAAATGAATGTCGAGATGGGTGATTCAGTCTAAGAATAAAAATTTGAATGCGAAAATAGGACACAGCAGTTTCGTAGGCCTCATTGAAGTTTTCGTTTTGTTTGACACAAGAAAAAAGTTTAAATATCATCTCATTACCCGCACCACATTCAAATAAACATACGTAACGTATTAATACATAATTATGTTTAACATTTACTGACATCGATCAATTTTTGAATTGTTAACACCTACTAATAATATTGTATATGATTTTTAAATGTGAAACGCCATTAAAAAGGAATGCTAGAAACGCTAGGCCGGGGGTAATTGACGCAGTTTGGCACGAGCACGAGTCTGCTTCGAGCGGCCGCGGCTGCGGGCGGGGCTGCGGCCGGCTCCCTCCCGGCCCTAACTCCCCATGGAATTGACGAGCGTGAATACCATAGCTCCAAAAGAACATCGCCCAGTAAAGGGGCAGCACTTACACTCTATCAGTATCTCTACACTACTCTAATCTATCATATAGGGCGTAAATATCATGTCTTTTCATCTAGATGTTTAATCGCTATGAAATGTGTAATAATGATATGATGAAAATTATTTGAATGTATCATCTACTACATCTATTACGTAATTATCATTAGAAATCAATTTCTACATGGTTATTTTTGGGTTGAGCTACATGTTGACATGGCGGAATTAAATAGCAATTCGATTATTTTTTACTGCCACGAAGGCTCGCGGCTGCCCTCGTTGCATCTATTGAATGTGTTAATAATACTAATGACAATGTGTGAGCTATTGCAGTAAGTAGAAACTTGGTCAATGTGTAGATCGATGCCGACAGTTGTAGTTCAACCCTCGAATAGCAACGGCGTACTCCAATCCCGTGCCGTGAAAACCTCTCTGGGCTGGAAATGCGGTGTTGTGTGCGAGTCAATACGCTTGAATAATTTCATACTTTTATGCAAAACTTGGGTGCAAAAATGTACTGTTTTTGAAGCCAAGAAGTTCCATGAATATCTCAAACTACATCTTGAAAAAGAGGTTTTTACGACAAAGCCTACTCAACCCTTCTTCCGTGATTCGCAAATGAACCCTGCTGCTACATACTTGATGCGTCCGTCGCTCAGCCGCTGGTCTAACTTATACATAACGTATATCAATTTACTTCTTACTGGATATGTTCAAAGGTAATATATTATAAGCTAACAATCGTAAACCTTGCAATAGCATGAATCTTTCACATCTGTAGCCTATCTCAGTACTGCCGCATGGCGGCCGACGCCTCACAACCTTCCTTTGTATCGTACTATTGAAATAACACCGATAAAACATTAGTAAATTAGACGATAAATATCCCCTTGGGGTGAACACTGAATCGTTACATCAGCTACGTACACTAGAACATTTAAACAACAGATTATTGTGGAGTGGAACCCGAGGCTGTTGCGCGAAACACGACGGGGGTACGAGGGGAGGGGGCATCGGGACGTGTCCCTTCTGCACGAACATCGGATCATCACAACATATAACATAAACAACTTATGGCTACGTTACGAGCGAGTCGCGGGCGACTCCCCGTGAGTGCGTGTCACCGAGACTGCATCGGGCGTAAACGAATTCTAAACGGATCACGTTCGAAACTAACTCCTGCGCAGCTGGTAAGAAGCTATACTCAAACTGTAACCTAGTGCAGGCGTACTACGCTCTGGATGGCAGCTCGGATGAGTGGGTGTCGGGGCCTGCTTAGGCCATCGGGCGACGCCGGGCGTCGAGTCAATTCGGGTGAGTCATGTCTGGGTACTGTATGTCCGTGAGGCGCGGGCGCGCTCGCTCCGCGGCCAGGCTGGCGATGACGCGCGAGCGCGCCCGCGCGGTGTGAAGCCGGCGTGCGGCGCGTGCGCCTTCCACCCGACTAACTATCTATTTACAAACTACTAAGTGGCAAGCATCAAGCGACACTCGATTACGTCCCCCACGAACGGAACGAGAACTATAGGCCTATTTTGATTGTCTTGAAGAATCATCCCTAATATTACACGTGTGTCGAAATGTAGAAAGTGTATGAAGCGGTAGGTAAGCTGGTTATTTCTATTTACAATGGTGCGCCGCGGGTGCGGCGTTCGCGCTCAGTACAAGCTTATTAAAAAGAAGTTTTATAGTTATCGTAAACACTTCGTCTCTAATTACTAACTAACGGGTCGCTGGTTTCGCTCGAGGTGAGCACCTATTAACAGTTCAGAGGTGGTCACTCATGGTGGTGCGTTGAGCGCTGCAGCGGGGTCGGGGGTGCAGGCGGGGTGGCGGGGGCGGGGGAGGCGGCGCGTCACACGTGGCAGGGGGGCGGGGAGCGCGCGGGCAGCCGGCCGCGCCACACTGCGTGCGCGCCCTCGCACCGCCTCGCCTTGTCTGGAACACACCGCACGCGCAAGTCACACACTGCTCTCAACGCTGCGCCAACATTGAACACACGTTAACATTCAACACAATATCAACATTCAGTTTCACTATAAAACTACCAATACAATACATTTCAGAAACTCGAGGTCACACAAAAAGCCGCTGAGTCTGCGTTCAGCACTGCGCTTGTTCATAAATGTAGCTGTTCTAATAGCGTTGTTTTAGAGTGCAAACTTCACGACTCTTTGTGTGACTTTCAAATTAAATAAGAGTATATTTTGAAGCCTAATCCCATAGAGGAAACAGGAAATTCGTTAGAATTACTGGAAGAGTTTCTTCAGATTTCACATGTAGCTTCGATGGTGTTTCGACTAAGATTCCACATAAACATAGGCCATCTAATTGTACCTACAGTGCAGACAAAGGTAAGAGCGCAGGGTTGAGAAGCCATGCTGACATATAACATATATTACGCGGACAAACAACCCGGCTCGCGGCACGTCGTTAGGTACACGGTTCTTACTCTTGTCTACCAACACAAACGGTACACATTTAATGATAGGTAGAGCTTCTTACCTAGATCCTATCAAAGTCTTCACTTGTTTTTAAAGTCTACATTCACAAAAATCAAAAGTGAATTTGATATTACTAATGAATCTCGAAACACAAACGGTTTCATGAATAATACATTTCAGATGATGAAGATGACCATGGGTAAGTAGCTCTTAAAAGTGAACATCATGTCAAATGCTGCAGATGGGACTACAAAAGTTGGTCGCGGTAGAGACTTGATTATTTTCGTATGAAAGCATTTTGCTGATATTGAACACATACTTTATTAACAAACTTATTTAATAGTTCACTTGAAATGATGATCAAATAGGAAAGGCCCTTTATTTCTGCGGCATTTTATAGTCGTGTCGTAAAATTTTGAAGGTGCGTTAGCTGAGATGCAAGCTACGCAGTGCAGTGACAATCAAACAGGTAGGTGTAGTTCGAACGCCATGGGTTGAACCCATGATATGAAATTCGAATCTCAATTCAAACTCGTGGCTGGAATCCAACCTGAGATTGGTTGGCTTTGAGTAATACAGGCTTGAGTCTACACTTGAATGTAAGAATGATACTTGAATCATAATCATATACGGGCTCTAGCTTTTTCCTGCACTGCGGCCCTGCGTCTCAGCTGCGCAATCTGACAGTGCGACAGGTTTTTAATGGTGATTACATTTTTTTGTGTGATTTTGCTCCTTGGGTGAGAACAATATTATGGGGTATGTATTTGAAAGTATCATGTAAACAATTTTTCTTGTCACTTTATGGCCAATTTAACCACAAACTGTCGCACGTACTTAAATTTTCTGCCAATTCTTCATGTTAAGTCAAGTCAGTGCTGTTGATAAAGAGTACCAACCTCACAGGAATGGAACTATTACCTACATATTCTCTTTAGCTTTGTATTTGAGTTACATACTATCAATAACCGTTCAGTCATATTATTGTTATTTGGAAAAAAAATATAATTACAAAAATCTTGTTTAGGAATAGTTCCATTCTTTAATAATGGTTACATTTTTGTGTAATTTTAACAAAATACTAACTAAATAGTGTTAATAATACACAGTTACAATTTTAATACACATAGATAGTATACATAGAACATTTCAGGTTGACAGCGACGTCACAAAGTTGGCATGCCACAAGTAGTTGGAAGTAGCGCCATTGCTGGACCTCGCGGCCGACGCAACTAAAGCGGCACTAGGGAAGAGGAAGAACGGAGGACAGTGGAGAATTCCGAAAGCCCTTGTTTCAATCGAGAAATTTTGACGGTCCGCCAGGACCGGCGGCCTCTGGCGGCACCGGTAGCCAATCGGGTGAGGTTTCAGAATTTTGTTTTAGGCATTTTGGATTCTTGCATGCAGATTGTCATTAAATTCGACTTACGATTTAATACTGATGGAGCTCAAAGGAGCCTGAAGAACGAAAAAATGTATTAATACGGGGCCAATAACGCGTGGCAGTGTGTGCGGTGTTTTGGTCGGGCGTAGGGCGGGCGGCGGGGCGGGCGGGGCTGCGGCCACGAGGCGGCCGGTTCCCGCGCATCGATTCCGCGGGCGCGCGGCCGCGTGCTGCGAGCACGTGGGGCGGCGTGACGTCACGGGCGCGCGCTGCCGCAGCGGGTATCGATCCCGGGCCCGCATTCATTCAAGCTGCCGTCGAAGGGCGGCCGCTGCACCGATGCGCCATGTGTGCCGTGAATGGTGCCCATTCACTGCAGCCGCAAGTTTGCATGTCGAACGCTTTCACGTTATGTACACACGCGGGATGAAAAAGCGGAAATTATTTAGCGCTCAAAGCGAGACGATTTAGTTGGCAACCCTGTTTTCTTGTGCGTCTGATGTTTCAGCTGACTTCAATAACGGGGGAGGTTCAAAATTAGGCGGTTACTATTGTAATTTTACGTGATAATTCTGACTCTACATAGGCAAAAACTTTTTACAGGGCAGATAATTCACTTTATTTTGTCTTTCACACAATAAACTTAATTTTGACAGATCCTAAAATCCCCCATAAATAAAAACTATAATTGTCGTTGTCTTCGTTCATCCTTTCCAGATTCCATAACTGTATGGCTTCAGTAAACAAGAACGGCAATAATTTTCGTAAGAACAATCCCATCCGTAATTTCCGCGCACACACGCGTTAAACCGAACGGCAGCAATAAAGCGCGGTGGAGGAAATGCGATCATTTCGTCAATTAATTCTGAATAATTTTGCAACTCGTCGCTTCCGTGAATAAATCTGATGGGTTTTCGCTCAAGCTCAGCTCAGCTTTAACTCCATGGATTTTTTTTGTCATAGAACATCGTCAACAACCAGATGATCTTTCAGGATGTTTTCCTTCATAAGCAATTGATGCAAATATACTGTTGACTCCATCTGTTCCATTTCTAGTTACGAGTTTCTTTATAGCAGTTTTCTATTATGTCTATAACATACTCCAAGATCTCCGAGCAGCAAATTTTCGCACAAAGGACAAACGGTTCCGTCGCGATAGAGTGTGTTATGTTTGTGACAATGAAAGCGAGCCCCGGGTCGGCGCTGCGGTCCTGTTTGGTTAGGTCAATCCATTATTTTATGTGGGTCAAACGCCCCGCGATCCTTTCTTCCCATCGGGAAACAATTATAGCTTTTGCTCGCGTCGTGTTATTACGGTCTTTACAATCATAAAATCCTTTATGTGATGATATAATTTATAAGGTAACAGTTCAGCTTTTAGGGCGATGTTACTAATTACATATTCAGAAGTTATTGCTTTTGTTTCGTCTAATTACGATATAAACCAAAACTTTTTCAGTTAGGTTTGAAGCGTTGATTTCACAGTATTTAAATGCTAAGCCGTATTGGTTTCTGATTGAGCAGCCCTTAGCTTGTGTGTGACGAGGTGTTTTGTAAAGATCTAGATGAATTCGATACACTTCCTTCTTTCCTCCCGATCACATGCAGGCTATAAAACCTCAGTTATCGTCTGTTTCCACCATGCGAATCATCCCGTTCTTAGAAAAACAAAATCTGGTCCATTCCATTTTATTTGTTTGCTTGTTGGTTTAAACATTTAATGTCTTCATTATTTTCGGTCTGTAGGATGATGCGTGCCAACAAAACCAATCACACAGATGATTAATGGTCACTCTTTTACATTCCATTGTAATACAGCTAGTTTTATTGTTATTTACAATGTGATGGAAAAGAGAATATTTCAGAATCTCTAGCATGCCATATCAGCTCTGTGTCATGTCAAGGTTTTTCCTCGTGTAGCGACGGGTCTCCACCTTATAATCTTTGTTAATGTTCGCATTGTGGTTTCAATAGTAATATACGAATGTTAATTCACAATCTCCGCTGCCTTTGGCTCTCAGCAGCCACCGTGTACAGAGCGTACAGCGGAAGTGGTTATTGTTCTATAGCGGCTGTAATGGAAAACTGGTGCTATCTGCAATCTCGCAATGGTTTTCCCCCTACGCACGTCACTTCCGCAGACGTGGGCGTAATATCCGCTGCGTCTCTATTATGGGCAGGGTTCCGTACGATGTCTCATTTGATTTCTGTATTAATGTTCCTCTTTTGGATTACAGTTATATTTCAGCTGGTATTTTTGTCCGTAATTATTTTGATTCTATGTAGGATTGTAGGCTGACATACTTTTTGCAAACTGTTATAGCGCGATTCCTTTGTAACTAAAAATTTAATTTTACGCTTAAGTGAATAATTGGACTCAAAGAGAAAATTTATGCAGCTGTTATATTTATGGGTTGCCAATAAAAGCTTAAGCTATTTTTGTGTTTAAGCTATATTTTTCGATAAATAAAAGAAAAAAATCGTTACTTTTTCAGTTTTGGCAGTTTCTTTTACGTAAACTTTAACATCCTAATTAAAGTAAGTATGTTAACTTTTTTGACAATGCAATTTCGGGGACAGGAGAATGTTATTTCTGTTAATCCGCTGCCGCCCATGACAGCAGTCCGCCCGCCCGGACCCGGCGTTCCTGGAACGTCGCGAGGTCACCAGCCGGCCTATTTACAACTCGCTCCGCGTGTGACCCGCTATTCCAGGAACATTCAAATTAGCTCCATTACCTTCCAAGGCAGCTATTGAGTCTCAGCATCCGAACCCGGTCAAGTTCAGTAACGGAGCTAATTTCGGTGGAATGTTCGTTGACGTTTATAGGGCACTGCATTCGCGGCGGAAACGCGCAGTAAACGCTCCAGCCACATCCTTTCTACGGGTTTATGGTTTATATTTTTTGTTTTCAGGTCGTTCGATTACTTAATTAATTGGCAAATTGACAAAGCGACCATTACTGTTGCCCGTTTAATTATAGGGACTGGCAATAATTATGTTTCCGCCGCGAATGTTGTAAGAACTACAAGTTACAGACTTGAAAGATGGCGTAACTATTTCAGATTTCGCTGTGTTGATATCGTCTAGATGGAACAAATCGTTTTCAAAAATATTTGTAAGTCTGTAAAGGGTAATTCCATGATATTTAGAACTGATAATCAATGCATTCGGAATGGTTTGATTATGGTTCATGAAAACTGATATATTTAGGTATGGTTGACAATTTGTCTGTCTATGGAACTGCTACTTAATATTTTAGGAACTGCTACTTATATTAATTTAGGTATTTTTTTCTATGCCAATTATAGTAAGTCGGTGTCGGTTTGTCGAGTCTTCCAACGTCCTTGAGGGTTGTAGCAGCTCCTTTTTCCTTTGGAAGTGTACCTACATATTATATTTAACTGACCATCGGGTATGGTTGCCATCATCTAACTTTGAATAACTTAAGCACAAAGTTAAGAGTGTCCCTCTGGCAGGGAGCATAAATCCAAGGAACGATTTTGGATGGCAGCCCTACCTAACCTGTAGTCCGAGTGTAAGTTACTGAAACTGAAATGGTAATCGTTATAATGACACAGTTATGGTTGTTGTGCATGATATAAAGTAGTAGTAAAATAGTGGAATAACCTACACTCGGGACACTTCGGCTTCTAATGGTCATATTTTATTATAGTAGAGACTTTTAAGGGGTCATTTCGCTCATAATATTATCATATTATCAGCAGTAGGTTGTTTCAGTGTAGGTAGATGTATAATTTTACAATTTTAATACTAGAGTCAGTCTGAATGGAGATCATCCGACAAGTACAAGTATTATGTGACCAAGTGGAGATTTAAAATTGATATCTTAAGGAAACAAACGCGTATCCCTTAAAAGGATCTCTGCTACAATCCTATCTTTTTAATAAGTCGGCGCCTGAGGTAAGAGGAGCTTGAGGAGTGGCGCGATAACATGCCGCGTGTCCTATCACTCTGGACGGAATCTGAATTTTAAAATCCCCTGCTTTATTTTACCTCCGACACCTACTCTATCAGATCCACTTGTTTCTTTCATCTAGAATTAGCATCATCTTGGATAAAATTATTAATAAATTCTTGCAAGAAAGGAGATTATATCAAGGTTTTGATAAGACTTTTATAATTTAAACAATTTTTTACTTTGAATTTAATTTTAAGGATTTGAAAGGTAAATGGTAACTTTGAAAGGCAAACATTAATAATTCTAGATCAATAAACAAGCGAACATAAGGCTAGAGACTCACAGACGAGATGGTACGGCAACAGATTTAAAAGTGAAGAATAGCAACTGACCTCACCGCACATTTTTATACGTTTATCATTTTAGCAAAATTTCTTTACAAAACTTGTCAATATGTTAAACATAGCAAGCTTTGGTTTTGCAAGCCATAAAAATGTAACTAAAAAGTCAAGTTACTTTAAGTAAAGTCCGTTGCAGTGTCGTCCAATCAATGAGCGCCCGGCCTATGAGCTTACACATCTAGACCTATAAACTATTCCATATCCCACCTACCTATTGGTCAGACATCTGTCTCGATGGCTTCTGCGGCATGCAGGTTGTTGACGCGCACGGTGCAGGCGGCGCGGCGGCGCGGCCCGTCGCGGCGTCCGGCGTAGTGGCCGTGGCCGTGGCTGTGGCCGTGGCCGTGGCCGTGGCCGTGCGACGCGCCCTCCTGCGTCAGCTGCTGCTGGTAGCGGGCGATGCGCTGCGCCTGCAGGTTCTGCTGGCGGTGCAGCTCTTGTTGCTGCAGCTAGGGGAGAACGGGTTTTGAGTGGCTGGGCTTTTAAGTTATGGTTGGTATATGCAGAGTAAATACAAATGAGTAGGTCATCTTCATAGAAACGCCCGAGCGCGGTTTGTATGTGAGCGCGCCAATACGTATGCGGCGCGCACGCACACTCTGACAAAATTTAGCGGGGATTAGCGGTGAGGTGCGCTGAATTTTGTCAGTGTGTGGTGGTGTGTGCGTGCGCGCCTCATACGTATTGGCGCGCGCTCACATACAAACCGCGCTCGGTGCGTTTCTATCAAGATGACCTACTCATTTGTATTTACTCTGGTATATGCTCTCGAAGGATATAGGTACTTTCACCTTTTTACGGTGTCTTGTTCATGGTACTTGATTGTGTTGTGACTTTAGGTTTAAGTGAAACTTAGGATCTCATCGGAGTTATTTTTTTTTAACGTAATTAATCAAATATTTACCTAACATACTCAGTATCAAGGTATCAGACATTACATGTATGTCTTATTTCACTAATGTAATTTTTGAGAAACGAGTATATGATTCAGTAAGTGAACTGAGAGGCCGGTGACATAATATTGAACCTTGAGAAACTGATTAAGAGAGAGATTCTCTTCAAGGGTGAGAGTCTAGGGAGAAATCGTAGAGATTGCACTTACTTGACATATACAATGTTCCGCATGATCAGTAGATCATCATCGATTCTTGTAAATGCGGCCTCTACAATCGAGGGCAGTCTTGCATTTGTTGTCTCTGATCTTCTTGTATAGCATTCCATAGACATCAAGCAAAGTATCACAAGTGGATCAGTTGCGTTCGCATACATACCTGGTTGAGGCGCAGAGCATCCTGGGTTTCCAGAGCGGCGATGTCATCAGAGTTGCCGGCTTCCATGGTGGCCTGTTGTTCCAGGAGAAGGCGCTCCTCCTCCTGCAGCCGCCTCAGGTTGGACTCCAGATGCGGATCAGTCACCAGAGCGCTCTCGTCCAGCTCCATCATGTCAGATGACGAATCCTCACTCATCGAAGATGACTTCTTCACGATCGGCCCTGAAACTATACGCAAACGCTGTTTTCTGTCTTGCTATATGTGTTGATGTCAAACATCAAGTTACATGTTAGCCACACGTTTTGTTAGTTTTAACTATTGTTTGCTAGTCTGTTTAAGATTTAGCTACTGTACAGGTTAGTTTCTAGGTGTAACCTGCCTAGCTATTAAGCAAAGATGATGATTTTTAGTAGTTAATTAGTATTAGTAATAGCTACGTCTTTGCAAGAAAATGTAGAATTTTCAATGTATTGCTTTGCTAATCATGAATGTAAATAACCTGGATGGTCCGAATCACAACGATTGCCTTGGTTGCGGCATCAAATGTAACGAGAATCAAATTTCAATGAACATGAACACATATGCTATTCATTGTTCAGTCTCTAAAGTGTTGGGTGTACTTTACTTTATTCACAGTTTGAGAGTAGGTAAGCAATTGTCCTTTTTAAAGTATGAATAAATAGCCTTACGTAACACCATGTGATCAAACCATGCGTTATAAACATTCCACCCTTCACGAGTTAGAGCTCGCGCCAGTCACGACACATTTATGTCCATGTTTTCACGAGAGCATAAGCTCGTTTTGACGGTAGAGCGTGATTATTTGTGAACATTGTTGTATAGAGTGGTTTACGTAAACCACTGCGGAGCGAGCCAAAACTGGGGGTCTATTCCGTACGACAATGCCTGTAATTTCAGATCCATCTCTTTCACTCATACCGCGAAGTCTTCATGAGCGAAAGTGACGAATAGAGTAGAAAGTACTGGAATCGGTTGCGGAGTAGGCCCGATGAGTTGGCTCGGGCCCTTGTGACGTCGCCCTGTCTGCGAGTGTGACGACACACCAGACGTTGACGTCACGAGAAAGCCGGGGATTAGCGGGAGTCAGACAATTGTGACGTGTTGATATTCAGGGAAGGCATATACCGAAAGTTTGGGAAGGAAATATGAATAACATTCAATATTCGCGTCTAAACATGAATAGCTGAAAGTTATCATTAGTCAAACTCGTATTTCATTGATCTAAACAGAAAAACCAAAGCAAAAGAGCACTGCGCTAACGTCACGCGCGAAAGTACGAAGATTGCCGCAGCGCGCAGCAGGCAGGCAGATCTACACGGGTTGACTATAATCGTCCGCCACAATGCGCTATCTAGACGTTTATTTAGCTCGTAAAGGACGCCAGAAACTAGGCCAGGGGACTGCACTACATTCGGATATGCATACCTAATATTCAAGCGGTTGCTTAATATCAGAAAACGAACAAAACATTAGGACTAGCTTATTTAAAAAACGAATACCAGATTCTTTAATTCACGTTAATTAAAATTATATTAAAATTAAAAATGATCTTATTTAATGTACATTATTAACAATGCTATTATAATATTGTTTCGATGGCGGTTCTCTCCATCTCTACGAAGCTCCAAAGCTTTTAAGTTCCGACTATCAGATCTACGAGTACATAACATATGTTTAACCATCTATGCTATTCGGTTGCTTATCGCAAATCTTTGCCGAATCTAGCCCAGCTTATTTGAATAATACATTAGCCGGCTAAAATGGGGAGAGCATTAAGAATACATAAGCGGCTGTCCCTGTCAACTGTTTGTGTCCAATTCGGCGGAACATTTTCACGGATAAAAGGCAAAAATTCCAAGAATAATAAACGGAATTAGCGGGATGAGTCTGTCTGTGGATTTAGGACGTCTAAGGTCTAAAATAGAAGACACGAGTACCTTGGATCGTGTATTTGTAGACTGGATAATATCATGAAGTAATTAATGAAGTGATCTCTGAATACGTACAGTCAGCGTCAAATAGTTCGTGACATCCAAAGTGGTCAAAAAGTTGACCTCACAAACTTATTCCAAATATAACAAATACGTGTTGCGAATTTTTTCGCTATTTAGGATGGCATGAACTATTTGACGCTGACTGTACTTGGGTAATGTATACTTATTAGGAATTATGTTTTCATAGGGGCCACTTAAAAATTAGGGATTGATGGTGAAAACGGGCATAACACTACCAAAGAAGTTATGGATTGTATGGTAAACTCTTAGATTAATAAAACCTAGATAGATACTTAGTCAGTGCACGAAAGGTGAGGCAGATTTTAGTAAGCCAGAATGGCTTACTCGTAAACGTCACATGAACTGTCAAAGTGAAAAATTGGTAAACACGTCCGACGACTTTTAATTAATTAAGACGGTTTGTGCTGTGAAAGGGTGTCTAAATACATCAGAAAAACTAAAGAAAGTGACCAGTGTTACATTTCATAAGTAAGTACTACGATTCGACGCGTATTTTGCTTGAATTTGGCTTTCAAAAATTAAATACGGGAATGATACCAGTAACAAGAAAATTTATTTCCCAATTGTTCGCCGTACAAATACACTTCCTTTTTTATGAAATCGAGACTTTTCAGTCGATTTATCTTATTGTAATTAAGTAGGTACTTTGAATTCAATAAATAAGTAAGTATATGATGCGTTTTGTTTTTGTTAGTTACAAAATAATTAAAAACGTATTAAAAATTTCCCTACTTTCGGGAAAATCGCCTTCACTGTCTACACTCCCCAACAAAATTGACACTAATGACATAAGATTTTTGCCTCACTCTTGACGAAGCGTTTGTATGAAGACTATCCATCTAGGTTTTATTAATCTAAGGGTAAACTACAATTTCCTACAGGATCGCATCCAAGGGGAAATATCGGAAACGGTATGGAATAAACGCTGTAACATGTTTCCTCTGAAAGCTTTTGCAAACAGCCGGTGTGGGTGCAACGTAAAGTTTCCATTTTCCGGTTAGAGCCGGAAGCCTAGGCTTTACTCTCATACCCTCAATTCTCAATCAATTGCCGACGTAATCTCGGCCGTTAGGTTGACTCTCAAGTCACGTCAATTTCTAGACTTTACGTTAACTTTCATTAAAAATCTTGGAATTAATTATGCCTTTTATGCATATTAAAGCAACGAAATAATTAGTAGTCACTAAAGAATAACTTGCAATTTTGCTTGCGTTGTAGAGTTTTGATTTCTATAATTTCTTCCTTAAAAAGTTAATGAGTAGCTTACGAATCGAATTGATATCAAGGCGATATGTACGAGTCGTCAAAGCTAATATCATTGTCAATTCTTATCGTAGTTATTAAACGCTTTTCCTGCATTCGACAGGAGGCGCACGAGTGGGCAGGATCACGTTTTATCGAAAGATGAAACGAGGCGAGCTTTCCTCCCCCTCCCTTCTACACGTGTAAGGATCGCATTGTTATTTCCCTCCCTCCCAGGGAAAGCGTTTAAAGTATAACGAGAGGGAACAAACATAACTTGCAACAATTTCTTGGAAACGTTTCTCTTATCGGTCGACGATTGGAGAGCGGACGTGTAACGTGTTTACTGCTGACATCTGTAAAACTGCAAGACTCAAGATTTTTTATTCATTATATTTATCTATCACGAAAGTATCATCTTTAAATATAAAACTGAAAGGCCTGACTCACTCATCACGAAATCTTAGAAACTACAAGTGCTAGGAGTCTCAAATTTTGCATGGGGTTCCTTTTAGAACACAGGTGCTCACTAAGCCGGGATTTTGCAAAAATCAACCCCTAAGCGGGTAAGACGGGGTCTACGCATAGGTACGAAGTCGCGGGCGGCCGCTAGTCTATATTACATTTACGTTTATATTTCACACATGTTACAACAGTTTCTTTAAGTAAGTATGTTCTATATTTTTGTTTAATATCCCAAAAACAGAAACTGATACAACGAAAAAGTAACTAAGTTTGTTTTATTTCAATGCTTGCCGTTTAACGTTGGTTAATAACAAACTAAGTAGTAAGAAGAAACTAAGTAGGTAGTAAGAACTTTAATATTTCACATTACAATGCTTCGAACAATAAAGTTTTATGAAGCAGCTCGGTTATAAACTTTGAAACATTCGTTTCATTGTTTTTAAAGTTTGTGTTGTAGTTACATAATGCGAACTGAAAGAGTGGAAAATCTTCATGACGTTATTGCAACATTTTATTGTGATTTATTTTATCTTAATCCTGGCTAACTTATGTTTCGTACCTACTGGAATTTCGGTAGTTAATTCCAACACACAAACATCCACTAATGGGCATTAGCATTCCTTTAATGGGTTGCGAATTAATTTTAAGTTTCGTCCAGTATCAGTTTAATTTGAGATCATACTATCATCTACAAACAAACCTTACTACAATAAATCTTTCAATACCTACTTTGTCTGAGTATTTAAAGTGTGTCCCCTTAAACTTGAATAAGTACCTATTCGATTTATTTATACCGACTAAAATATTGTTGAATTTTAATAGAATGCCGATGCAAAATTTTCCCCGACAACGTCACAAACTGGATCCAGCGAATTAATCCAAATTTTGAAATACTCCGATACTGAGCAGCTGGCTGGGTGCCACAGTTACTTGTGATTTATCAGTTAATTGTAGCGTAAACTGCCGAGATTTATGGCTGCTGGGGACACATTCCGATCACGAACTGGATAATCTTATAGAGCTACTAGCGGGCGCCCGCAACTTCGTACGCGTGGATCCTGTTTTACCGCCGTAGGGGTTGAATTTTGCAAAATCCCGTCTTAGTGAGCTCCTACGTTCTAAAAGGAACCCCCATGCAAAATTTGAGAGTACTTGTACATTTCTGAGATTTCGTGATGAGTGAGTCAGTCAATCAGTGACCTTTCGCTTTTAATATATGTAGATTGAAGTGTGTTTATACGGAAGATTAAACTTCTACCTAATTGGTCTACCAGGCGTCACGGGCAATATGAAACAATGCAGATCTCTATTGGAATATGAATGAAGATGAATTGTTTTCGCTTGCTATAAAAAATTCCCTAGAATACATTTGACTAGACTAGTATATTAGATGTCGGTACATATTGCTTCGAAAGCTTTTCTTAATGTTAAAACATAAAAACTTTTAACTTTGAGTAGCTAGTGCATTAATTGTTTCCTAAAACATCTCTACAATCCAATATTTTAACTCAGCAAATATTATAACCCTGCTTCTGCAGTATCAATGCTAACATTTGAACATTTCAAGCAACACGGAGAGGCTCTCATTTGCCATTCAAAGTTTAACCGTGCCCTGCAACATTGCCGTATTAATAAGTTTGACTTTCAGATTGGCCGGTTTAGTTTCGAGGACTCAAGACAAACCGCACTGTTAAATTAGTATAGTTCGTGCTGGTTCAGCAAGTACACTTGGAACAAGAAATTGGGTCACAGGCTCGAACTTTACACTAGTATTTATATTTACCATAGAAAGTGTACGTTTACGTTTCTTGGCGTCTACATTTTTACACGCTTATGTGTTACGTAACTTGAAGTAACTGAGTAGAAGTTTGGGTACATGGAAAGGAACCGATGGAGTAGAAACTACTTAAGTAAAACTTTTAAGAATCAATATCGTTGACGGAGATAAGCTTAGAGCATAAACGGGTTGCAAGTTTGCAAAATGCAGTCAGACTAGTTGGCTGACGGCTATCGCTGAATAAATTGAGCAGGTATGATAGAATTGTTCTGTTTTACGCGTAGGCAGAAGACTTCAGTTCTGTCACTAAACCAAGATAGCGAAACGAAGAAACACTAATCATCTCGCGCTTTTCTACATAGAAACGCGTGGCAATCAGGTTATTTTCTGTATGAATCTGTTGGTATAGGCAGCTGTTTCAGCTTCACGAATGCTAAGTCGACGCAAAGAAATGTATAAAAGGGTGGTCATAATATGCTACGGGTGAAAAAAATAAGTAAAGTTAATGCTTTACTTACAATTTTGAGCTAACCGATAACTAAAATTGCTAGCCCGTTCATCACCAATTTACTCGATCGTCGTCGATGCAGGTCAGGTTTATATAATTTCCAATTACCTACCTCGGAGGTAACAAGATATCCAATCAACGTGGGAGGTTTAGCCTGGATAGCCTATTGATTTGCTCCGTCTAAGCTAGATTGAGTTTCCATTTTACATGGCCGGTTTAAGATGGGGAATGGGGCTAAATTGATATTTTATTGTGCTTTGTTCAGGCTGAAATATTTTACAAGTGGTTATGTTTGTGGTTAAGTGTTGGAATAAAATTAAATACTTATTTATATTAGACCCGAGGAAAGTGACAATGTGCATAGACTTTTTTTAAATATTTAACTAAATTACAATCGCGATAAGTAAACTCATCTTGATAAAATGCCTGAATCTTATAGGTATAGCTGACAAAATCCATTAAGTTATAAATATTATAAGATATAGGACTCAGGTCCACTTTTTTTAAATCCTCAACGGGGAAGCTCTTGGCCTGTATCTCACTTGATGGTAAGTGACGATCAGGCCGAAGGTGGAAGCGAGCTTCACCCGGAATCCTCAACTACAGAGGAACTGGCTATCTTACCTCTAACTGCCGAAACACAACAATGCCGTTAACATTATTGTTATGGCGACAACCTTAGGTAAGATGGTGGTAGCTAGCCAGGTGGACTTAGAACAAGCCCTACCACCAACCTGCATCATTTAAAAACGATCTATGGGAAAAAGACTATTTTTATTTATGCGCGTAGAAGATTAGGTAGCCTTAATTACGTTCGTCCGCAATGATCATATTTTATTAAAAAGGACTGTTAACTGGCTACCGATTTTTACCGGATGGGTTATAGTGGGAACGAGCTTTTGGTCTCACGGTCTCCGCTGTCGTTGCCGCTAAGCCTCAGTGAATTCAGAAACTATACCAACTTGTAGAGAAACTAGAGATGGAATCATGATACAGTTCTAATTTATCGACGCGCAATGCAGATATTATGTAATGTAAGTATAATGTAAACTTAAGAATATAGCCTACATTTCTATTGCAAAATGGCACTCATCAGTTACAACTACAGAATGTTTGATATGCAGGTTAATTACATTATTTAAGAATTAGATTGTAGTTATAATTATCCTTGCCTTCAACGCCAGTCAAACAACTCAAATATATTCTATTTAACACGTTCGTAGTCTCATTTCAGCAACAAATTAGTATAGATTATGCGGCAGAGGCGATGGTTAATTAATTTTTCATTAATAGGCAGCATGTGCAATCAATGGGCGTCATCCGACGTTTAATTAATATGCAATCAATCAGCGGCGCACGTCTAATTATAACGAGAAGGGATGGCAGAGTTAAGCACGTGTGGCCTGAAGTAGACAGATTTCAGTATGTTGTTTATTTCAGAACCGTCGTAATGTAGACATTTTTCAGCAAATACAATTCAGATTCCTGATTAGACTTCTTGATTTCTAAAGTTATTTACTTTGGTACGTACTAAATGGTGTACATAATTAAAAGATGTTTAGTTCTAATATTAATTTAAATCTCAGTTAATAATAAGCAATTACGTAACTAACAAATGGATATGGAATCTAAAAAGTAGCCTCACAAAATATCTTACCAACCTACTATGAACGTACTGTAATAAAACCAATACACGTACAGAAAGAAACTTTTACCGATACATAGGAAATAACTAATACCGAGAACTCGTACGAATATAATACGTACCGAGCATTCCAATAGTGCAGCCGGCGAAGGTTAAAACAAAGGACGGTATGCAATAGCTGCATCCGGCCCACGAAAGCTCCTGCCGCCGCGCCCCGCATTCCCGGAGCTTTCAGAGCTTATCGAGCTTTCAATTTCCGGTCGAACTGTTCCCGGTAATTTTACTTCTACAGTTGAGAGTTATGCGCGGAATTTGTATCCCAGTTTATATTAGAGCTAGTTCCGCTACCAGTTTCGAACTAAATTAACTACTGTCACTTTATTAACTGATATGTGTACTGTGTGTTTTTGATAACATAAATAGGTTAATTAAACAAAACAGTTTGTGTAAAACTAAAGTTGAAATAAAATGTGAAACAAGCAAACATGTAAAAAAATAATGTAATAAAAACTAAAACTTACTTCCAATATCCACGTGACACAACGGTGCATAATATTGCTAAAAATAAAACGTATAATTATAAATGCAACTCAACAAACAGTCCAGTCAAGAGGTGTTCGCCATTATTGGAACGTGGATTCAGGTTAATTAACCGCAGTTTAACGGACCATCGCAAATTGGACTTGCAGTGTCATTCAGACACTGTGATTTGTCACTGAATAATTTAACTGAGCCAAAATTAGTGTTGAAACTAATGGAAATTGCATCACTAGTTAGCCACTAACTTAGAATGACTGAATTTGTGACTAACTCAAACTGATAAGGATGTTTTCAACATTTTATGTATCATGAAATGTGTCCGTAAATCTAACAATTACGGAAACGAGTGAAACTGCGACTTTCTGTCTGGATGTGTCTAATATTTACTAATTTCAAAACCGTCTCCACCCACCGAGACTATAAAACACTGCCACTCAAACATATCTAAAAGTAATAGATAACAATTTATTTTATCTTTACATCACTTAAACTAATATTTACATAAGCACGTTGCACTTTGTCTCTTACTCTTAATATCACAAACATCGTCTCTGCCGACTAGTAGTCCTTACTACAAACAAAACAACACTATGTATAGTCATTGGTCACTGTAGACGTCGTCCTTCTCATCGTCCTTTCCACCTGAAAGTACCGAAAATCAACATAAAGGAACAAAATAAAAGGAAAACTCAAAGCGTGCAATTAAAAAGTGTTCGAAGCATAATCGCATGCGACATCGATTCGAAAAATATCAAATAAAAAGACGATAGGTACAATTAAAAAAGGAATGAATACGACTACATTTTCGTTTGCATTGTTTCACGATGATGGAGTGTGATGATGTCAGATTATAAGTAGCACTTACTCAGGTAGGGCTCGCCCATCGTGCCAGGAAGGTAAGGGCAGCTGGTGACGTGGTTGAAGTTCTGTGACTGCATTTCCTCTTGGTCGGTCTCGCGGTGGTAGAAGTAATTGAAGTTGGATACGATGACGGGCACGGGGAGCGCGATGGTGAGCACGCCGGCGATGGCGCACAGCGAACCCACAATCTTGCCCCACACTCCCACCGGTCTACACAGAAAACATACTGTCAGTAACCCACACAAAGGTCCCAAACAAAACGACAAAACTAATTGTTGTTAACAAACAAATGATGGTGATATGAACATGCGTTAAAAATACCCAAAACGAGATAACTACTAACAAAATGGACGTGTTTGGATGTAAAGAACACAACTAAACGGAACGAAAGTAACGACAAACAAAAATCCTATTCGGGAATCCTGTAATGTGCAATAAGGCAAGGTTTTATATCTTTCAGACCATTCGCTTTGCAGTAGAGAGAAGAACGCGAGCAATACAATTTCATTCATCACCATTCACACCCGCCAGCTGTTACACAGTGTGTAACGTATACTTATCGCTTTGCATTGGTTACCGCCAGCGTTGGTGCTCAACTGAACACACAGACTTCAGTCTTACTTGTGCTGGTGAAGCCATTACAGTTACGATGAAGGGTCACAATAAAAGCTTTGCAGTCACATCGCAACTTTAATAGCTTCCAGAACAGTTAAGACAACAGTTCTGATCTCCTTTTGAGCACTCGAGAGAAAGAGTTGGTAGGGGGTTCGAAACAAAAAGAAAAATACGAGTTTGATGCCGTAACTACCACATGAACAACTAAGATTTACTTCTGTGCCTACACAAAGACTTTCCGTCATGCATATTAAAATTATATTACGTCTAAAACATTCACTTCATGTACCTCTATCGAAAATGGTGTGTAAGCTAACGATGGAAAGCTGATGTAAAAAATCAAGCGGTGAAAAATATTCTGAACGCCAATTTTACATAGCAGCTAAATGTAAAATTTACCACATGTCCTAGGGGTTCAATATGAAGCGATTTTTGTTAACTAGATTGAGAGATTCAGACGGTACGTATTCTAACTGGTGATGCAGTGAAGCGAAATGGGATGCCACCGTCTATTGGACGGCAAACGGCACGTGTACGATGGTGCGAGCGGTTGTAGTTGATCACCATTTTCGACAAGCTAAGGTAAACGTCATTTGAACGATCACAACACCAACACAGGATAGGACACATTTAATTTAGCAGAAGCATACAGAGGAGCGTACAGGTGACGAGTGCTTGGAACACTGACGCGCCACTCCAACTCCTCAGAATCGGATCTAAGCTGACTCAGGTCACGCAAAAGCTGTTCTCTCATAATAAATACGCTTTGGGAGGGGCGATTGTCACACCGACGACGGAATGTGGTAGGTATAAAATATGCTGGATCATTTTCGTGCTATGGAAAATTTTACATTAATGCTTCCGTGTAAAATTGCAAAGGGTTCAGGAAGATAATAAAAACAGTTAAATTACCAAGACATCAATGAACGTTCATAAACGTGCAGTATTCTGTAAAGAGTGAATGTAGTAGGTAGAGTGTGAAGTGATCAGTTAAGCTCTAGGCGAACTGACGACAAATCAAATTGAAGCAGAATATGTATAGTTATGATGTGGCGAAAGATATCGCAACAGTGTTAAAATGCCAATGTAGGGTTGAAGGAAAAAATGAAATGACGAGAATGCAAATACAAATTTTAGGGTGAAGTCGCTGTATCATACGTCATATCTCCATAGCCTACGGTCGTCATTGTCACGACCGCCCACCAAAACGCATCTGGTATGGATTTGAAGAAGCTGTTCTCACTTCCGGCCTCAGCGAAGTACACCGCGGAGGAAAACAGGACGACACCTTTAAGAACAAGCACACACCAACGGAGAATAGAGTGCGACATACAGTGCGGGGAGGCTGCGAGCGGTCGCGGGCGGGCCGCGCGGTTACCTCATGTCGCCGTAACCGACGGTGGTCATCGTTATGACGGCCCACCAAAAGGCGTCAGGTATGGAAGAAAAATTTGAATCAGGGCGATCTTTTTCGGCAAAGTATACGGCACTGGAGAACACGATCACCCCTGCGAACACAAGACACGTTGTGCACGCAAGCCGGCGACCACGCCGCGTCACCGCGCGGCGCCGGCAGCGCGACTGCCGCTGCTCTCCGTGGCACTCACAAAACGCTGCCATCTCATATTTTAACTGAACCACTTCTTCAAGTCTAATATTAAGTTTTCTTTACTTTCCCCAATAAAAAGAGTTTAACATTTCGGCATATTAATTTAAATCGTAATTTAAAGAAATTCACTAGCGTAATCAACTTACCGATGAACAAGAAGAATATCAGTAGTCCCAGTTCACGCATGGATGCCTTGAGGGTGCGACCGAGGATCTGTAAGCCCTTGGAGTGACGAGACAGTTTGAAGATTCGGAACACGCGCACCAGACGGATGACACGCAGGATGGCGAGGCTCATGGCTTGGTTGGTGGACTTGTCTTGAGGGGAGACCGGGGCTCGGGGCAGGTTCAGCGTGTCCTCTTCTTCCGCAACGACGGTAGCCAACGTGATGAAGTAGGGAATAATCGCGATAATATCGATAATGTTCATCACGTCGCGGAAAAAGTTAAATTTATTCGGACATGCCAAGAACCGCACTATCAACTCGAAGGTGAACCAGATGATGCAGAGGGTCTCGATCAGGAAGAACGGGTCGGTGATGTCGGGGACCTCATCCTCCTCGATCTTGGTGCCGTTGGTGGTGGTGTTGAACACCTTGTAGTGCTTGAACTCCGGCAGGGTCTCGAGGCAGAAGATGACGATGGACAGCAGGATGACGAAGACGGAGATGATGGCCACGACGCGAGCGGCTTGGGAGCTCTCGGGGTACTCGAAGAGCAGCCAGATTTTGCGCTGGCGCTCGTTGGAGGGCAGGGGCTTCTCTTCTTCCTTTATGAATCCTTCATCCTCACTGCAAAAGAGGTTGTGTATTAGTATTCTATTAAAGTTAAATCTTATTTGCGACATGATACTACCTTGATGAAAGCGTGATCATGTAATTATTTTCTTTGCTATAGTGAAGGCTTCTAGTTGTGTTGTGGCGGTGGTGTCGGTGAGGTCATAGTTTCGTGGAGAAATACAATAGCAAAGAATTTAAAGGTTGAGTTCTTAGAGTTCGCATAGCCTTAACAATTCGAGTAATCAGGGGTGATGTGGAACATACCGGAACTTGTTGGTAGCCTGCTCCCCCAGCTCGTAGAACTTAATCTCCTCGGAGAACACGTCGAGGGGCACGTTAACGGGCCGCCGGAGGCGCCCGCCGCTCTGGTAGTAATACAGGATGGCGTCGAAAGATGGGCGGTTCCGATCGAAGAAGTACTCGTTCCTGTGGAAAGGGAGATGAAGATCATAGAACGTTCGATTATCACAAATTACTCTAATCTGAATAATATTTTTAACTGAAAACTGATTCACCGTGGAATTTAAGTCGCGGAGATGACCAAAGTATTTTGCGTCTATTTCAGACATTTGCACACAATTATGTAAAGATGAAAATGAAAATATTTTATTACATACAAGTAAACAAACTTCGTTACAGTACAGACGACGGCACGTCAACGTAACCACTGTGGGTTCTTGTGCTGTAGTAATAGGGGCGATCTTGCAACAAAAATGGGTAGCCTGATGTGCTGTCGTGTGTACATTTTGCTAAACTTCCTTTTAAGTATAAAATACCTATATTAAAGATACGATGAATTAATATGAACAGTTGGGCCATGTAGGTACAAGTATTTTTATAAACTGCCACTGTCTTTCCCATCCACTTACTTCGAACGAATAAAATATTTAATCTAAAATATTCTAAAATAGAAAGAAAAACTTTACTAATAAATTAAAATTAACGATTTTTATTTGCGCTGTCTTTCCTATACTTGAACAGTACCTACTTAATTAGAACTTTCAGATTCTCCATTACCTAAGTCGTCGCACCCATAAGATAAATGCATCAACTCACCTCAACGGGTCGAAATAGCGTATTCTCCGGGCGGGGTCGCCCAGAAGCGTTTCTGGGAATTGGTTCAGTGTACGCAGTTGAGTCTCGAACTTCAGGCCGCTGACCTGTGGACAAAACAAAACATTAACGCACTCAGTCTGATTAATACACCTAATGAATTAGCCGCGTGTCTATAGGGAGGTCTGGCACAACGGCTGCCAGGTTGACAGCCATTGTGCGGCTCAAACAACGTTGGGCGCGGTCAGGTTGTGATGGGTGATCAATTTTTCAGTGACTTACTATTTGTATCTTTAGCTATTAACAGAGACAGAAATCATAATGTCTATTTCGTCGACATGTCTGAAAAATGAATTAAGGGATCTTCAAAACAAATTATGGTGATCCAAAATACAGACTCATCTTTATGCAATCGAGTAATAAAGCGAGAATGCCAAGTGCGACTAGTTAATTTACTGTCCAATTTCACGAATGATTTGTCACTGAAAGGTCAACCAGTATATGAACCGGGTTTTATTACCATAATAACGGCAAGTTATAAATATTGTAGCCAAAAGTTATATAAATCGTGTAAATATTTGTAACATTCGGCTGATGTTTACCGTGCTCTATTGTTTACACTCAATCCCTTCGAGAACAATATGTAAATACAACAGTATTAGTTAAAGCCCGTTGAGCGCAAACAGACACGGCCTCGGTGTCTGGACTGGATACATAAATTGTGCTGTAACAGTGCTGCAGAACTAGCCAAATGGTCTGAAGGCACGGTAGGCTTTAACGATTTGTTCGCGATCCTTAAAAGGCAGTTTAAATGCTTTAAAGTCAAAGAAAGTAATTTGTGACTCGGACGGGACATTTAAACGATGCGGCGAGTAAGCAGCAGTCTTATTATGGTGATGGGTAGGCGCACTTTAGCGTCCTTATTGACTATCCTTGTTTCTAATAACGCATAAGTGTGACTCTTACTTGTAGGTGAGCTTTACTTGTGTGTGTACGTGTATAGCGTAATGTCTATCAAAACTTTTGAAAAACGAACACAAGCGAGCCACCACACATGTAAAGCTCACTCGCCTTCGTGAATTGCAACAACTAACCAACAACTAACACGTTGTTATAAAATAGGTTGGTTTGTTCGTTTCAGTCAAATGACGTCTACTGCTGGACAAAGGTGTCCTCAAAGGATTTTTACAACGGCATAGAGTAGGTATTGAACTATATTTGAATTCAAATAGAGTTATTTGATTGTGATGTTATTTTTCCACAATATCTAACGACAGTGCGGTGAAAGAATATTTTATTATACCTCTAGTACCTTCATTTTTTTACAATTTAACTTTATTTTGGATTCAAGAAATCAAAATATCATTAGGTTTGTCCAGACGGGTGACCGTATGCGCCATTCTTGAACGTAAGTAAAGCGATGTTGGGTATCTTGAAATTCTATTTTTGCTAGAAAGTATACAGGCATCCTAAAGAATTTGAGATTCAGTTTAATATGTGACTGCGCACCTATGCACAAATAAAGACGTACTTAAGCGATTCCATATTTTTTTATGATTTTTGTCTTATAATGAAATCGTTTGGTCGTCGTGTAGTCAAGACCATCCTACTAATATTAGAAATGCGATATTATAATGAAATTATATTGTTACTCTTTCACGCAAAAACTGCTTAACGGATTTTGATGAAACTTTACAGTATTATTTTTTATAACCCAGAATAACATATAGGCTATAATTTATGACGATCTGTGACAAACTAAATTTCACGCGGGTGAAGCCGCGGGCAAAAGCTAGTATCGACAAAATAATGAAATTCTTTCGATGAAGACTGGTGTGCGTTCACCTTTAGTTCATATTGAAGCAAAGACAAAAGAATCGCGGGGTTCTGTAGTGAGCGGACGTGGCATAAAGTTTACAGCACACATCACTCCACGTCAGCGGAGATCCGAAAGCCGTTTGCGGCTGCGTTTACGGCGCGAATATTAATTAAAATCACTTCATAACGCTGCGCTGCAGCCGCCCTTGAGAACGCACAATAAAAGTATTTTCGGAGGCGGCCATTGCCAACCGGAGTAACATCCGCGAAAGAAATAACATACTTTACGCGGGTACAGTAGCTTTGTAATGTTCAGTCTGTATTACGAGTAGGTATGTTAGAATGACAGCAATATTTGTCCGCGTTTCTTTCAAGTTTCCTCTGATAGTAATAAAAACTTGATGTTCGAAGAGTCACAATTAATCTTAGCTGGTCCTCCAAGCCGTGCTGCTAAAACAACGCTAAGCTGCTAACAGACGAGTCTACTGAGGCATCTCCAGCTGTGGCGATGCCTAGCAAAACGGTGGCTGGGTCGTAAACAGACGACTACTGACTGCAGCGCTTGTAAATATTGGGATCGATCCGACGCTTGTTTACGCGTGGTGTCATTGATGCGTGCGCGCGTGGATTAGCGGTACAAAGGCCGCGGTCGCAGGTTTGCTTCCCGCGAGGACAATGGTATTATGACTATTATAATGATGTTAACTACTATTATAATGATTTTCGCAGACTTCAGAAGAATCATTCTGTCGCGATCGAAGATCCTAAAGTATTTTGAATTTCGACACCAAAGGAAATATTCAGCGAACATAATACTCGTACAACCTGAAGTTGGCAGGATGTTTCTAGACAATTTGACATTGTTTAGTAACGTCTCAAACCTTTCGCTCTCTTTGTACTTAATTACAATTCATTTCATATGTATATGAATCGATCACGAATTTGCATCTACCATACGAGTAAGTTACTTTGTCTATAGTCCTAGACGTTTAAATTAAGTTTGAAGTTAAATAGTGGCATACATTCGTCACCAAAATGGAGGTAACGAACAACTTCTAAATGTGAGGTATTGTAGTTCCCAGTAAACGAACACAAAGGCTTTCTGAAGTCAAAGTTTGCAGTTGCAAATTGCCACCTGTAGCGGCAGTTCAAGTTAGAGACCGGGGCATTAATCATAAACTGTTAGGAAGTTGGTAAATACCCAACAATCCCAATAACTGCACCGGTTGAGCCCAAACTTCGGCAAACTTGTAAACTGGCTATAAATACAGGCACACTTATGTACCGCAGCGTGCATCGGTTAATTTTAGAAAGTCTTACATTAAAAGCTTTTTAGCAACACGTCGGTATTCAACTGAGTGCCTTTTTATTGGGCACTCAAACGAGTTTACTTTATGATCGATCTCATTTCTGGTTATAGGTACGACAAGTTTTGCTTTCCTATAGACAGCTCCATCAGATAAGTTATTGATGTTCACTGGTCAGACGTATATGCTGATGAAGAGAAAAATATATGGGTGGGAACAAGAGGAAGGAATTTTCTCCTAGTCGTTCTTTTTCTATAGTGGAGGTAGCAACAAGAAATTAAGTCATAATACTGATAACAGACTATAATTTTATTATGTATAGGACGCTTTAGTCAGCTGACTGGTCTTAAACAGAATGGCGACTTGACGTCCCCTCCTAAGTTCAGAATTATTTTAGTTTTGTCATGTTGCCTATTCAAAGACTATAAACTAATGTAGTCCTCTTACTGTTGGATAATCAGCCAGCTCCCCGGGCTAACATAAACTTCACTGGCTGGGATTTATTGGCGGTCAAGCTGTAGTTAATGGCCAACATCTAATGCAGAGACGGGGATTGGTTTATCGATTGTACCAACGTTATCGTTGAGCACACTAATAATGTAAGTAGTTACTGTCATTGTAAAAACCTCCAAAGACTTAGGCTGAGTTGCTCCACCCACCTTTGACTGTAACTATAACGATAACCGGTGTTTTTTATGACAGATTTTTGACATTTGTTTTAAAGTTAAAGTAAGATGATGCAACCCAGCCTTAGTGTTAAGTTTAAATTAGCCTGAGCAAAGCGGCGAGGAAGAGCTAGTTTTATATTATCAAAGGTTTCTATCTCCGATATCCTACGAAATATCCAGAAAGGTAATAAATAATACAGCCGGGCCCATCTCCGTACCAGTCCTCAAAGTCCTTTGACTCGGGACTTATCTACGATCGCGAATACTCGAAACTCTCGAATAAAATCGATACAGGGCGATAGAGAATCGAGATAGGGCTGTCACGACTTGTATTTTAATTTCCTGATAAAAGTATATTTGAAAAAGTTTCTTGGAAAATATGAACGGTTAAATTTGACGAAGTATATATTTTCATTTAATCTTTAATCTCTGACGGTTTGATGGTGCAATTACGTCTTGAACGTAATGGCTACTGGGCCTGGTTCTTGGGCGGTTTAATTCAGAAAATGGTAGTTTCGAAATTGCTTGCAAGCCTTCGAGAAAATGCATTGTCCGGTACCTCGCAACAGCGTAATTGGTATGTTGTTTTTGAAACATTTTCATTGCAAATTACGAGTAGATTCAAAAGCTACAGTAGTACGTACGAGTAGACTATACTTATTTATACAGCAATCTTTATTACCTGGTGCAACGTGTCGTGGGCGTGGTCTATCTTTAGTTTATTAAGATTACGACTGCTACTGACAAAAGGTTATATTGTTCCTAAATGTCAAATTTTATAGCAATATTAATGTAGTGACATTACCCTATAAAATTATGCCCCCAGAATATCAACTATAAACAAACGCAGCTGAGAGCACACGTTTGTAAAAATATTACATTTTTCTTCCACTTGCGAATGATATTCTCGATGCAGCGTCGCGGAAGGAGATACATAAAATGCAATTACCCGCACCTCCCACTCGGAATAAGCCCGTGTGAAATGAAGTGCAAGGATATTTATCCATTTCCCTGTGTCGAGGACGCGAGGCACGGAAAAATCTTATTTCCAGATAAAATTTCCTGCAATGATTGCCTAGAGCGAGTTACAGAATACGTTTTGAACGGACGATTTTTCATATTTCTAGTTCTATATTTGGAAAAAAAAAACAGATTTATAAGGGAAAACATTTTGTTGCAAGGTTGTGTTTCTGTGGGCACATTAAATAAACTTAAAAAAAATGGCTAATGATGAAGTTCATTATGTGACCTTACTTGATTAAATTGACCTTTCTTTAACAGACTGAAAAACCTGGTGTTTGGTGGAACTAAAAC